TCATCTTCAATCTTCTTAAGAAGTTCATGGCGGCAAGGGAGCCCATACTGCTCGGGCATACAACAGTCCTGATCACACGGCTAAAGTGGTGTTTTAGGAGGTTAATTATTGACTAAGCGACCACCAAGGACATACTGATGCTCCTTCACGAGCAGCTCCAAGGCCTTCAGAGAAATAAATCGAGGGAGAGATCCTAACCAAGCGCGGTTAACCATATCGTAGCGGACCTTAACTTCTTGATTGGCGACCTCAACTGTATACAAACGAAGTTGTTCAGAAGCCATTTGTTATACACAGGTAAACAAGCACAAAAGGTCGCTTCTTCCGTTAACCAAAAAGCTCTTGATATTCATATTCGTTACCTCTGTTGGTAAGGTCGTACGAGCGCCGCAGTTGAAGTAGTGCTTGATGGTATATTGAGCCCACTGGTCTTGGAATGGCATCCACGTCTTCCAAACGTAATCGATGACAGCTTTTTGATTATGGAAGAACTTGTTAAGAGCTCTCCAATTCTCCTAGAACCTCTTGGCTCTGTGTGAGAACATCACGGACTTGAAGCCTTTGACGAAGCCATGGGGATCATTCGTGATTTTCGATGGGAAGATGATATCGTCGTCGACAGTAAATTCTTTGCGGATGGAGCGGAGGAGTATTTGATCTTCTTCGCTGAGCGGGGAGTTGGAATCCTAATCCTCGTTCTCCTCGTTAGCAGTGGCATTACCGGCTTTCTTCTTCTTCCACTTTTTCTTGGCGTTGATAAGAACGTTTTTGAGGATATGAAAGGTACAAATCTGCTGCTGTATATCCGGAAACACAGCGCTCAGAGCATTCTTTGCCTCATCGTATTTATCGGCGATGATAACGCGAGGCTTGGGAACTTTAAGCTGTTGGAGTAGCTGCTTTATGGAGTCGAAAACAAATAAGAAAGTGTCCTCTCTCTCGTTGGTCATCACGCCGAAGAATAGCGATAAGTTTGTAGTAATCGAGGTTATTGTATTTGACTGGAAGAATGGGAGCTTGAGGTGGTTGGTTTTGTAGGTGAAATCGAGAAACCAGACATACGGGAATGCCTTCATATGGTCTACCATCTCTGGTAAATAGAAAACCAAAGCTTGAAGCTGATCTTTATCGTTGGGTTTCCACAGAGCTTTGTAGGGAATGCCTTCTTCGTCGAACTTCTTGATTAATGCCCCAACAGCAGTATAGCCAGCAGCTTTCTTGCGCTTGAGCTTTGCCCGGTAGTTGTAGACGTCCTTGCGAATGACGAGGGCATTCTTAACCTGCTCGTTGATCATCATCGTCACCTCACGAGCGTTGACGGCAGCTTGCTTAGAGGTACTCTTCACGATTCTCTTCTCTTCCTTGAACATCCTACGATGTTGTGGATGAGTTGTGGGATCGGTAGAGGGAGGGTGGTTGTGAACGCGATGCTTGGGATCTTCGTGATTCTTGATATTCCAGACGCCGGGCTCTTTCTCGTAGGCGTTGAGCTTAAATAAGCACCTACACTTTCGTGAAGAAGTATTGCGAGACTTGGCCTTGGAAGGTAGCGGGTCGCTATATCGATCACAGGCAAAGGTGTAGCGCCTGTAACCACCTCCCTTCTTCTTCATTCGGGCTTGGGTTTTGTTGACGGCGTATCCGTGAGGTCTGGCCCAGAGATTCATGTAGGCAAGGAGCTGGTCAACGGTAGGAATGGGAGTGGTTTCATCATCTTCGACATCGGAGAAATCGGGTGGTAAAGTCAGGGCCCAGACTTGCTGTTCGGGAGCACTGGAAGTGTCTTCGGCTGTCGCGTTTTCTTCATTTTCGCTGCCAGAAAAGCCGTCGAAATCCGTATCATGGACGTCATCGGTGTTCTGGAAGGGATCTCCATCGGGTTCGGGCGAGAGATCTCTCTCCAAGTGTCGCTGCAAATAAACCTCCGGAAGCGCCATCGCGATACTAAAAAGTCGATCAGATTAATGAACAGAAGCAGAGGAATCGAATGAGCTTACTTCTGTGATGATAGCTTACGTGGTTCAATTGCGCTGATGGTTGGAAGTGGCGATGATTTTCGTGGTGGTTGGCCAAGTGGATGGGCAAGGCGCACTGGCAACGAAGATCACCAAGTTCAACGACGAGCTCGGGCACTGCAGGTGGGCCAGTGTGGCTCGTGGGCACTTCAGGAGCAATCTTTTGATGCCATTTTCAATTGAGATTTACTGCAATAAACCCTAACCCATAAGATAGGATGCCCCTTTAGAATGGGGGGTGTGCCCCTTTAGAATATCAAGGTGCCCGTGGAGCAAGTCCCTTACTTTTGGCCTCCGGCCTTTCCGCATATCTGTGACGGAGGGTGCAAAAGCACTGCAATGGCCAAGTGCATCAATCTTCCAAAAGGAATGCCAGAATTGCAAGTTCGACAACTTGCAATTCGGTTGCAGTATATATACTGTTGACGGTGGACCCCCACACCGTCACAATAGCTGATACGGGACAGCCCCTGATGCGGGATGTAGATCAGATAAGATCAGAATTTGGGTAGATAAGTGTTACAACCTCGGCACAAGGACGAAATAACGATTGGTACGGGAATAGATATGGACCCAGGATGAATAGGGACCAATCAGGGATAAGACACTGAGCTAACCAATCAGGTGAAAGGAAGCGTGCTCAGTGTGCTCAGTCACTGAGCAGAGTGAGCACGACGGATGAAGGTCTATATATACGGAGGAACTAGCTAGCTGTAGATAGTTCCGCAGTTTGCAATACAAGTTCGAGTACAAGCTTACAAGTTCGAGTACAAGCTTACAAGTTCGAGTACAAGCTTACAAGTTCGAGTACAAGCTTACAAGTTCGAGTACAAGCTTACAAGTTCGAGTACAAGCTTACAAGTACGAGATTGAGACAAGTTGTCACAAGCGTGAAGCGCGAGGGTGGCACGGGCCAAGCGAGAGATAAGGAACACGATAAGGATCTAGGATTTAGAACGTATATCCAGGGATCTACGTGTTGAAGGATAGATCCAGTGAGAAGGGAAGTCTTGGCAGGAGATATATATATACGGAGGAACTAGATAGCTCGTAGATAGTTCCGCAGTATGCAATCACAGCTTGTATTCACGGTATCTTGTGTTTACATTGAGACATCTTGTTGTGCACTGTTTAGCTGCACCGAACCAATTGCCAGAAGTAGCCTTAACCGAGTATCCCTTTCAGAGGTTCTGTACAGGGGTTCGTCACAAGTATGCAATTCACATCGTGAGTTCTTGGGACCAAGCACTTACGAGAGACAATTGGTGATCTTTGTTGTGTACCTTTTGGCTATACCGAACCGTTATTCAGAAGCAGCCTTCAACCCAGTATCCCTTTCAGAGGTGTTACGGGCAGGACAGGCGGGCAGGTCAATGACAGTGGTATTCAGCTAAACTATAGTCTGGGCTCTATTCCGTCAGGTACAGGCAGGCTCTATTGTCAAGACGTAGCTCGAAGAGCTACAAACAGATCTCGCGGCAGCGAGATGCAGAGTCTTTTGGTCGCATTGGCCCGTGCTCAGCACGTGCCAAGCTCTATCAGTGGATCGACGACGGTCACGGTGCAACCGCCGTGACAAGAGGTTCTGATCAGGGGTTCGTCACACATCTGGAGATAGTTGAATGAGAGCGGACAGGAGTTAATCTGGTAAGGAAAATTCAGGTTATAGAATGTTTCTGGGCTTTATATACCTACCCACCATCTGCTTGTTGGTATCCTAAAAGCTATGAACCGATTTTAAACTACTCGTACTGGCAGAAAATTATTTTCAGACAAGGCCGAACATTGTGAGGAGTGAGGTTGAGGAGTGGGGTGCCACTTGTTATTGCTACACCCGTTAAGCGAGTCCGAAAACGGCAAAAAATTTCCCTCGACCCAACAATACAAAGGCACTGGTGCGTGGTGCAAGTGCATCAAGGAAGGCACGACCAAGGAAGGTACGAGTGACATTAATCGCTAGAAGCTTCATGCCCTGCAAAGCCTGAATTCTTCAATAATGCAAAACAATTCTATATACATCTTTTTACCGATTCAATCTCCCGTCATGATTCTTTGAGGATCCAAACGTCCTGACTTTCGAACAGCAACCTAGTGTTCCATGATAGCAGGAGACGCGTCTTGTCTCTCTTCGCCCAGCCGAGGGAATTGATTCTATCAAAATCTGAATGGCGGAATCTAGACAAGGCCGAGGGAAGTTGATTCTATCAAGACATGTCTCGGACGTATTTCCTTTTGCTCTAGTCTTTCGTTGCGCTCCAATTAACATGCCGCCTCTTCATAAGCGCGAGCCGCGGCCAAGAGGCTCTGCTGCGACCCAAGTTTAGCCAAAAGCCCCAGTGCCGAACCTGAATACAGGCTATTTGCGACGAGACAAATGAGGAAGTGATCTGCGCCATGTATGGACCCAGAATCCGGGGAGTGATCCCTGCTCCGTGTCAAAATCCGGGGCGTGGCCTCGGGTAGACATGCATGAAAATCCGGGGAACGATCCTCCATTCGATGTATACCGGGCTGACAGTCAGGTTTACAGTCCCGCAGCCAGTCCGCCAGCTAGTCCCGCAAAATCCACCAGACAGTCCAGCAACCAATCTAGCAGCAAGCCCCGCAAAGTCCAGCAGTCCCGCAAAGTCCAGCAGCTTCCCTTGCCATCGCCAAGTGAAACCGATGACAAGTCAGATGGAGTCTCGGGTTTCATACCGAGACCAAGAACTCTCCACAAGACATTTAGCCAAAATTCCGACACCATCATGATAGGTTGGATGGTCTAGAGAGAAGATCGTGATAGGCTGGACGGTCTAGACGACGTCAAGATCACGGAATGAGTTGTCTAGAGCTTCACTCGGCGCAGATGCCAGGTTGGGAACGTGGGAAGCAAGTTGACAGCCCAGCTCAGATATATAAATCCAGACGTTTCCTCCTCTGAAACCTCCAGCATCCAGCATCCAGCATCCAGCATCAGTCAACCACCACACTGCAAGTGTCATCATGGTTTCTTTCAAGTCTCTCCTCCTTGCCGCCACGGCCGTGACCTCTGCTCTTGGTCGTCCTTTCGACTTTCTCGACCAGGACAACGGCAACTCGACCGAGGCTCTCGAAAGGCGCCAGATCACCCCCAACAGTGAAGGCACCCACAACGGCTACTTTTACTCTTGGTGGTCCGATGGTGGCGGCCAGGCTACCTACACCATGCTCGAGGGCAGCCGTTACCAAGTGAGCTGGAGAAACACTGGCAACTTTGTCGGCGGCAAGGGATGGAACCCAGGCAACGGCCGGTGAGTTCTTGAAGATACAACACAAAGAGACAAAACTAACATGTCGAAGCACCATCAACTATGGCGGTTCCTTCAACCCCCAGGGCAACGGATACCTCGCCGTCTACGGCTGGACTCGCAACCCTCTCGTCGAGTACTACGTGATCGAATCCTACGGCACCTACAACCCCAGCAGCGGCGCCCAGTACAAGGGCAGCGTCCAGACCGACGGGGGCACCTATAACATTTATGTTTCCACCCGCTACAACCAGCCCTCCATCGACGGCACCAGGACTTTCCAGCAGTACTGGAGCGTACGCACCTCGAAGCGTGTCGGTGGCTCCGTCAACATGCAAAACCACTTTAACGCCTGGGCCAGATATGGCATGAACCTCGGCCAGCACTACTACCAGATTGTCGCCACCGAGGGCTACCAGAGCAGCGGCAACTCTGACATTTATGTCCAGACACACTAGTGGCGGTGGTCAATGATGGGGGAGGGTGATGGGGGAGGTGATGGGGGAGGTGATGGGGGAGGTGATGGTGACACTGGCTTCAAATGTATATACAGACTTGCTTTCTTGTACATAGTGTCTGCAATGACTTTGTCACTTTTGGAGATTGACATGCTTTCTGACGGTTCTCTGGTCCATCGAGAGCTTGACTAATGATCAAGACTCCTGTATGTTTGACAACTCATCTCTGGTCTACGCGGGTACGGAAGTGTGTGGTCAGTGAGCGAGGAAGTGAGGCATAATCTGACTGACTTACAATGGCTGAATGAGACTGAGTGAATAATACTGATCTGCCTATAACTGTCTGACACTGCCTGACTGATCTTCAATTCCACTGACCGTATACCGCTGACTACCTGATATTGGTTAGACAAATACTGGCTCAGCAATACTGAAAGACACTGAATAATATTAAATGACACTGACTGAATGACACTGACTGAATGACATTGACTGAATGACACTGACTAAATAACACTGACTGAATGACACTGCCTGAATGACACTGACTGAATGATACTGACTGCCGGTGGTGATGGAAACCAAAAGAGTAGGTTGGATGACCAGGAAATGGACCACATGTGGATCTGGTCCACCACCACCACACCAGCCACACAACCTTGTTGAGATTACCCCTGAATGATCACACTGGCCACAACAAGACTAATATTGGGTCAATTTCTATGGGAGTTATACCAAAATGTAGCTCAATCACTGTCAGAGTCAGACATTGCATCTGCTTCTCGCTTGCGCCTGGTTTGAACCCGATAACGTGCGCTGCGCCGCACAGGCTGGGCTGGCTCTGGCTGCTCCACATCCTCCTTGGCTACCACTTCTTCCTCCACCACCCTCCCTTCAATGCGGGCCTCTTCCAGTTCACAGAGCCTCACAAACTTGGAATTCGAGTCTTCTCTATTCAACTTACGCCTTTTTCTTGCCTCCTGGGCCTTCTGGGCGTTCTATTGGTGCCTTGCCGCATCAGCTTTGTGGATAGATGCCTCAGATCTCAGTGTAAGTATAGTACTGGTGAGAGTCCTTGCCGCAAGCCGTTTTCCGGCCGGCGTATGGTTCTTGAGTAGGTCCCTGACCTTCTTGGCCACCTAGGAATCCCCCACGGTATAGAAAGTAGGTGTTTTTGAAGAGAGATCCAACGGCACCACAGGGACTACCACCTGGCTTGAAAAGAGCGGTTTACGCCTACGTATGGGCCATAATCCTATCCCACGCTAGCCGCCGGCAATATTTTCTTTCCTAAAGCCCTACTTACGGGGCAAGGTTATATAGCCGGACCAAATCGACTTTACCGTTAAGCATATAGTTAGTGAGGGCGTCGTTTATAGCTATAAACCTCTTATACGCCTTCTTTACGCTAAAAAAGTAGTTAATATTAAGGGGTTAAAGGACGTGAGAGTAGTGGGGGGGGCAAGAAAAAAAAGGTAAATATTACTCCTGTAATACCGGATTATAAAATCGTTAGTAATATATAAACTATAGCTATTATAAATAAAAAGACGGGGTTTTAATAGATCTTTAGGTTTAATCTTTAGTATAAAAACCTCTTTAAACTAATTAACGGTAAGGTTATTACTAATCTAACTATTCTCTAATATAGCTATATACTAATCTTTATTTAATTGGTCTTTAAACTATTACTTTTAAAGGTCTTTACCGTTAAAGTTAACTCCGGAGGGGAGGACTCTCCCGTCTTATAAAATACACTTAAATATAGTAATCTAGGTCCTTCTTCCGTTCTATTTAACGTATATAAACTTCTTATCCCGCTTCGAAGACCCAATAATTAAACCGTTTTCTCCCTAGCCTTCTATTATACCTACCTTATCGTAATTATATCTATACCTAAGTTTAATTTAGTTAACGATAGAATATAGATTAAAGAACTTATTAATATTCTCCGGGGTAACTTCGTTAATTTTAATATAATTAATTTTCTTTTTAATTTTTATTTTAATATCGGAATAACGGTTAATAAAGTGTAATACTTAATATTTATTAAGGGGGTTGGGATCGCTTTATTTAACTAGTAAACTAACCGCTAAAGCCTTTATATTAATATAGGTGGGAGCGTAGTTAAGGCTTTCCTAACGAAGGATCTATTAAATAATAAGGTTTTTTTAACCGTGAGAAAGTCGCTATTGGTTTTCATGGGCAAGGTTCCTTGGTAGGGTACCATCAATGCGGTGCTTCAGGGTGGAACGTGGAATCCCGTGCTTATTAGACGCTTTTCGCTGGCTTATACCAGCGGCAATGTCTTTCTGGGCATTTTTAAATATCCTCCTCGGTATATTTGGCTATTGTTGGGTACCTGGAGCAAAAAAAAGTAAAAGAAAAGCTTCATTTTTGGTCTCTGTGGGTGGAATATAAAGTGTGTGTTGATATCGGGGGGCTTTCGGAGGTCCAGGGTTGTGGAGGGTTTAATGTGGGTAGATGGCTTGGGTAGTTCAAACTTACCTGGGCCACATCCATATGTGGTCCACTTCCTTGTCATCCAACCTATAACCCACGCCCTGGAAAATGAGTATTGCAAGCTTGAAAACGAGATAGGCATGCAAACAATATTCCAAGGCCTCTCAGGTATGCTCAGACGCCTATGAACGATGTTGAAAGGGCTGTAACGCATGTTCAAAGGCCTATCAACCATCTTTAAACGCATGTGCTCCATCTCTTTTCTACCATTGAAAGGGCTTTTTGATGCGGGTTCTGGATGCTCGTGATTTGAGTGTTAAAGGCAAACTGGCAATAACCCATGACCTGCTCTACCAGGCCTGACTAGTTTGTCGTCGCGGATATCCTTGGCAATGTCCATGTACTACCTAAAGTCTCGGCAGTGCCCGGAAAGGGTTTGCCGTTGCATCTCAGTCTGCATAGAAGGCGTTAGGGATCCCCGTCTCCAGGGCTGCATAGATCCGCATCGGTATCGGTATATCTTTGGGGGCCCTATCTGCAACCTGTTGACGGGAGGATGACCATGACGTACAATTCCTGCGATGCAGATTTAATGAAGTGAGATATCGTAACTCTGTGGTCGATAGCCACGAGCAGATAGTTGAAGAGAGAACGGGGACCATGTCGGGATGATTGCGCCCATTATATGCTCTGTGTAGAGTCCATATCCCGATTACAGCCTCTGGCCTTGGATACACTATCTCATCGATCGTCGAAGCTGATAACTTGCAAATACCCAGTCTCTCCGCCGCGGTCATTCGTCGACAGGCAATAGCATCATTTTCTAGGGCGGTCAGTTTGACGTTTGTCATTTCCACAATCACTGCATAATCAGCAATTTCTTGATAATACTCATGTAATTGCTTTCGTGAGACAGATCAAGAGCGTCGTGGTCGATTTGAAAGAAGATGTCTTGTCGTTCAATCCCGACGGAATTCAACGGCTGGGCCCACAATGTTCTGGATTCGGTAACCCACTCGTCGCAATTTGGCAGCATATGCACGCTAGCCTGTTTTCAGCTAGCCTATTTCATGGCAGGGGTTCAATGTGGATGCCCATAGGCTAAAAAAAGCAGAAATATGGAGCTGCTCTGATCTGACCACGATGGCTACGTTTTGGTGATGGAGCCAGATCAAAGACCGTCAATCTATGACGGCAGCATCAACATCTTTGGAAAATGCCGGATTAATCGAAAAAGGCCACTTCAGTAGAATCCTCAGTGCTCTCATGCAGCGCGACAATGCCAAGCCGTTCACGGATAAAGCGACAAATTGGAAAGGGTCCAATCATAAGGAAACCCTGACGCCAGGCCAAGTCACGATCAAAGGAATTCAACGACGATCTCGCCTGCGGGCCCAGCGGTTGGGAGATCGCGACAGCAAGACTTGGCGTCCTTGGCTGACGCGACCCACAGCTTTTGATTAAAGTCGCTCCTCTGCACTTTTTCTGGCACTCATCAATCGACAACGGTTTTGCTAGAAATCGCAATCAACGGGCGATCGTTACAATTGAACAACTACAATGAGCGGTACGTTTGATGACCGAACCGGGCTGGTGGCCGCCTCGCACCACAGAATACGTCAACTGACTTTTTAACAGGACCACCACCAGGCATCGACATCTCTTCAGGCGGCGGACCCCCACCCGGTGTCAACACCGGCCGCGGCGGCTATGTCGACCCTAACTGGCCATTCCCTGGCGGTCCCAACGATGCGCCCGTCATCATCTACGGCTACACTCCTTCGTTCGCCCTCGCTCTCTTGGCCACGATTCTCTTTTGTCTCTACTTTGTCGCCCACTTGTTCCAGGTCGTCCGATACCGCACCGTGTACTTTTGCACCTTTCCCATAGGTCTCGCCTTCGAGATCGTCGGCTACATCGCTCGCTGCCTTTCCGCCAAGGTCAACCCGTACAACCTCATCTTCTTTATCCTCCAGTACTTCTTCATCGTCACCGCCCCAGTGTTTTTGGCCGCCGGTATCTACGCCATCCTGTCCGCTCTCATCCACCGACTGGGACGTGAATACTCGCTCCTTCCCCCCAAGTGGATTCTGTGGTTCTTCATCACCTCGGACGTTGTCGCCACCATCACTCAGATCACAGGCGCAGCTTTGATCGGTGTGAAGCAAAAGAAGAGGGAGGACCCCACTGCTGCCAACAACATCCTGTTGGGTGGTCTGGCCTACCAGGTCTTCGCCATTGGTCTGTTCATCATCTTGAGCGGTGTGTTCATCTTTCGCGCGAGGAGGCAGATCAAGCAGGCTGGCCTCACGCTCTTCATTGCCGCCTTCTCGACCGCCACTCTCCTGATCTATCTGAGAACCGTTTTCCGTCTTGCCGAAACCGCAGAGGGGCTGGGCGGCGATCTGAGCACAAAGGAGGTTTATTTTGGCACGCTCGAGTTCTTGCCCGTGGTCCTGGCCGTGCCTCTGCTGAACGTCTGGCACCCCGGACGCTGCGTTGGACGGAGCATTGCGTCAGACTCCAAGGAAGAGGCCGGCATTGTTGAGTTGGAGTCCAGGGGCTGATATTGTTTGTTTCTACAAGTTTAGAGGAGAAGCGTCTTGTCTTGTGATACCTCGGGGTGTGGGAATCTCAATTTTGGATATCAATTTGGTAGTAATGATGATTCTCATAGAAATACTGAATAATCCCCTTTTATGACATGCTAGAATCGTCACTGCTACCGTCCCCTCGAAATGCGACGCAGGGTCTGTCACCCTTTTTGCCCTTGCCCTGGCTTTTGGTCGCTTGCGTCTAAGAGCAGCGGGTTGGCTTCACACGTGGATGATATTGTCCTTATTCAATAACCAACCCTCAGTCCTGTCCAACCGTCCCGATACCAGTTCGCCCGATCCCAATCTCCAAGACACAGGCCAACAGTGACAAACTTCAAATTCTTTGCTTTGGCCTGGCTGATATGTGCCTGGCCAGGTCGAGTGTGGCAGGCAAGGTGTCATGAGCAAGGGTGATGACTCGACCGTAATCGCTGTGCTCTGGGTTCCAAAGTTCGGCGCTGAACTTCTCAAATGACTTCCAGATGTTCGAAGCTGGTTGATTCTTCCAGTCCTCGGTGTCGAGGTTCCACATCACTACGGTGTAGCCCAGGCCTCCCATCTGTGCGAGACAGGCGCCGTCACATTTGCCGTGCGATGAACGCATATAGGTGGGAAAGAAGCCCAGAATGTCTCTATACATGATCTCGTTCCACATCATCTTTTGATTCATGGACTCTGACGACTCGAGATCCAGGTTCTCGAGGTGGCCCCAGATGTGAGACGCAAGCTGGTGTCCTTGATCAATAATGCGTCGCAGAATGCTCGGCGAGGTTCAATGTTCTCCATTGACAAAAAAGATGGCTTTGACCCCCTCCTGATGCAACAGGTCGAGAAGGGGCCCGGTCTGCGCTGATGGCCCGTCGTCAAAGGTCAAAGCGATAGTGTTGCGCTGCGTGCAGTCATAGACCCGTCTGCCACGATTTTCGGGGCGGAAGTGGTCACGTCGAACACGCCGAACATTGTCACTGATTGCGAGGTTAGCAAGGTATGCAGCACGAAAAGATCAAGACTCAGATCTCGCAAAATCCACGGCCAACCTGGCAATATGCGCCGCAGTGAGCGGCGGAATATCCACAATAGCCAGCCCAAGAACAGCAGGACGAGGAGAGACAGCTGGCAAGCCCGTGCCCGCAGCGGATATCTGCCAGGGTGTTGTTGGGTTTGTTTTGGACTTCGACTGTATGAGCAGTGGCGCCATGAATGAATATAGCCGTTGCCGAGAGAGCCAAATAGGCCAGTAAGTCCGGGATGTTCATCATGGTGGTGTCAAATAACATGGCAAAATTAAAGAGGTCAGTGGTTTTGTTAAAGAGTGCCGCCATGGAAGTCCGGACCTCTTGACGTCACTGTCCTTCTCCATTCCAACTGCAGCAACGCCACCAAAGCGCCCTGGCATGGATATGACGTGCTCAGGCTAGTTCCCCTTTAAGTAGCCCGCAATGATTTGCTCCCTCCACCACCAAACTCCCGCCATAGAAGCCCCAGGGCCCAGCACCACCTGGCTGAGGATAGAAGCCAGCGAGACCTTGGCAACCTGCCAACCCGTCACATACCCCAAGAACCTAAGATCAAGGATTGAATACAAAGTCTCTCCCAAGAATCCCACTGCCCCACTCAGTGAAAAGGGCAGACTGATCAGTTGAGGTGGTGTGGTCTTCAAGCAGAAGTAGGCATGAGCCACAAACATGATGTGGGCAGCAGCCTGGGATACGACAGCCAGTTTATAGACCGTTTTCAATGCCGAAACATCGTCTTTCTTGTACCTCTCAAAGTCTTCTGCATACGCTGTGCTCCTGCTTTCCCACCATCTGGAAAGCGCTGTGGTCAAAACTGGAACAAGCAAAGGCGCCCCTATTGCGAAGCCACTGGAAACAACACCTTGGGATGCTCCCCAGGTTGGGCTCAGTGCAAAGAGTGTTGGAATAACATATCCCAGAGAGAGTGCAGGCATCAGTGCTCTCGCAACATACACGCCGACCCACCGACCTGGGGGAGCCTTGAACGACTGAAGTGCGGCTATGATCCCATGTAGAGGAGCAATCGTTGCCATTCCCACCCGCCTAGTCTGTATGCCAGCCACAAATAGGCTGGGCAATGAGAGGAGCGTGCCCTTGTTGCCAGCTCGATGGCCCTCAAGAGTGTACATCAGGAGCGGCGAGATTGTTTGTGACAGCGAATAAGCCCGTTGCAACTGAGAATTCAGCACTGACAAAGGTTGAAAGGGGTACCCCAATCCCAACCCCATTCCAACACAGAACACCGCCTTGGTCATTGCGAGCGGCCATCCTCGGATTGGTTTTGCTGGTAACTCGTGGTCATATGGCACGGCCCTGGGTCTGGTGGGCACTGGCAGAAAATCCAGCTTTGCGCTGGCAAGCAGCCTGGATCCCATCTGGCCAAGGTGGTGTTCAAGCCCGCTCAGGGGAACAACAAGATTAAGAACGAGTTTTGTGAGAAGTGGCTTTTCCGACGCGAATAGAGCTTGGGTATCATGGCTGAGCTTGGCAATGTATTTCGCTCTTTCGTACCGCGCGTCCTGTGTGTGCTTGGAGATGGCCTCGATCTCTGCTGTTGTCAAGCCGCACAGTCCATTCAGACGGCTGTCTCTTGCTCTGAGCAGAGAGTTGACAAACTCGGCTGCCGTTTCGATGGCGCCGTTTCCACCCATGCCACCAATGGGGTTTGGCTACGTGAGACACTGTCAGTCCGGATCGTCCTGTCTTTACTGTGAAACCCACCTTGTGTACGCTGTCTCCCATCAAAATCATTCTTTCCCAAAACCACTTCTTAAATACTATCTCGTGAAGTGGTGTCAAAGTCGACGAGATCCTGTTTTCAAAAATCCGTCCAAACGTCAAATCCTCTGTGATCCGGACGTGGGCGTGCTGCTGGACGAAATCCTCCTCGTCCTGTTTCGTGTATCTTGGAATATCCTTGCCGTATTTCACTTCAGGTAGACGCTTGAACATGAACCAATACACTCTGTTGTCGGGCCCCGATGCCACCAGAAACGAGTATCCCTCCCCAGACGTGAATGACTGGTTTTTTTCTGGCCAGTTTTCGACATGTTTGGCGATTCCAAAGCTGCACTGGTAGTGACATGGGACAGTTTGCTCTTCATCCTCAGACGGGAAGGACGTTGGGTTGTTTGATAGACTGGCGAGCCGTCTCATCTCGTGACGCACCGTGCTGTGAACTCCGTCGGCGCCTACCACAATGCTACCGGTGTGTTTCTTTCCTGCCTTGGTTGTCACGCTGATCTCACGGCCAGATTGTTCGATAGCCTCTACACGGCTGCTGAGCACAATCCGCTCCTTATGCCGCAGCTGATCAAAAAGGACTTGAAGAAGCCACTGTCTGTCAAAAAACAGCATCTCGTAACCGTGTCTAATCTCCAGATATCAAAATTCGGCTCTATAATCTTGCTGCAGGATACATACCTCTTCTTCAGGTGCGCAAAGAGATCCTCAGTGCAGGACACGGAACTGCCGTCTGGACGGCGCATGTGCGCGTACTTGACACTGTCGCCCTGAGCGACTGCTCGGACTGGCTCGTAGCATCCTATCTGGTCGAGAATCAGCAGCCCGTTAGGAAACAGGCCGATGCTCGCGCCCACTGCCGGTGCGATGTTGTCGCGAGCTTCCAGCAAGATGTAGTCAATCTCAAACTTTTCCAGCATATTGGCGAGTGTCAAACCTGCTATCCCCCCTCCCACAATAATGATTTTGAATGGGTCATCTGGGCTAGACATGGTAATGAATTGTTGAGACTGACAAAGTGGCTGTAGGCTTCTGTTTTTAATATATCAGTGTATGCCTACTGGTAGCGTAGCATTGCGGCATCTCCCCGGCATTCGGGCCACTCCCACCTCCGATGTTTGGTTCCGAAAGCGCTTCGCCAATTGGCCTCCGTTCTGCCTACCCTAGCTCATTCGGTACGTTAAATACCGATGGCCGATAGAAGTCTTTTGGATAATTGGGTTTGCTGGTCAAGAGACCACCCAAGGCGAATCGTGGTAGCATCTCCTGACCTCGAAAGCTCTACCTTGGACTTTAGTACATTGATGCCAAGACATATATATAGCTGCCATTGCAGTCTGCTATCAGGGGCTTTCACAATCCATTCTGTCAGGATTAGCGTGGCATCTCTCTCATTATGTCTTGTATTCAAGAGTACGCGCCAGCCTGCTTTGCTCACGAGCCCGCCCTGCCTGCTCTCGTGCGTACACCTCTCCTTACTCCTGCCTCTCATTCGGGGTGATCATTCGTCTGGTCAGCTTTACAATGCCAAAATAATTTACTCTCACTGGATATTTGTAAATGTTTCGTACTGCTCGGTTAACCCAACGCCCCGCACTGTCATCAAGACTCAGCCTCAAAAGGACCAATGATTGGTAAGATGCTATGTGGTGGAACCAACGTAGAAGGCCTGAGTGATGTCGGTAAGGTAGGTAATATGTTCAAACCCCTGCACAGGTCTAGACACCCACTCGCAAACTCTCGACACTAGTTACTCACGATATGCCAAACTTGCGTCGAGCGGGCATCAGATGTGTAGCACAACACAGGTTAGGAAGGTGAGTATGCTCTGTGTATAACCTCGGACGTATTGATGACCCGCTGGCTTTCATCTCGAGCCTCTCATCAAGTCGGAGCATTGTCTATAAATTACCTTGTCTCTTCCCAAGAGCATCACCCTCATCACAGCATCAAGCCACGAAATAGCAACCCATCAAACCTTCATCATGAAACTCACCTTTGCCTTGATTGCTGCCATTGCAGCCTCAGCTTTCGCCGCAGTTGGGGGCCGCTGCTCCAACAACTGGGGTGGTGATTGCATCTGCCTCGACTCGAGCGTCTGCCGGAACCGCTGGGGGGGTACCCCGTATACTGGCTCTCCGGGCAACTGGCCCTGCCCCAACGATCCTGACAACATCATGGCATGCGTTGTCAAGCCTTGCCCCGGTCAGGGCAGCGGCACCCAGTGCTTGTGGAGAAATGCTTGCCGCAGCCCCAACGGAAGTAAGAAACGTCCAACCTGCATGTTCTCTGTCACTCGGCTGACCATTCCAACAGACCCTGTTTGCCCGGGAGGTAACGACTTCATCTGCTGCAACCATCAGTGGTAGAGAAGGTACTAGGTAGTTAACAAGAATATTGAGTGTCATCATTTCAGTAAAAATCGCTGCAAGATACACCAACGCCTGTAAATGCAACATCGTATCGTGGTACCCAGAAAGCCACCTTTGTGACGACAGAAACCCCAAAACAAATTAATACACTGTAGCTTTTGCCCCAAGTCTTATCGTTACACCTTTTCGCCAGCCGAGATGGCCTTGGTCTTCTCGAGCAACCCAAATTTGCTGTCCAACTCCTTTCTAAGGGCTACATGTCTCTCCAGAAAGGTCACTGCTGCGCCGAGAAGCGCCATGGCCAGAAAGATGACCCAGACCAGCTTGAGGCTGGAGGCAAAGACGGCCCTGATTTGGTCTTGCACACCTGGGTCGCCGAACGCGCTGATCCAGCTGGCCGATGCATGCTCGTACGCCTGTCCGTTGCTGAGTTGGTCCTGCGCATTCGCGTCGTCTATAGTCTTTATGCTGGCCGCGAACTGAGCGTTGAACGCTGCGTTGGGAATGGCAACACCCAGGAGCGAGCCAAGGCCCCTGAGAAATGCCCAGGATCCCGTGGCTGCGGCATTCTCCTTGTCGGTAAGCTGGACGAGAACGGTGGGCAGGGTGGTGGAAACGATGATGCCGGATCCGATGCCGACCAGGAATGAAAACAGTATCCACAGAGCAGTTGAGGTGGACTGTTGGTAGACCACGCAGAGGAACAGACCGGCGGCCATGAGAACAAAGCCCACACGGTGCATGAGCCTGTATCTGCCAAACTTTGCCAGCAGTGGCCCGCCCAGGGCCGCCAGGATGACAATCGTCAGTGTGCAAGGAAGGATGAGGATTCCTGATTGGGTTGGCGAGGAGCCGAGAATGACTTGAAAAAAGGGCGGCAGGTAAAACTGAAAGCCATAGGTGATGAACCCGTGGATCACGGTGATAGCGAAAGCGGCTATGGTCGTCCTGTTGCTGAAGACGTGGGGCGCCATGATGGGGTGCGAACACCTATCGCTTCGCTCCCAAAACGCAAACGCAACAATTCCCAGCAAGCCTGTCCCCACGAAGGCCAAGATGGGAGGCGAGGTCCAAGAGCTGACAGCCGCCGAGGTGAAACCAAAGAGCATCATGATGACGCTGGCGGTCAAGACGGTGATGCCCAAAAAGTCGACCTGCGAGACCTTGAACCTCAGCTCTCGCCATGTTCTGGAGGGGTTCCCGTTGTTGAGGCTCAGCCAAAACCACATCAGGATCAGGGCGATTAGACAGATGGGAATGTTGATGCCGAAGCACCACCGCCAGTTCATGGTGGCAAACACTCCCCCCAGCAAAGGACCGACGGTTGTTCCGAGGGCGTAGACGGCCGCCTTGATGGCGACGTAGTGTCCCCTTTTCTGCAGCGGGATTATGTCGCAGAGGATCAGTTCTGCAAAGAGATCAATGCCCCCTGAGCCCATTCCTTGAACCACTCTGCCAAAGATCAGAACGGCGCTCGAGTCGGCCCAGCCCGAGATGGCGCTTCCGATGCCAAAGATGACGACGGCGGCCATCATCAAAGGCCGGCGGCCGCAGATGTCAGCGAGCTGGCCGTACAGCGGCTGAAAGACAATGGACGCTAGGAGAAAAGACGTGGCAACCCAGGATGAGTTTGATCCCAGGTTGAGAGAGCTGGAGATGGTAGGCAGAGCGGTGCTGACCACGCTCCCCTCAAAGGCGGACAAGAGGATCGGTATACAGACGGCTGTGAAGCACCTCCAAAACCCAGCTCCGCGGCGCCATCCTCCAGACGGGCCTGCCGGGGATGGCTTCTCCTTCTCCGTGTCCCACGAGTCTAGGGAGGAGGAAGAGGAACACTCGGAAGAGGTGAGGGGAATGGCCGAAATGACAACCACCTTCTCTTTGGACGATATGAAAGAGGCATATGATGGTGGTGGTGGTTTGATCTTGTCGTCGTCATGAATGGGGGTTGGACAGCAGTCGGACCTGGCGTCGATGCCAGAGTCTGAGCTGGTGCGGGCAAGGGTCTCGGTCTCGGACTCAATCTCAGTTACCGAGTCTGTATCGTGGTGGACCGTAGTCTCCTGATCAGTCTCGGCTCGGCAGGTCGGCCGAACACGAGGCTGGAAGAGACCCATGGCGAGTCGATACTCTCCCCAGGTGGGGAAAAGAATGATTTTCTGGTGCTAGCAGTGATCAAGACAATCGCGGACGGCACCAGCCGTTGGACAAGACCGAGTGAGGTAGGCAGATTTGTGCAGAGGCAAAGTTCAGATGGGACGATGGAGGTCAGGGCATGAATGGAACGTCTGGATGAAAGACTGGTCTCGCTTTTAAACTTGTGTCGAGCTCTACGTTGCTCCCCTTCTCTTGTCGATTTCCAAAGAGACTGACGGGCCTGACATTTCTGTCAATTGTCTTGGGGTTACAAGTTTGCGTGCTGCCAAGTCTGGGCCCAATGCCCGCCGTCTGGTCTGGGTATCCGTCCTGAGCACGAAAAAGTTTAATTCCTATGCTCACCTCTCACATTGTCATCGTCTGTCCTTTGGAGGAGCCACGTACCCACCCCTTGCCATACCGACAACCCGATGAGAACTGACCAACAGAGCTCACGGTGAACCGACGAGAGCGACACTAGATTGGTGACCCATCCATCACAGACTGCCAGGGCGCTTGGTCATAGCTGAGTTTTCGCCGCGTGGAACGTTCATCGTACACTTCATATCCCGCTATCGGACAGGGAAGGGCGGATGCTTTGTTGTCGTGGGAGGTTCCCGAAGCTCCTTCTGCCATGCTCCATTCAGTCTATGAGGTGTCTGAGTAATGTCCGGATCTTTGGCCTGCCGTTGGGAGTCGATCATGATCCAATTCCGCACTGGTTGTGCCACCGATGACCTAGGTAGAGAAAGGTCGGGGGACACAGTATCCGACGAGCTCTCATTGGCTCTCGTTGTGATCGAGGCGGGCACGGACAGTGTTTGGCTCAAGACTCTTCTTTTGTCAGTGTTGATTGGTTACCCAAGGGTTGGCAGCCCTTGGTGCTGCAGCGAAGGAATGACTGATGAAGAATGAGTTCAGCCAAGAGCTACTATATATCTTGACAGGCTCTTCAGCCGCACTTGGCTTACGAACGCGAACTGGGCCGTCTGTTCCGCGAACCATTGTCAATGGCATCTCCACAGGATGCCTTGATTCGCTGCCTTGGCTCTTGATCATGTCAATGTCAGACTACAAGAAAAATTTTTACAGGTTGGTGGTTGTATTCGTATCCGAATCCATCCCAAAGCAGGCTTGGCCCATTTCGCCTGCTTAGGCTAAAGAGGTTTGGTAGAAGCAAAAGAAAATCTGGAAAAGTTTGACAGGTATGTAGGGTTGTGTTTGACATTCTAAATCCAGAAACATCGAGTCAAAAGAGGGCTAGGTTCCGAAACTACTCCCAAGTCAGTGTTGTGGCATGCTCGCTTCCACCTTTTCCCGACACACGAGGCGCCCATTCATTCCAGATGGACAAACTTTCTGATCCGGCCCGAGGGAGTCTTACTCGGAGAATTGGCCAGTAATCCGGAGGGAAATGCCGAACTGAATCAGGGCGGAGAGGTTAGCCAAAAGTCTATATCTGCCTGCTTTTCCACGCTCCTGTCACAAACCAAGATTCGTGATTTGGCAACCAAAGCACACCACCCTTCATTCTACATCTTGTCACAATGGTTTCTCTTCGCCTCATGTTTCTCGCCCTGGCCCTTGGTGCCTCGGCCAAGCCTGTCGACTCGGACGCCCTTGAAGCTCGCCAGGACGGAGCGGACAAGATCGATGGCTGTGCCACGGTTCGTTGCGCCAAAGGCACAACCTGCAAAGTTCTCCTCGGCAGTCCTCTATGCGTTCCCCTCGACGCTCGCGAGACCAAATGCGGCACCGCTGTTTGTGCCGCAGGGATGGTCTGCTGCAACGCATCTTGTAACCTCTGCACCAGACCCGACATGATGTGCACGCAGCAAGTGTGCCAGTCGCCCGACACCAAGCCTCCTCCTGTCGTGGAGGAGCCGCCGGTCAAAGATCGAATCTGCGGAACCAAGATCTGTCCCGTCGGACAGGAGTGCTGCAACTCGAGCTGTGGTTACTGCCGCGCACCCGGGCAGGGATGTACCAAAGAGTTCTGTGCTCCCACACGAGTACAGTGTGGCAAGGTCGTGTGCACAAACGGCAATGTGTGCTGTAATTCTTCGTGTGGCATCTGTACACCACCTGGAGGCTTCTGTACTCAGCAGTTCTGCGCCAGTTAAACTATGCCAAGTTTTGGTCGCAGGTGCTGGGAACAAGTTTGACTGGGTCGTGGTTTGGGGCTCTCTACTCGGGTTGGCACAAAAAAGGGGTAAAGGGGGGTGGTGACATGTATCAAAAACGCAAAAAAGGGGTTTTTTTTACCTTTTGCTTGGTTGAAATCTAGGTGTAAAATGACATATCATGCCCATATTAATCCACGTGGTACCTGCTTCAAGACATTTCAACATGTGATCCCGTCATTCCGGCCAAAGCGAACCAGGTAGCTCGTTCCGCTCGTAAGCTCGGTGAGATGTCCAAGCTGCACCAGCACACCAACCCCAGCATCCCCGCTCGTCAGCAATGGGGAAACTGTCCCGACCAAGAGGATCTCATTGTTTGAAATCCCATGTCAGCCGATCGGCTTTCCGACACAAATGCTTACCAACTGGAAGATGTCATAGGAGATGGAAGTTCAAAAATTCTCCGAAAGCTTTACCAAAACACCGGTACCGGAAGTCCTCGGAAAAGTATCAGAATCTGGGGCAAAGTGGGAAATCAAAAAGTAGCCTGTCAGCGCGCTCTCACAACGTGACCATCGGTTTCTCTATGAGAAGGCACAATGTTGGGCAATATCAATATAGGAGCATTTCGACCCGACGTTCCCTATCAGTGTCCCAGGTGGGTTTGACTACCGCTTGACTGGTGTGTAGAGGTAATATACTCCGTGATCGGTGAGGTTACGGATCGCCCGTGTAGTTCCAGAAGTTCATTGATGGAAAAGATCTCTTGAGCACCAGGACTCCGTGTGTTTCCCTGATTGTCTTGAAATGTCCCCGGCGCTTTCCCCCTCAGCAGTCTTTCCCTCTGGTGCTATCGTTATGAAACAGACGAGTGGCTGTCAAGTTGCTTTCTCGATGGCAGCGAAAGCTCCAGATAAATTGCCCTCGACTCAGCCTGCGCTTGTGCTCCCAGTCTCACTGTGATGTCCTACTTGGGCTCACTTTGCTTTTAATCCGACCTGCAACCCTCGTATCTCGAATTCTGGCATCACATTCCCCCTCCCGATTAGGAAGCCGTGCCGAACCTCACCTGTTACAGGCCTGTCCATTGGTCTCCCACATCTTATGCGGGATAAGCTCGGAGGTCGCTTTTCCCTGCGCGATATCGGGTATTTGCCAGCGGATGGGAGAATCGGCGGCGCAATCTTGGAACAGTAGTCCTCGTCTATGGTATGGCGGTCAGAGACAGTGGTGACAACGGCGAGGAAGAGGGCTGTGCATAGGACAGTGTACGTCTGATACAACCTGCTGGGGGGCGGTCGATCCATGACAGGCCCAGAGTTGTTGTTTCCTGCTGATCACTTTGTCTCAGGGGCAAGCTCAGTCCTGGCGTTGTTGGGGTAAAAGGGGAAAGCTTCTAACCCTGGCTCTTGAAAAGTTTCAATCACTAAAAGTCGAAGAAACCACACGACTCTACCACTCCGTGAACATCATGCGCACCACGCTATCCCTACCAGTTCCCTCTCAAAAGCAGCTCCGCACTGATCACGGTGTTGTAGTTCGGTGTAGTTCTCTCCTCTGATCCCATATGTCATGACCACATCCACATACAACCCCATCTTGCCATGATCCCTCTCATCGCCATTGCTGAAGCTCAAAATATCCCTTCGCAGCTCTTCAAAGCACACGAAACCTCATCCGGCAAGTCCTTCTCCAAGTCAACTTCGAGATGTGCCTGGACGGGGGCCCACGCGTGGGTTACGTACGCAACCGGCGACCTTGGATAGCCTCTCAATCCGGGTATCAACACGCGAAATCTGTTCTTGTCTGCTGGGGGATTGATGGCCGAGATCTTTGAGAATAAAAGGCGGGAAATGGTGTCTTTGTCCGGATGATGTGCGTGGAAACGCGGGGTGCCGTAGATGAGATCCTGTCCATTCGCATCAAGGCAGGCATTTAAAGTCGAGACTGACCCTTTGAACCCACAAAGAATCCAGGTTGACCCCATTGTCGAGGGCAAAATGGTGAACCTAAAGTTGATTTGGACAAGTTAAGGAGAGAGAAGGACAACACTTCTGCCTGTTTGTTCTTGTCAGGGGGGCACAGGCAATTGCAGATCATGCAAACGACCAGCATCGTGTATTTGGCCACTATCCAAAAAGAAAAAAAGTGGGTATCAAGTAATAAAACCTCCTCTAAAACCCAGGCGGAAGTCCTTTTGGCTTCGCAGGCTTCCCCCCATTCTTCTTCAGCTCGGCATTGTACTCGCTCCTCTTTCTGATCATGAATGCAATGCCTAGCAACAAATCTGTCTCATACTGCGCCTGCTTTGCCGCCGCCTTCCCCATGGCGCTCACTGGCACAAAGTGCAGCAGGGGCCTCATGACCCTCCCAGCTAGCCTCTCAGCTGTCATTTCGTTCCTCTCGGCCTGGTCGGCTATGTCGCCCCAGAGCGTCAACAGCAACTTGAAGAGGCTCCTCTCCGGGCCCTTGATGCCCATGAGTGCCTCCTCCCAAAAGTCAATGCCCTGGTCTATTCGCAGCGCCATGCTTCCCGCCACATTCGACTGCTTGCTCAGCTTGATCCACCTCTTGGCCAACGAATCCGGAACAAGCGGCTTAGGCAGTTCGTTTAGATACACAAGAATCAGGTCGGCAGCATCGTAGACAGTAAAGTCCCTCCAGTCCAGCACCTTGCCGTAGCCAGTCTGTGGGTTGTTGAAGATCTCCCGAAGGTCAGACACTCGATAGCTGTCGCCGTCTTGACCAAAAACATGCGGGCACTCCGCCAAGCCCATGTCCCGGATGTAGTACACGCAACGCAGGATGCAAAGAGGGTAGTCCCGCGCACTCTTGCCGCCTGCCGAGCCTCCTTCGTGGGACGTCGAGGCTACTCCCTTGGCAACCTTCATGGACTGGGCAACCGGTACTCCAAACACATTTGTCGAGGTCAGCGACTCTGCAAGAGAAGGAGTCGAGGTGGAGGGGTTGTGTGAGTGTGTTGGTGTGGCAGGCTGGCTATGCTTGGTGGACCGAAGGCCGAGGCGAGAAAACGCGCTGCCTAACCTGGACGAGCTCCTCTTCCCGCTCAAGCCGCTGGTGCTCGTGGAGTCCCTGTCTCGATTCCCGGTGGGCATGTATGGACTCTGCGGAGGGGAAAACATAAAGTTGGAGCTTGAGGGGGTTGGCGGGCGTGTCATGCCAGACGATGACATTGGCGGCAGCGCAGGGACAGGTGGCGGCATGGGGATTTCCGCTCGGGGATTCTCAAACACAGAGTACCGAGAGAGGGAGTGAACAGACTGGTTCATGCCGCTCGAGCGCCTCGATTCCGACCCGTGAAACGAGTTGGAGTCGCCGCTTTGGGAGGAGTGGTCGTGCGAAGAGGTGTAATATCCCTGCTGGCTTCCCTGTGGTGGTGGGTGGCCGTGCTGGGCGAGGATGTGCTCCGACACTGGGTGCAGGGCTGGAGGGGAGAAGCTCCGGATTCGAGACATTGAGTCCTTGTGGTTCAAGCTCATGTTGCTGCTCTGCCCGCTTGCCCTCGAGGCAACGCTGCTGCCGGCGTTGGACAGGGAGCCGTAATAGTTGCTGTCGGTATCGGAGATGCTAGGGGCCTGTCGCGTGTGCTGTGGGTGCTGATTGTGGCTAAAGTTGGGGATGGCAGACGACGAGCTTCCCAGTCGAGACGTTGATCGTGGTGGTGGTGGCGGTACGCGGTTGCGCACATCGCGAACGGGCATCATGTTTGGCGGCATCTCGTGAAGCTCCCCGGAAAACTCGTCCATTTCGTCAAAAAACGTACCGTCCACTGCGTCTGGCCTGCTGGGTCGTGGTGGTGCTTTCAAGGGTTGCTTCTTGGTCAAGAAGGAGGACGACTCGTCGCAGCTCATCTCGATGGCGCTGTCAGGGGCCTCGGCTGCTTGCGGTGGTGGCTTCGGCTGGCTTTCAGGCTTCTTTCTCGCCGATGGGGGCGCCGAGAGGTTGGCATACTCGCGCAGTGTGTCGAAATACTGCTGCAGTGTGGTGAGGGCTCTGTTTGGGCGCATTTCCGGCGGTGGTTCGCACGAGGTTGAGATGATTCGTGCTGCCACCTCGGCCAACTCGTCCACGTCCTCGGAGCTTGCGTCGTTGTCATTTTGGGCTTTGCTTCTATTTGGCAACAAAACATCAGCGCCTGGCTCACACCCAGCCTCTCGAGGCAGCAACCTACGCGTCAACAAAGTCAACAGCCAGCCCGAGCGCGTCCTTGTACCGTCCCAGCGTCCAGTGCAGCCTGTTGATGTGATCACGGCTCGCCATCCACCGGGCCTTCTTGTCCGCCCTCGAGACGCCGGGTCGGTTGAGCACAGATATGCACCCTTCGAGCTCGTTGATCAGGGTCAGGCAGCAGTCGAGCGCACTCGGGGTCTGTTCGGCCAAGAACGGTGGAAAGGAGGCGGCATCGTCGCGGAGGAGCTGGAGGACGCCATCGAGCGAATGGAGCTCGCTGGAGATGCTGTCCAGCTCCGACCGAGACTCGCGCACTTCGCGGACAAACTTGCTGAGGGCAAGCGAGGTCCTCGCAACGGCGTTGCTGGCGGCGAAGCAACCAGTATTCATGGACCTGTCCACGTGTTTGTCAGCACCGTTTTGCGTGATGGGAATCTCCAGTTTGTCTTACACCCAGTCCAATCGTTGTCCAGCACTTGGATCCATGGCTGCAGCTCGGTCGTGGCCACCGGTCGTGGGGATCAGGGCAGCACAACAGGCGGAGGTGCAGAGGATATAGAAATAAACAATCAACAAGTCAGGACGGGAGCTTGGAGGGAGCACGCACGCACACAGCGTCCCATGGTACGGACATGCATGTCAGCCTGCGAGAGAATTGGCCCCGATCTCCCATCACCCAATGCTGTTGCACCCCTCCATCTCGTCCCCAAGAAGCCCAGGGTCAGCCAGCTCGCCACGCGCTTGGCCGGCGCCAGTGGTTCGCATCCATCTCGGCCCATTCAGACCAGGCCCTACAGCCCCAGGGGACCCTCAATCCGGGCCCCACCATCCGGTCCCCGTTGCTCTTTTTGCAGCATCCAACTGCGGATTCCAAGTCCGAGGGTTTTTTTTTTTTTTTTTTTTTCCCCGTGCGATGTCCTGTCGGGTGTCCTGCCTCAAGCACCAACGTACAGCGGCTGGGTGGATGATAAGGAATGGTGCTGCAGAAATAATCAAACGTGCACCTGCCGTTGCAGGACAAGTGTCCCAAGCCAATCGTTTGACGTGACCGGGAAAAGCGTCGACAGCGGAAGGCCATTCGACACAGAAAGGAGTGACGGCCCGTGGGATCCCCTACTGAACTCTGACCCGATCGCGACCCCTGGGAAAATGCTTGGGCTGCCGGTTCAGGCGACCGGGCCCACTGGCGAGCAGAATGCGGGGAGGGCGGGGCAACCTGGAACCTGGAAGGCAGGTAGAGCTCAAAACTCGGGCCCTCGGGCCTCACTCACACATGGAAATCGAAACAATATTCTCGCATGTGTTTTTCATGTGTTTTCCCTCTGCCACAACATGTAAAGTTTCCCCTCTCTCCCTCTATGCTCCCATCACCATGAAAACTCTTCCCTCCGTAGGGCCGACCACCACCAGCTCTGTGAGCGAGGTTACACTGTCACGTCGGTAAAACTCCGAGGTGGAATTGCGCATCGACGCAGCGCAACGTCTTCAGGGGGCATCCAGTGGTCGACCGAAATGAAACAAACCACCAAGAGGAACCTCGCCGTCCGTGCTCAAGAGCCGTTGAAACATTTGACGGAACTTTGGATTGGCAGGAACCGGCATCATGACATGACTTGTTGTGTTGCTCACAGCTCATCTCTTCATTCTTCATCACACCTCTTGTGGAGAATTTCCATCCAAGGTAGCATCTGCATGTCAATAGGCCCGTCATCCCAGTTTTAACTCCGGTGATATATCAATCAGGAAAAGGATGAATTTTATTCCGTGCAGTCTAGGTCGTCGTCGCCCTTGGCCTCAGCAGCCAACACCAATGCCATATATCAGGATCGCTCTCGAGCCTTTTTGGGCCAGTAGCCACCTTGGTCAGCACCGACACCTCAAACAGCTCCTGCACCCTCTTGCTGTCCATCTCAAACCTCGAGTCCGAAAAGCTGAGCGATATCCACACGCCCTCCTCCTTGTCCAGCACATCGTGTATGGCCTCTGCCATCTTGATGACATTCTCATCCCCGCCGCAAGAAACAGCATCGACGGTGCTTTTGTCGATGACCATCCTCACTTTTCCTCTTTGCCCCAGGTCCAGTTCCAGCGGCAACGTGATATCCTGCACCTGATACCCCATTTCAACATTGCCAAACTCGTTGCTCTCCATCGCCTTCCCCCGTTCAAGAGCTAGAGGCTCGTAGTCCATGTTTATGACTTGTAGCTGTGGAAAGTGACGTCGAAAGTACACATGCAGGTCGCTTGTTCCCGAGCCGAGGTGGAGCACTGTTGAGCCTGTTGACAGCGGCGTAAGAAGAGGCTCGAGGATGGAGAAAAAGGTGCCAGACGACGTGAGCCATTCAAAGGACTCTTCCTTGGCGAAGCGTTTGCGCCAATATTCAACTTTTTCAAAGTCGGCCGGCATTTTCGTACTTTGTTGCGGTAATAGGTTGTTTGATTACCCTGTTGTGTTGATGATGTTGATCAGAGAAAATAGGTAGGCTGGTTGCCAGTTGAGGTGAGGAATCATGAGGAATCATGGTTTCGATATCAGTGAGTCTTTGTAGACGGCCTTCTTACTTTATCTTTTTGTGTTTGCAAAGTTTAACACTATCCGAGGTTATGCCGAATTGGTAAATGCTCCTAGCTATGAGGTTACTGTCCAGAGACAAGACTTTGACGATCCACCTGTTACCTAAGATGCCGCCACGAATCAAGAGGTTTTAGTCAAGCGAAGAAAGAATTACACTCTCTAACAAGACAATGACAAATCACGCAGGGCATGCCAAACTAAAGCTCGCAGAGAACCAAAGCCTAGACCGGCTTCCAAGATTTTGATACTCGTGCTGCTGAACAAGATTCCAATACAGCCAACGCTCAGCAATGCGATGCAGGCAATCCCCTCTGATGAAAATAAACCCCCAAACTCCAGAGCAGACCGCCGCCCATGTGTTTTCGACTAGTCCTCAACGCCATGTTCCCATCTGTTCCTACAAAGTCCCGACCCGCCGTTCCCAATGATACCGCTGATTTGGATGTCCGCCGTCCGTATAACCCTAACGCCAAAAAAACCCTCCGACCCAAATTCACTGCCCTAGCCCTTCCCGGTACGTCTCCCAATCCACGATGCTGATGACATCTGAAATCTTCCCATGTTCTAGCCAGTAGAATACATGTTCTGCCCATTCGACCTCGTCACCGGTGGGCGATGCGCCCATCCAGCTCTTGACCGGGGTCCCGACAAACTCTAGCCTCGCTGCAATCATCTGCCTCCCTTCGTCCACGGCGCAAGTGTGCACCTGGAACTTGAGATCGGGGACGTGGTCCATGGCGTCTCGCATGAGATTGATGTACTTGTCTACCGACAGGTGCACTCCATTGTGCGTCACTCCCCCAGTCTTGCAAAACGGCCTGACCTCCTGATGCATGTGCTCGACCCCGGAGTTGATGGCGTCGATGTAATCCTCATAGAACGTCTTGAGGTCAATCGAGACAGGTGGAGGTGGTGGTCGCAGCCCGGGTACTGGTAACACTCTTCTGGGCTTGGCAGCAGCCAGCTTGCGTCTTGATATCCTTGGTGGCTCTTCCCTCATATCGTAGATACTGCTGATCTTTCCCTTGTCGAAGCTAACCACCATGTGTCTGGCATACTCGGTCCTTTCGGGGGAGCGCATGCTACCAGCTCTGCCCCTCTCGGGAGTCAGATTCCGGACACATATCCTAGCCGCGACAGGATCAGGTCTGAACAGCTTGAGCTTGCCAGCTGGCGGGTTTGGGTGAAAATCCCCGCCGACCATGGCGGCGATGTGCAGCTTGCTGGTCGAGCCTTGGCCAAACTCCTCTTTGAAAATGTGGACAAGGTCGTGCAGAGAAACTGACTCTCCATTGTAGGAGAGTTTCTGGTTGGCGATGTTGGGCAAAAACTCCCACTGGCGCCTGTTGATACGGTCGACAAACAGGCGGAATCGATATTGATTTGTTAATGGTGGAGGTGGCCTCACGCCGAAGCGCTCGTATCGGGCGTTGACGTCTTCCATGGATTCCCGCTTGCGCCTTTTGGAGCTGTGTGAGCTGTCTGAATCTGGCGTCCCTGGCGATGGCCTTTTTCTTGATGACGACTGTGATGGCGGTGATGGAGTAGGTGATGATGATGACGCTGTGGCAGCCAAGGGCGGCGACATGGTGGGCCGCGATATCCGCAACTCTCGCCGGCTGTGCGACATGTTGAATTTTGAGGCCGACCACTGAACAGAGGATGGTTGGTTTGGTCCAAGAGCGCCAGCACTTTGATGACAGGGATGGTGCGCGGTGTGGTGATTGATGGATTTGGCTTGTGGTTGCTGCTGTTTGATGCTGTGGTGAGTGAGTGGAATCAAGGTCGCGCGATTGCGCGCCCTCACGTGCAAAATTAATCGAGGCGCAGGCTCAGAGCCGCAGGCGCGTCACAGGCCACCAACAGAACCTGGCCCGTGCACCGTGCCTGGAAAAGTGGGACGGCTTCCGCTCGACATCAGGACGCGTCGCGGTCTTTGAGCTCAGCTCCCCTACTAGCAAAACACGCAAAGCTGGCCAGTAGTGGTATATAAAATGACACCAGCCTGGAAGCCTTTTTGGAACCATTTGTTCAGCGCCACGGAGTCAAATCTCAGACAACCACATCGCCAGCAAGTTCGGCATGAAGGATTGTTATGCGAGGTGTTGAAGGAGCTCACAGAGCAGGTGTAAATTTTAAAAATGGTGATCTGTAGTCCAGCTCTCCGAATCATCCACAAGACCCATGGCAGAGAAGCGAGAATCTCATCTGTGCTGCGGGTCTGTTCAGTTTTCGAGTCATCGTGGAGCCTGATGCAGCTGCAGCAACACGACCCGAAGGCATTTCCAAAGAGCTTGGAATTGACAAACCAATCATCGTCTATGAGCGTAGATACTACGGCTGTTAGATCACAATCTAGCCCTAAGTGGCTCTTGTTTCACCTCCTCCTCTGCCCTTTCCCTCTCCTTCTCAAACCCCCTGAGTTTGTGAGCCACCATGCCCTTCCAAACTGTCAGCCACTCATCGCAAAATGCGGGCAGCATTCGGCCTGTTGTTCCCTCCTTGGGATCGCCCGCAATTTTTCTCAAAAACTCGAAAAAGTCTCTGTAATCCGGAGCAATGCTGTAATAGTCTTTGCCCCCTTTCTTGGCAGCCGCTCTCTTTGCTTCCCAGCGTTGTTGGTCAGCAACTGGTGGTAACGGCTGAGCACGACCAGCCAAGTGACGAGCCACGGCAACGGCTTGCCACTCATATACCTTGAATGTAAACCCTCCTCCAAGCTGGCTTTCAGTTAGTTACCACAGCGTAGGTAGAACAAAAGATTGACAACATACCATACCAACAAATGTGAGTGTTGGGTCGAGAATATCAAACGTATGCTGATAAACGCCCGGAAGTCTCCTGTATGCTTTCTCCACTCTCTCCTGAACGACTGGTAGAAACGGAAAGCTGAACGTGTAGCCGGTAGCAAAGATGATATGGTCCACATCCTTGACTTTGGATCCGTCCGTGAAAAAGACTGTCCCTGTCGTCGGACACAGACTTGATATCTGCTTCTTGATCACAATGTGAGGGTGTATGAACGGCGTCCAGCCAAACGATGGGATCGGATCTCCTCTGATGGAAGAAATGAGGGGCTTTTGGGCAAAAGGAAGGATTTCATGCACGATTTCATGAGCGGAAACTGACCCACCCACAACAATCACTTTCTATGTCTTGTTAGCATCAAGCAATCAATAAAAAAAAAGAACTTACTTTTCCCTTGTACTTTTCCCCGTTCCTAAAATGTTTGCTATGCTGGATTCTCCCCGGCCAGCGTTTGTCAAATTCAATCAATCCTTCCGTCTCTGGAATCCAAGGGACATTATAATGTCCACTTGCCACGACCAACCCGTCAAACCTCTCCTGCCACCAATAGTCCTTGTCTTCTTGCCCGTCTTTCCGAAGAGTCAGCACCCACTCCCCGTCGACCTTCTCCGCCCTCTCCACCGTAGTGTTCAAGCTCAAGTGCTTGTCACTCCCTCCCCGGGTGAAGATATCTTCTATCCACGTTCGAATCACCTCACGATGCCGGAACGGGGCGTCCAAACCGTATCTCTGCACGCTTCTACCGCTGAACGTCCAAGGCAGCGGCTCTTGCGTATAGCCCATTATGTCTGGGTGAATGTTACTGTGCAGGTGCTCATGCTGGGCTGAGTCGCTAAACCTCAGTTGGTGTGAGTTTACTTGCTCGCTCTTTGGCGTTTCGGTGGGGAATTGCTCCGGCACCGGCACGGCAACATCTGCCTTTCCCGCCAACAACAACGGAAGAGAGGAGATGGCGGCCGGGAGATGAGGTGTGTAGACCCTGTGCTCTATTGTCAATACACCTAGATTAAAATCTGTCCGAGACGACATACCATGTACCCCCAATTATGGGTTTCCTATCAAACACTCTGACCACATCAAAAGCCTGTTCTTTGGCAAGAGCATCTGTAGCAATAGCACCAGCTGGGCCAGCACCAATCACAGCTACCCTGCGGACTTGAGGGACTGTGGCCATGATTTTACACACACAACAAACTAAGACGAGATGCACAAACTCGAGATTAACAGCCTGAGAATGCTCAAGTCCTCACCGTTTATATGCCCCGCAGGATGGCGCCTTGCTGGCTCGGCATCACGCAAACACATCTTGCAGATGCTCCCATCTCCACAGTTACACCATCACAAGCTGCAGTGACGAAAATCTTGGATCCGTTATCCCCGTGTATCCTGTGAGAAAGATGTATTGGCCCAGTAGTAAAATATGCCTGCCAGCGTGTGCTCGTGTGTGTATATATGAATCCCATGCTCTTTTAGATGTTGCCTTGAAATAAATGTCCTGCCGATCTTCCTTGCCTGCCCATGGTTCGATCTGATCCTGAAATAGCCCAAAACTCCAAAAACTCCGTCGCTTAGTATTCTTTTCAGCCTATCCGTGACCCAGACACCGTAAAAAAGCAAAAAAAGTACGTGATCCTGTTGGTGGTACATGATTAACCTCCTCACTCAAGCGCCGCCTCCTCCACCGCCTCCCGGCACACCGGTGCCGTCGTGGAATAATAACAGTGGCCATTGCGCACCGGAATGGGCGTTGGCAACGTTTCCAACACCCATGGCGTCGGCCTGCGTTGGTACACCCTCGACAACGTGGCCCAGCTGGACATCACCTGGCCTGCCTGACCCTAGAGTAAGCAACGCACTCGCGCTGAAGCGCTCCTGGCTGTTGTTCCCGGCGGCGCCCGCGATGGCGGCAGTCCAGTCTTGCCATGTGTTTGCCGCGTTGTGCGCCATCATTTGTGCAGCAGCCGATGCTTGGGCTTGGGGACGCCAGTCGTCTGTTGACTGTCCGGCAACATGTTGTGTTGCCTGTGATGCGAATGCAATCAGTGGGTTGGTTGGCTCGACAGGCGTAGAACCGTTGGGGGAGACGCTTGCCGCTGTTGCTGCCGACGCAGCCGCATAGAGGTACGACGCGCCATCCGCCGAGTCGAACGTTGCAGCACCGCCGTTTTGCTGTTCAGCACCTTGGTCCGCGTACGTCAGGGCCGGATACAGCGTGCTGGAGCTGGGTACGGGACCCGAATCGTAGTAGCCGTTTCCGTTGATGGGAGCGGGCTGTTGGTCTGGTTGTGTCCCTCCGCTGGCGACGGCCGATAAGCCATGACTGGGGTCCTGTTGAGACTTCAAGCTGTGTGGCTGGATGTCCTGCGAGGAGGCATCCTTACGGGCCATGTCCTGCTCGATCCAGCCCAGAGTGCGTTCGATGATGACCCCAACTTCGGTAGCCAGACGGTTCCCTGTACCTACGTTCGTGTTAGCCAACGTCGACCAACAATAAACAGACAAAAGCTTACCAAGCAAACGCCCAATCTCCCCAATGATGGCCAGCCATGTGGCCATATCCTCACGGGTACTGGCAACCTCCAAGACCGTCGTCTCAAACCGCCGCTCCCACTGCGCAACAAGCTGCGTGAAGATGGCGGCCACGTACACGGCCAGCTGATACCACGTCGTATCGAGGGACTTTAGCGTGTGCAACGTCGACACCACCTTGAGCAGCTTCTTTGCGGTCTCTTCGCATATCCTGGTATTTTCCGCACAAAACTTGGGATCGTCCGTCATACAGACTGAAGGATGTCTCAGACACAAGGTAAACTCGAGACAAAACGCCTGTGTATAAAGCGCAAAAACCTTTGCTTCAGGTTTGGTCGTTTCTACGTTGAGCTCCTCGGGAAGATTGTCGAGCATGTTGCGCATTCCATCCTCCAATTCTCGGACCACGTCGACGTACGTGCTTGGGTCCCGCCGCGCACCATACAGTTTGGAAAACATTTCGATCAGCAAAGGCGTCACTTTGAATCCCATCAGACCAACTTGGTAGTTGCAATGTCCAACTTTGGACTCGTCCAGCACCCCCTCTTCTCCCAGAAACTCATCCGGAATCGCAATGGGGAATTCCACGTCGAACTCTTGGATAGACAGGGGCATCGGCCGGCCGAGTCGACCGTTGATGGTGCTATACAAGGCCAGAATGGCCCACCACACGCGTTTCCGCGTTTCGTTTTCCAACGTTGTGCCACCGCCGGGAATCTTGATCGCACGATGCAGATTCAGCTCGATTGCCTTCATAAAGGCAAAACTGGCCAGCGTCAGAGCACAGCCGGGCTTGGGGAAGTTTCGAGTGTGCGACATCATCATGGCGAGAGCTTGGACGGCCGTGACAGACTGGGTTGTGGCGAGATCATAGAACTTGCTGAGGCACCAGTGGTAGTGCTTGTTGGACAGGTCGTTGAGCTGAACGTACTGCTCCGGCTTTTCTCTGTTTCGAACACCATACTGGAAATAGATGGTAGCAAACACCATGTGGGTAATGACCAGTTCCGGGACTGAAGGTTTGAAGTTTGGTTCATCGTAAATGCGCCTCAACTGGTGTCCCGGCATAGTTAGTCCAACTCTCGCTTTACACAGGGGAGACGACCTACCAGCTGGAGAAAGGAAGGCTTGTGCAAGATGGGAAGAAACGGTGACAGGGTCAGAAAGTACCACTCGGCATAGGTGAAGGCGTCATGTCGAGAAGGCAATTCAACGTTGGGCGGGGCGGGATGGATGTTGAGCGAGGTCTGGAAGAAGGCCTGGACAGATTTGTTGTACAGGGGCGTGCCAAAAGTCGTGCCCGCCGGCGGTTCGTCCATGTCTGGGCCGTCAAACGAGGCTGTAATATCGAGAGTTGTGCCCAGGATGGACAATGTAGTTCCCTTGATGGAGCTCAGCGGCTCCTTGTCCGAAGACACGCCGAGATGGTTATTGGCAGGCCTCGCTTCGATCAGGGGATATCGCGTGCTCGAGCTGCGCTCCGATGGCGGTTTTTGCCGGCCTCCCTTCACCCACACCAAGCCGACCTGAGACCACGAGTCCTTGAGAGGGTTGCCCACGGCGTCAAAAACCATACCTTCGGGGTAGGTGTTGTTGTACCCAGGGAACTGCCACGGCCTGACCTCGACGCCATTGTTCTCCAACAGTTTTTCCAGCGACCGTATGTGAGCCAGCATGGCACCCTTTTCACGCTCTAACTGTTGCAAGTATCCTCGACGCTCGGTGCGCCCCGTGACTCGGTCGGTGACATAGCATTCGAGATTCTGGTTGGTACAATGGGAGCATCCTTCGGGGAGCGCATCGCAGCGAATCTTTCTAACCTAACAGCCGATTAGTTTGGGTCAAACACACCAGAGAAGAAAAGAGCATACCTTGCACCTGTCGCAAGCCTGGCCTGTCCGGGTGTACGATTGCAGCTTGGACTTGACAACGCTGGAAAAGTCCTCGGGACCGCGTTCGAGACGCGGCAGCTTCACCTTGGTGGAAGCGCCGTCGCCTTGGTCAGAACCGGTGGAGTCACTGGCCCGCTTCAAGGTGTTTGGGCGGCCTGGAGGCATAGTGATTGGATCTGTATTGCGCCGCTATTTTGGCGACAGACACTCTGAGGTGTCCTGATTTGCGAGGCTGCCCTGGTGGTTTTCTGTGCCGCGCCACCTCAGCGACGGGCGGCGATGGGATGGATGCGGCGACCCGACGCCTTCTGGTTCCTATGTCGTCCTGGGTCGTATGCGCCTCCGAGTTGGGGAGAGATGGAGAGTGTGTTACAGGTCGATGGTGGAATGGCTGGTGTCCCAGCGGGTTTTGCCGGTGTCAATTGGAAGCTGGGAAGGAGAATGCCTGGCGATGGCATGACCCTGTCTGAACGTCGCGTCCAGACCCCCGGGATTGGCAGCAGCTCCTGCCGCCAGGCGTTGTCAAGGAGGGCCATCACACTGCATCCGGCGAAAAGTGGGCCTTGGCAATATTACAAGCGTAACGGGAAGGTCCCTTGTCTCTGCTTCATCTCAGCGCGGGATGTCGATGATAATGACATGTAGATTTGCTCCTTGCGCATGGTAAAGAAAGGAGATGTCATGAGTCCTAGGACAAGCTTTGAGATATGAAATCGGTCATGCAGGATTGACATTGTCTACGGTAGTGCATGTGAGGCGACATGTTAGCGGTATCGAAAATACATGGAGTGGTACCGGCCCCACTTACATTTCTCGGTGATCAAAGCTTGGTGCCCCGCGCTCTGCCCCTCCAAAGTTTCCTGCACCTACATTGACTTTGAGATTGACAATCCGACAAAAGAACAACCACTAGCATCACCAAATCCATGAGCAAAAGACCAGCGTCCAGCGAGACCTCCGACCTCTCAACCACCTCGAAACGTCCCAAACCCCCTTCCAACATCACCATGTCCCTCGAGCGCATCCCCCTCGAACATATTCCCCCAAACTACAGGGTATACGGAGCTCTGTTTCGCGACGTATCCAACGCTCCCTTTCTCCAAACTCAGCTGATTTCCCGAAACCCCGAATTCGAATACGCCTTTATAGATGCTTCTACCATTGTCTCGCGCGCCCATCTCCTCGCAGCTGTCTGGAACGCAGTCTATAGCTCGGTGGAAGGAAACTTGAGGACGCCAAATGTGCACTCCGAAGTGGTGGCTTCCCTGAATATCAACAACAATGTGCGATCTGCTCGGAGTTATGCGTACCGGGGCTGCAGGCTAACGCCACAAACAGATTGCCGACGGGTACAGACGATGGGGTATAACGTCTGACAAGACCAAGGACTTGGTCGTGGTCAAGATTCTTTCCTCGCCCGAACCGCTACCACAGGCCGAGCAAGAAAATGAAGCCGAGGAAGTCTTGTCACATCTAACATCGCAGATAGAGGGACGACTGGTAAGATTAACAGACCAGGAGATCGCAGAAGTCACGGACTGGCAAAAAGTCAGGAAATACTACAAGCTGAATGGAGTTCCAGTCTTGGACCAGACAAAAGATGAGGCGGTAAAAAAGAAAAAGATGGAGAGCATGGCCATCATGGGCATGGCGCTGAGGGGACTGTAGGAAAAAGAGAAATGATACCCAGTCGTTTAGCAGTCATGATCATTATCTCGCTATCTCATCTCAGTCTAGGTCATGTTTGGGTCTTGGTTGAATCAAGAACTCAGGCCAATCCAAACAACGACTTGAGCCTCCTCAAGACCTCGGCCCTCATGGCGTCTCTCGACCCAACTGTGCGCTGCACCGCATCTCTGTTCTCGTACGCTCGTCTCAGCAGGTACTTCATGCACTCTCCTGTTGAACCCCACACCAAGTACTTGTACGCCTTGGCCTTTTCCTGCTTCTCAGTCGCTTCTTGTTGGTTAAACGCAACGAGCTCACAACTGACCTCATCCGCCATCCCCTGCAGCTGCGCAAATGCTACATCGTTGGTCTTGCTCTCGTGCTGCAGTATTCTCTTTGCCCTGACCACGGAATCTCTGTTGTGGGTAGCCACTACCATGGACACGTCTGGAAACTGACCCTCTCCCTTCAACGGCCCGACTTGCCAATCCCTTTTGAGCAGCGCCTCCGCAATACCGTCGTATGCCTTGTCTGTGTCCTCCTTAGTGTCGTGCATCAGCTGCCTTGGGTCGCTCCCCAGGTACGCGCCTCTGACCAGTTTGATGCCCAGTACGAACCCCTTCTTCTTGGCTTCCTGTAGATGTTGGCTCAACGTTTCGGGAGTCGACTTGAGATAAGCCTGATATGTCCCATACACCACCGGCTGGGTTCTGTTGTACCTCTCCATAAACTCCACCGTCCACTTGTCAATTCCGCCCTGCACGGCAGCTTGCTCAGCGTCGAATAGCAACCTGACACCCCTTGACTGGGCCAATACACATATGCTCTCGATCGCCTTTTTCAGCTGTGGTGAGGGATCCGCCCCCTGCCGTAGACACTGCAATGCCAGCACGCCCGCCCCGGTAAACTTGAGGGCCACATAATCCCCCCTGTTGGCCAGTAGCACGGTCATGAGCGTCCCCTGAGCCCAGCTGTCAATCTCCTCCATGTCGACCTTGGTCTCTTCCGCAACATGCTTTGGCAAAGAACCCGTTCCCTCCTGTCCATGCGGGGCGACGACCTCTTTGGCATAGCCCAAAATCACCCCTTCAAACCCCACGTCTTTGAGGCCCTTGATCGTCCTGGCTACCTCGGCAGGCTGCTCGCCGGCGCAGAATTGGGCATAAAACGTCTTCTTCAGCAGAGCTCGCAACAGTGGGTTCGAGTCAGGGTTGAGAACTGGGTTGGTTGTATGGGCCAGCATGGACATGATGGCCAGTGAGGGAGGTAAGAGGAATGGCGACGAGGATATCGTGGCCGTCATCCATGACCTGAGCACGGTGACCAGAGGTAGGACTGAGAGAGGCGCCGGTTTTGGTGGCCCCATACCGGCGCCTTGTGGTTGGTGGTGATGCTGATGATTGGGGAGCAGTGACGGCGATGGTACTCCTGATAGTGTCAGGTTGCTGGATGGTGACGACTGTGTAGAGGAGGAGTGTAGTGATCGAGTTGATGTGGATGATGACTCTCTGGAAGGAATTAGTATGATGTTGTGGCGGCCGCACCGCACAAGGAAACCTGCTTGTCCGCTGGAGTTGATTGCAGCGATCGCCCGTCTCTTGGACATGCTCCGGGGCAGAAGCATGCCAGGCAAAGGCCTGGGGAGCGATGCCATGGTCACCGGCCTGCTAAGAGATGCTCTGGCTGAGAGGTCGCGAGCAAGATGGTCTCAATGACGCAGGCAGCAAAAAGCACCAGCAAGTTGAGATGAAATCCAAAGTCAATTGATGGCCAGGTTACGCTACGTCCACCTTATATCAGAGACAAGCTCCCCGGTATCGCACATGCAGTGACGCAGTCCGACCAGGTTTCCATTGAGTTTTGATAGTGGTTCATTCCAGAGCCGACCAATCCCCTCTGATACCCCTCGAAGCTGCTGCACTCGCTGATTTGCCGTTGGATCTCGGACGCCTCCTTTGTCAAGCTTTCCGTTCGCTGCAGGCCATGATGTTATCGTCGGTCCCTTATCAACCGGCGGCCCCCCACACCCCCTGCCAAAGGCCGCCGGTAGCCGCAAATGCGGGCGAGTGTGGAGAAAGGGACCACTGCCGTCATCGACGAATTGGCCCCGCCCCTCTGCTCCCACGCGGGTCTCGATTCATTCCAGTCGAGCTGCCAGTCCTGCCAAGCTCCCTAGCGCTCCTGAATGCCCCTGTGAACAGCTTTCCATGGCCCCTGGACAGTCCCGACTCCTTCACCGCGGACGTCGCAAGCAGCGCCATCCCCATGACAAAGCCCACGCCAGCGGCTTCGGAGAGCGGTTGCTATCGGCGCTCATAGAAAGACGTCAATTCCAATTATCCGATCCAGCGACCAGCCGCGCCAATTGAGGAGGCTGACTGGGTCATGTGGTTTCGTGGTGCGCCGTGGCCATGCAGCCGGGTGATCCCTTCCCCGACAAGGGCTGGAGCGGAAGTACCCTTCTCGTGGTGTGTTGGAGCTTGCCGCCCCTCCCTGGTGCGAACAACGATATAAAGGAGGCTGGCAACCAACACTGTGGCGGATATAAGAGTGCTCATGCCTTTTGCTTCAAGGTCCTGATCTTGCGCTTGATATACTCGACGTATTGCAGACGCCGGCCCCTCTTGGCCGCCAGGATGTCTTGTATTCCGCCGTAGAGGGTACCGACCACGAGGGCTGTCTTGGTGGTTCGGGCTGCGAGGGGCAATGAGTAACGGTCTGCAGCAGTCTGTTAGTATTTTGCCGTAGGCTTTCGGTATTCAAGAAAACATACTCCAGAGGCTAAAGACTCCAGCACAAGTCACCATGGACGTCACAGTGTTGAACAGATCGGCAGTGCCGCGATACTCGTCAAACATGTGCTCAATGGAAAACACAGCCGTGGTCCAGACACCAATCTTGGTTCCCATCTTTAGCCCCTCACGTAGGCCTCCGCGGGCTGCGATGTAATTCTTGCTCTTGTGGTACAGGTACCAGCCGGTGGCGGTCGAGGGCAGCTTGTGGGCGTGCTCGGCGCGGAACTGGAGACTGGCGATCTTGCTGCCGTGCCCTGCTCCGACAAGGAAGCCAGTGCCAAAAGACAGCATTGTGGCGAGCGGCAGTCGAATCATAGGGGGCATCGACAAGCGCGAAGAAATGTAGAATGCCTCGATTTCTTCTTTGCTGGGCTTTTGATAGCCGACCGGGACATCGTCTTGCTGGGGCGGGGTTGGGATTTGAGCTGCTGGGGCAGACGCCGGATGAGTAGCCATGGTGAATATATCTTTGGACTCGTGTCCCGTCAGCATGTGCTTGGCCGTGATGTTGGAGAAGGAGAATGCTTCAACGAGGAAAGGCAATGGTTAAACTGAGCGGACGAGACAGCTGCTGCACCGTCGATCTGCCTGGTGATTGGATTGAAAATGGAAAATGCAGAGGTCAAAGCTCCCTGCCCCACCTTCTGTTTGTCGCCAGGATCAGGCAGCTTGGCAACCTGCCCCACACAAGCTCTCACCACACCTTTACACCCAAGACATCAAGATAGTACAAGCTCATCGTTTTTAAATACAGATCACTGTCAAGATGGTATGTGGTTCTTATAGTGATGTTGCTATGTTGTGAAGCTGATAGAGTGACAGCCTCCACGTTCTGCCGCGGTCATTGACGACTCGTCTACTGCTCTTACAATCATACTCAAGCACGGCATTACCAGCGTCTTCCTCTTTGCGTCTCCGTCATGGACCTTTGAGAAGCTCTCCGCAAATCTTCTTGAGGTCTTGCGTGACCGCTACCCAGAGGGCGTGCCCAAATCTACCGAGAAAGAATCCACCATTACGCCCATTCCAACTGAAGACGCCGACGTCAGAGTCGTGTTTGGCACGCCCAGAGATGCCGACGACTACACCAGGGGGTTCAAGAAGTTTGACGTGAGCCCGGAGGATACTTTGGGCAAGAAGGGGTTGAAGAAGGTTAGCACTCTTGCGTTTGCGCTGCTGGAACCAGACCAGGATGAGGACGAGCCAGTCAAGTTTGAGGTCGCCTTCCCAATCAACGATGTCGAGGCCTAAACATTCCTGGCGTGCACAAAGGAGGGTAGTTCTGGGTCTAAAGGAGCATCATATGCGAGTTTGGCGTTCTCTTAGCTGGTGTTGGGGCTGCAATTGCATTGATATCATGGTGTTTGGTGTTTCTTAGCCCAGGGAGCAAATGACAGTAAATCATTATTCCGTCGTTGGCACGGCTGTTGCCGAATGCCACAAGAGCGCCCTTTCATCTCAATGCTATGTGCAAAATAATACCGGATGGATCGCATCTGGGTTAGTCCACTTGTGGATGATGAAGATGAGCAAAATAGCAAAAGATTGAGGTCGTGCCCGGGTTCGAACCGGGGTTACTGGAAGGTTTGAATGGGAAATGTCATCAAAATCCAGAGTGATAACCACTACACTACACAACCTTAGATGATTTTGACTGTCAGACTTTGGCATTATTATTGGCAATCGTTCCTATTTAACACACGATATCCACGGCACCAGGAGCTCAGTGTGTCCTAGGTAATGTATCTTTGGATTTCTGTCATTTGATTGATGCCAAAAAATAATCGAGCCAAAGATCAAAATGACCTCAGGGTGCAGAGGGTCTCGGTGCTAAAATTAGCTGGTCTTGGCCCACTCTTCCAGGGGTCCGGTCTGTTTCTCGCGGGCGTCATTGGCACCTAGCTCCGCTCTCGGCAGGCACGGCGTCCACCTGCTCTACACGACAAACATTTATCAACCAACAACTGGAAACGAGGCACGAGCAAAAGGGCCACATTACCGTTGGTGTCGCAGTCTGCAACTATTCACAATGCCATCATAGCTTTTCGTTGCGTGCGCAACAGTAGGATCAGTCACCGTTGAAGATGGAGCCAAACTTGCTCGCACCACGAGCCAATGGTGCGTCTTCCTTTGGCCAACTGCGGCGCATCACTGACAGGAAAGTAGAATGGTCACAGATTCCAACTTCTCTCCTCCTCGTCGAACTTTCCCGACGCGACGACGCCGATCACGATCAACGACCAGCTTGCGGCTCCGGCAAAAACAGCCATGGCTACGACACGCCCCTTCACGTCTTCGCCCTGTTCCTGATTCTCACCATCAGCACCTTGGCCTGCGCCTTTCCGCTCTTTTCTCAGCGAGTAACGAAGCCGGGGAAGCGCCAAAAGAATATTCTGTTTGTCTGTCAGCACTTTGGCACTGGCGTCTTGATGGCCACAGCGTTTGTGCACTTGCTGCCCACTGCCTTTGTGTCCCTGACAGATCCTTGCCTGCCTCATGTTTTCAGCAAGGGGTACCGGCCACTGGCTGGGCTGATAGCCATGATTGCGGCGTTTGTGGTTGTGGTGATTGAGTCGATCCTGTCGAGCCGAGGGGCCGGGCATAGTCACTCGCATTCCTGGGACGACGAGGACTCGGAAGAAGGGCACGAAGAGGCAAAACACACGCGCACGCACGGACATGCTGGACACTCGAGGACCCCGGATATCGCCATGGACGATCTGGAAGGGACTGGAGAGCACCAGGGCTTGGTTTCCGGGGCCTCACCTCTTCCGGGAGGCACTCCTCTGATGCAGGCCAAATCGCGCCAGAGCAGGGATTCGTTCGAACGAGAAAGGGAGTCCCTGGAGCTGGAGCTCAGCTTGGATGAGCTCAATGGCAGCGGACAGGGTGGCTCGACACGGCTCCTGGCCACGTCGAAACCGTTGCCAGCTCTTCCCCCACATGCGCACAGCGGACATCATCACCAAGGCCCCCCAAACGCGGAGGAACAGCAACGCATGATGCTTCAGTGCGTTTTGTTGGAAGCCGGTATTCTGTTTCACAGCGTGTTCATCGGCATGGCCCTGTCTGTCGCCACAGGCCCATCCTTTGCCGTTTTCCTTCTGGCCATCTCCTTTCACCGTATGTGCGCCCTTTCCGCTCTGACAGACAGAAATCCTAACAATGAACAGAATCCTTCGAAGGTCTTGCGCTGGGAACACGCATTGCAGCCCTCCACTTTCCCAAATCCTCTCACCGTCCTTGGCTGATGGTTCTGGCATTTGGCCTGACCACGCCCATCGGCCAAGCCATCGGGCTGTTTGTCCACAGGTTCTACGACCCCATGAGCCAGACAGGCTTGCTCATGGTTGGTTTTATGAACGCCATATCTGCCGGTCTGTTGCTCTTTGCCGGGCTTGTCCAGCTGCTGGCAGAAGACTTTTTGAGCGAAAAGAGCTACAAGACACTGAGAGGACGGAAACGAGTGAATGCCTTTCTGGCAGTGGCCGGAGGCGCAAGCCTGATGAGCCTGGTGGGGGCGTTTGCCTAATAGCAATCTTTGTTTTACCATATATAGGCCTCTATACTAATGATTTACTCCTGCACATATCATGACCGCTTGTTCTGAACATATTGCGTAAACGTGGCCCTAGCGTTCTTGCCAAAGTCCAGCGCGTTGCTAAACATGCCCTGGTTGTTGTGCACAGGAAAGCTACCGGATGGGTTCGAAGGCTGGGGCACGGCGGTGCGGCTGATGGCCCAGGCAAAGGTCGACGCACTGCCAGACTGTGTTTCGAGGCGCCCGCCGTTTTGCTGGCTGTTCCACCTGCTGCAGCCCGTGCAGACAACCTCGACGGTCCAGTGCGTCGAGTTGCGTGCTGTCGACAGGGTGCGCAGGGTGGCGCCGCTGTAGAGTCCAGGAGTAGTGCGGCCGCTGTGGGAAACATCAGCTTTTGATCTCATCAACCTATCCCCAAGATACATACGCGCTCCACCTCGACGACACAGACACCTGACCCGAGTTTCCGTTCGGCCACGCAACAGTGAGCGGATTGTTGGTCATCCCGCCGCCCCAGGCAAAGCCAACCCATGTCTGGGCAACTGGGGAGATGATCTGGAGGATGGTGTCGTATGCCGCATTGTTGGTCGCGTCAGAGGGCAGGGCGATGCGGTACGTGGGCGCGGTGGCCGAGGTGTAATACTGAAGAAAGCAGAGACTCGGCACGTTACCGGAGGCGGTGGAGCAGTATTTTGAGGTGACGCCGTACACTTGCCGCGGTTCTATCTCGGACGAGGGAGTCACCGGGGAGGAAGCTGCCAGCAAAGGTGCGGCGAAGAACGCGACGAGTGATGACAGATGCATGGTGAACGATTCGGGGCCAATTCAAGGGTAGTTTCTTGCCAACATAGAACTCAAAAACAGAGGGAAAGGCTTGGAATTTATCATCTTATTTTTGTATACTATTCCCTCCTTCTCAAACTGGTCATACAGAGTCTCGCTGATCTGTCGTTAATGGTTGCTCTCCGGATAAAGTCCATATGAGGCATCACCCTTGCCATCCATGTGTTATATAGAGTATTTGCACTGATCAACTCCTCCAACTATCGTCGAGCGGCAAGTGATCGGCAGCAAATCAGAGATCCCGTTTCACAAATCAAGTGATCCCGGCCGGTGGGCGAACAACAGCCTGAAGGACCTCTGCCACTTCACCACGTCGTGTCTCTGAGCTCATCCTCCGAGATGTAACCCCCCTGAAGGGCTTCTCTTTGATTTGAAATAATGTTTACTATGATCCAGTCAATCAGCAGTGTTTGGAAACAGGCAGAAAACCTACAACGGAGACAACACCAAGCAGGAAGGTCGTAAAAGCGTGGACAATGAATCAAACATGCTCATTCATTCATCATTGAGTTCCTAATGAGTTTCTACCACTTGCAACAACATCCTGCCCGGGTCTAAATGATTTCTTTTTGCTGAACCTTTGTGTCCTTTTCGGATGTCTCTTGGACATCATCCCCATCCACCGACGCCTTCTCTGGGGCCTCGGTCACGCCAAACAGCTGGTCCATGGCCTCGAGAGAGACGCCCTTGGTTTCTGGGATGAAGAACCAGACAAACACAAACATGGAAAAGCAGAAGCTGCCAAAGATGAGGTATGTTCTAAATTTTCGGTTAGTAATCATTTGACTGGTCATATCAAGAGACGCCTACCCATAACCGTCACTTCCGACAGTCACCAACATGGTTGGTACAGCACGGGCAACAACAAAGTTGAAGAGCCATTGAGTGGCGGCAGCGTACGAGACGTTGAGAGACCGAAGACGAGCGGCGGGAATTTCGGATGCCAAAATCCAGCAAGCAGGTCCCCAACCGAATTGGAAGAATCTGTTGCTCTGTCAGTTCATACGAGACAACCGAGAGGATCAGGGTGAGTACGTACGCAGCAAACAAAAAGATGGACACGAGCGCAAAGTACCCGGCCGGGGGAACCTCCTCACCAGCCCTGGGCGGTGAAATGCGCACATACAAGCCAATGTAGAACATGGCCAGGCCTTGGGCGATACTAGTCCACAACAGCGAGCGCCTGCGTCCGAGGGAATCGGCCATGAAGAGCAGGAAGCAAATGCAGCTGACCACCTTGACAATACCATAGATGCCAGTGCTGAAAAGCGAGGTAGAAGTGCCAGTCAGACCGAGGTTCTGGAAGATGGTTGGTGCGTAGGTGTTGATGGCGTTGGTGCCCGTCATTTGCTGGCAAATCATCAAGGTAATGCTGATAAGTACGCGCTTGCGGTTACCAGGGATCGTCCACATCTCCTTTTGCAACTTCCAGTAGGTGGCATCGCCAATGAGGCGCCGATCCTGCTCCAGCTGGACGACGATTTCTTGAAACTCCTCTTGGACGTACGGGTGTGTGGGTGGCAGGTTGCGGATGTTGGACAAGATGCGCTTGCAGTCCTCCCATCTGTCCTGTCGTGCCAGCCAACGAGGCGACTCGTGGCAGAGAAGCATGCACCCACAGAGGAGCGCAGCAGGTAGGGCCTGAATGGCGAGCGGAAAGATGTACATGATGGGGCCATCCGGGAAGTGAATCGAGACGGAATAGTTGATCCAAAAGGCAATCATGCCCCCCGTGACGATAAACAGCTGGTATAGGCCGGTAAGGAGTCCACGAATGGCGCGGGGCGAGTTCTCGGACACATAAATCGGGTTCACGGCCGAAGCAGCTCCAACACCAACACCAGCCACGAATCGACCGACGTACATGGCCGCCAGCTTCCCAGAGGCAGCAGCTTGCATGATGACACCGATGATGATAACCAGAGAGGTTGCGATGAGGCACCATTTGCGGCCGAATCGATCTGTGAGAGGCGAAGCGATGAGCGCACCGAGGAAGCAACCAGCTTGAAGGGTCGAGACGATGTTGGCGGCGAGATTGGCGGTAGCGACGGAATTGCGGTCACCGAGGCCAAAGTCTCGAACGAAGGGGGGCAGGACGATAACACCGCCGATGACCGAAGAGTCCCAGCCAAAAGACATGGCACCGAAGCAGGCCTATACACAACATCGTGGTAAGTGTCTGATCAAGCCAGATAAACAAAAGTCTTACCGAACAAGCAAGCAAGTACACCCTCCATCCGTAGATCCCGGCAGGATCCGTGGCCATGGCCTCGTTCCGCACGATCTTGCGGAGGATCTTTTGTGAGAGACCCATGGTGGGCAGCGACCTGACGGTGATCCTCGTGATTTGAATGAGATGCAATCAAGCCTGGAGTTGAGAGCGCAGCTCCTGGCGTTTGCTGCTAACAAGCAAAAGGAAAACAGCACCGCGAGGACCAGATTGCAACAAGAGACTGGAACACGACGGGATGCTCCATCCCGGGCCTTTTTGTAGTTGCACCGCAGCCATCTAGGATCTGGACGGGTGAACGGGTCTGTCTCTGGCTTGTTTCTCGCCTGATTGGCGAATGTGTTGGCCCCCATGCCTGCTGCCACCGTCTGGGGATGCGGAGAAGCATCCTCTCAAGGAGATCATGGGGCGACTGTGCACTCGGGATACAGAAAAAGTCTTGCAGCGAATGGTGTGTGTGAGCAGGGGGGCTAGAGCAGGCGAGAGATGGACGCATGTCGTTGGATGAGCATCTGTAGAGGCTGGTCTGCCATGCTTTCGTTACCTTGCACTGGCACGGTAAAGCCCCAGGGTTGTCCTTTTTTCCACCAAGAAGAGGAGGTTGAGGTTGCGGCCAGAGTGGGTGCTGCTACAAAAAGCCGAGTACATATAAACAACGGTTTTCTTGTCCCGTTGCCAAGACGGCAGCTTTGAGCGCCAGAGATCTCTTGAGTCTTGGCCACGGACGCGATATTGAAGGGGAGATATCTGATGGCTTGAGAGAGAGACTGCGTTGTGAGCCTGGAATTTGACGTTGAGATGCTGAGGTCTGTGAATTCCGAGACGATCTTTGAAGGAGACATTGACTGAGGGTCTCATCATGCCAATCTGGAAAGGTGAAGATAAGGTATGGTCGCTTCCAGTGCCGCTCGGTATTAGCCTATTCGTAGTATGGCAGTTGGAGTAGTTCAAGGGTCGGATGTTCTCGGTGGTGTGCGACCGACTTGGCCCTCTTGGCTGAGTCTGACAGGGGGTGATGCGGGATGTGGGGAACCTGGACCAGCTCTTGTTATCGTTGGGGAAAGGGGCGATTAAGGTCAGGTACGACCTGCTCTTGCTCCAAGGCCCTTTTTTCCACCAGAGGAAGAAGGAGCTTCACAACCTGTGGAAGGAAGAGCATTCCCTTTCATGCGCTATGGAAAAATACTCGTCTTCTCTTAACAAGATATCCAAAACCCAACAAGTCGACGACAGGTCTAACATTCAACATCCAGACCTTCTCCAATTATCCAGAGTTGCACATCAAGCGGTTCGAGACGAGGGGACCAATTTAGCCAGACCTCCAGAGGGTGACAATCAAGACCAGCTCACACATGGCATCTTTGCCCGATGCTGCTCGTCCCACAACGCCGGGCCAGGGTGCTGCTCAGTGCTCACCCACTCTGGCTGCCATCCTTGGTGACTTCATCCAGGAATTTCTCCACGAATGAGAAAAGACCATCCACTCCGGACCAGGCCAGTCAGCAACGCGCCTACTATAGCTGATCATCTGACAGAGGAGGCATGGAAGATACAGCCAGTAGCTGTTTACTGCCCGTTGAATTCATGCTGATCGCTTCACCGAATTCCATGTACCCGGTCTGACACCCATCACGAGAATGCTTTCACGTCCCACCTACACGGTGCTGGGTTCAGATCCCACCAACCGCAAATGCAGAATCAATTGCTATGCCTTTCAGCAGGATGCCATCGTCACGTTTCAAGGCTGGCAGTATGCTGCCTTTTGCAGCCCCCTTCCAGATGTCGCTGAACCGCTTTATGTGCACCTCGCCAGGAGGCGGCTCCTAGAACCCCCACACGATAATCCGGGAGGCTGGGAGGTGCTGGCATTGACAGACTACCCCCAGACAATTGATGACGGCCACAATACCGTTCAGCTAGGCATCTCTCCTGGTGACGGCACAATTCATCTATCATATGATCATCATTGTGATGTGTATGCCAAAGTGGTCCATGTGGTGAATAGTAGGTACATTCGTTGACACCGATCTAGGCTTCGCTATCGTTACTCGTGTCGAGATCTTGCCTTGAAACCCACCGAGTTCACCTGGATAAGCTCCCACTTTACAACAACACTCGACTACCTTCCCGGGCTCCCTGCGTCTCACAAACCCTTCCATTACGTCACCTACCCCCGGTTCTGTGCGGCCGATTCTGATCTTCTTTTTACGCTCAGAGACGGCAAAGCAGGTCTGGGAAACGACCATCTTTATGTCTACTCTTCTTCCTCTGGCCATTGCTCCTACCTTGGCCAGCATCTCACTGGGATTCAAAGCAATCCGTATATCCACGGCCTGAGCTACCGCTCGGGCAGACTGCATTTGACATGGGTCTACCGTGGTTTTGTCCACTATGACGGATGGGATGATCTCGCAGACACCAAGCACAAGCAGCAGGCTGGGCCCAACGGAGCGGAGAACAATCATAATTTATGTTATGCTTACAGCGACGGCCTCGGAAAAACATGGAAGAATGGCCAGGGCAAAGAGATTGCGTCAAAAGACCTGGGGATTAGCACTATCGATAACAACAGCGAGGGGATCGTTGTTTTTCGCATCCCTAAAGGATCAGGTCTCACAAATCAGGAATCTCAAGTCGTTGATCTGGACGGCGGTGTCCATGTTTTGAACAGGAGTTCCTTGCCAGTTGGATTTAACAACAGGAGCGGCGTGGAAGCCGTCCATTGGAGACATTATTACAAGGCGCCGGGTGATGATGGTGCGTCTGGTTTCCTTTGGCGTTGCTATCAAAGCTAACATGAATATCCAGGAATTTGGTCTGAATTTCTGCTCCGACCAGTATATGGCAGCACCAGGGGAAGACTGGCTGTTTCGAAAACCGGGGATGTAATCATCATTCTTCCCGATGCAGAAAATGGACGTGTGTATATTGAAAAGGCAACCAAAAGCAGTGGGTATACTGCTCATGAAGAGATTTGGTCTGGAGAAGGGCTCAGGGGTGAACCACTGGTTGACCTGCCACGGTTGGAGAACGATAACGTGTTGTCGTTGATGGTCTTGGCTGATACCAAACCATCAAATGACATAGATCCAGGAACGAGAAATGTTGTGGTATTGGACTTTGAATTGTAATCATACATCGTTGCCTGTATGCTATGTACGCGAACTGAATATTCCCTTCCTTTCGTGTGCTCCCATGTCCTCTCCGGATATCTTCCCAAACTAGATAAATAAAAAGGTATCATGACTCGTATCATCATCAGAAAACAAATTGAAAGGAAAAGAAATCATTAAACAAATCCAGTAAAGGTCTCCAAGCTAGAAAAATCCGCTCTCCCGTTTCGCCCATGTCCCCTCAACTTGGCATACACGTTGATTCTCCCGTATTCCGGACCGGTATCGACCGTCCTAACAATCCACATTGTCCTCCTCTTCTTGACTCCTCTTGTTTGTTCAAAGCCTGTTTCTTGGTCAACATTTCTCTTTTCTCTGGGGACAAAAAGCAGCATTTTCTTACTTGGAGTTTTGTAACATGGCTCGGTGTTTGCTCTCAAGGGGAATCCCATTTGATTCCCTAGATCCTTTGAATAATGCACGGGCTGGGACTGTCGATCATAGCTCTCTGGCTCGGCAGATGGCATGTCCATCTCCAGATAGGATGTCGGGTTCTGATCCCAGCTGTACAAGCTTTCGATCTGGAATTGTGAGATTTCAGAGTCAAAAGGCACAGCAACCAGAGGCGGTGGGGGTTCAAAAGGCCGTTCCGCTCTCGGTGTTGACTCGTCCCAATACACGGGGTTCGAGTCCGCCATCTTTCCTCTGCTACTGCGCTCGATTCCCTGCATCTCCTCGCTTGGTGGCGTCAAGATTCCGTGGCCCCAAACATACCCTTTGGCCTGGGACCCATCCGTTTCCCCGAGCAAAGTTGGTGTGATCCTCCCCCACCCTTTACCGGCCCATTCAATCACTCTTCTCTCCATTTCCGTGTCCATCTTGATGCCGAGCAAACCGCCGAGATAGATCAGGTGATGGGCCAGCATCTGGCACAAGTGGTCCCGCATCGCCAGCCAAAGTGTCGGGCTCTGCTGAAACTCCCAATCTTCCACCTGCATGCCAGCCTCGGGTTGTCGCTCCATCTCTTGCCCCATGCTCTTGCTCGAGTAACCAACCCCCAACACAGCTCCCAGCACGACCAGGAACAGAACCTGGCAGCTTTCTCTCGACAGCTTCCCCAGGTACTGTGGTGTCAGTAGCTTATCCAACGCCAACAGCATTCTCGACCCCGACATTGTCCCTGCTGTCCAAGCCTCCTGTTTTGTGACCATGCCCGCCAACTTGGACTCAAAGTTCGAATACCGCATCGAAGCAGTCATCAGAAACCTCCGGAAATCATGCGTCAGCTCCTCCATCTCCGTTTCCTTTTTTGACCCGTCCTCCGAGGCGAACGACAACCCTAGCAGATTCGCACACATGCCGGCCACCATACTTCCTCCTTGAAGTTCTGGCACTGTATATGCTTCATCCAGCAACCACCTCGTAATCTTTTGGTTGAAAGACGGCTCGTCGAGACTGGCAAACTCGGCCGGCTGTGCAATCCTCCCGAGCAAAGCGCCCATCTTGAGCATCAGGGTTTCTGTCCTCATCTTCTGTGGTCCCGACTGAACCTGAAAAATGTCAACGTCGACAAACCTCGTCCGGATGCAGTAGCTCCAGCTGAGGACTTTTCTCTCTGTCCCCTTGAGGGCCGAGGTGAGGCAGGCTTGGCAGGGATTCTCAAGCGAGCACTTTTGTAGGCATGTTAGTCACCATGAGTGAATGAGTGAGATCTCCAGACACAAACCTCAATCTTGAGCATCCTACACCGCAAGCAAGCACCCTGTCTTCTCACGCCCAGTACCTTTTCCTTGGCTTGGTCGGTTAATCTCGCCCGTTTTGGTTTCCCTCCCGACGGCGGTGTGCCCTGCAGCGGGTGTTGTAGTCGAAAGCAGTGTATGTGTCGTGCAAAAGTCGGGATGGTGTTTGATCGTTCGACCTGACGTTGTTGAAAAGAAACCCGGACGAGTTGCTGTTCAGCCGCATTCTCTTGATCTGGTGGGCTGTTCATTGGTATATGTAAATAAAGGAGGGGGGGGGGGGGGGGGGCTAGAACCGGCAGGGTGGGTAGGTTGGTGATGGTGGTGGCGAAGCTAACTCCTAGCATGTAATACAATGGTTCCTAGCAACTTTCCAACCCCAGCTGAGACTGCTAGACATTTCCCAGGCTGGGCCCAGCTCCCAGGTGGATGGGCGCAAAACGGATCGATAATCTCACACACTAGAGACTGGGTAGACGGAGAAACAGAGACATGAGACAATTTTCCTGCTCTCGGGCAACTGAGCCTGAACTTGCAGGTCCTCCTGAGCCGGAATTCCCATGGCGACCTGAATACTTTATGACTAGTACCACACTAGCAGTGGTGCAGGTGGCCCAAACCTGTTCGAGGCTGGCTGACTGTTACACGGGTTCTCGTCGATATTCCCCCAAGCCCGCGAAATAAGCATCACCGAGCTCCCCGGATCGAGCCTAGTGCTGCTGGTGCCAGCAGGCGCACCGCATGGTTGAGGTGCTTGGCGGAGCTGTATGGTTCGAGACCCCTGTTTCGCTGGCAGCGTTTGCAACAGCGCAAGATGGCCATCATGAGACGCCATCACGACTCACCACCCACAGCCCAGCTGGGCAGCGATTGTCGATGGAGTCTTTCCAAGAAATCTTCTGGAAATTCTCTTCATCTGATAGTGGAGATGGGGGGAGATGAGCGTGGACCCTGATCGTCATTGCGATCCAAATTCCCTCGGATCATCTCCACATCCAACCCTAACCCCGTAGTTGGCGGTGGTCGTCCGCTCTCCTTGCCGAATTTGAGGTCAGACACTGATGAAAACATGGCGAGAAAAGGATGTCCAGATTGGGTAAAAATCACACCTTACCGAGAAATCATGCGGCTCCAGGCGCGTCTGTTGCGGTGTGTGTGGCTGCTTGCTGTCACTCGCTTTCTTTTTGCGGACAGCAGGGATGGCACTGCCACGGGCAGCCAATCGGAGAAATACCAGGATCTCGTCCAAGCTGAAAAGCCGTTTGAGAAAACACCAGGCCAGCTGAAAACCCCTGCTTTGGCCAACAAGATCGGATTCCAGGCGCCACCACTATCATTTTCTTTTCAAAATTGTTGGCATCCGCTCCTTTCGTGTTGGCTTGGTTTTTGAGGATCTGTCCGGAGATGCGCCTGCCGTGACACAACTGCACCTGCGACTGCACCTGCGACCGCACCTGCGACTTTATTTTTATTCCCACCTTTGCAGCCGCCTTCTCGGGTGCTCGTGATCCTTCCTATATTGCAAGAGGCTAGCGCACCTATCTGCATGTCATCGCACGGTCCCGCTTGGCAGCACATCCACCCAGCATCCACTTTGCACATCAGATCATCATCATGGATTGTTTTCTTGATACATGGAATGTTGGTGCCAAAATCCTCAAGTTCTTCCTTTCGACACTAGTAGAGAGACTTCTCGGCCCAGCCCAACCGCTCACTCCCCTGGTCAAACACGATAAAGGCCGCTTTGAGGGCTATATCGCCCCAGATGGTAAACCCGACACCGCTGTCACTCTGCATCCCTCCGAAGCACCTCAAACTACTGGTGTCGGTTTTCGAGTACGCGAGGTAACTGCCTGGAATCCTGATCATCTGACCGTTCCCGGTCCCAAAGTAAAAGTCGGGAGTCGTCGAGTCGTTACACTCAAACGTGTATCCGCCTTGAGAGGCATCGTACTTGGCGCTGGCAATCCGGCCATAAAAAGCTTCACATACGCCCTCGGGCAAAAGGAGCAGGGTAGTACCCGTGTCCGCAATGCCGTGAATGCGTGTACTGTTGAAGCTGCCCGTCGTGCCAACTTGGAACCCGGGCGACACCCAGCTCCAGAAGCCGTCGCTGCTGTTAACTGGAACATATGTAATGTTCCCCGTGTAGGCCCCGTCGTCGATGTACCCAAAGTTGTAGCGGCCAGCTGTGTATCAGGTTAGTACGGAACAGCAATTGCAGGGGTCGTGACTTACGGGCGCCAGACTTGAGATCAGCCGTGAACACCGGCGAGTCAAGCCCGGGCATGGCTTTTTCAAAAAACGTCTTTTGCTTGTAGGGCATCACCGTGTTGATGATGCCAAAGCCTAAGCCCACCAAGCCGTCATTGTCAGAGTCGGCTGTGAACTCTTCCGAGACCTCCCTGGCTGCTTCCACAGCCTGAGTCGACACCGTCAAGTCACCAATGGTGACTGTGTCGACGTAGACGTCCCCGCTCGAGTAGCTCTGGTCCCCGTACGTGATCTTCCACGAGTATCCCTCCATCTTGTCCGCCGTGGTACTCGCGTTGGGGTCATAAAGAGTCTGCCCGTTGATCATGCTCTCCTTGAGCAATGTGCTAAAGACCCAGAAATCACTGGATCCCGTGTCAAGGTCGAGGTTGAGCTGCTGAGCGGGTGTGCCAAGGGAAACGGGCATCAGGTACTCGACGTCGTATGACTTGGGTGAGTTCTGGACGCTGCCTCTGTCATTTTCATCGTCATCGTCATCGTCATCGTCTGCTCCCTCGCTTTCGGCACGTTTTTGGTTTCTTGCTCTCCGAACTCGTTTGACTGCCGCCTTTAGGTCGTGCGGAACAGGCGCGCCGTACTTGCGCAGTGTTCTTTCAAGCTCAAGTGGGCCGTTGCGTACGAACTTGGGGTTGTGCACCTGTGTCAACGATGCTGTGCCCTTTTGGACCGTGTTGCCGACGGCGACCGGTGGTAATGCGGTGGAAGCGGTCAAGAGAACTGCGAAAACGAGAGACTTGATGATCGCCATGCCGGGCGACCAACTGTGTTGCAGTGGTCGGATACCAGGAATGAGAGGCGAGGAGAATTGTCAAACAGAAACAACTTCTACTTATGGAACTCGTGAATAGAAAAGGAAAGAACGCCTTTTCTCGTGGACCTGCCCATGGAGGGTCCCCCGGGATAGCTCTTGCGGCCGGGACAGCTTAGGCCCGCTTCCAGCAAAGCAGTGCGCCTTGAATGGGTGGTACCTTCTGTTGTGTTCTGTTTGCCTCGGATTTTAGATATAGGTTGTGATACGCGATGCCTCCTGTGACGGACAAGGCAACTACACCGAGGCTCGATTCGGAAGCATGTCGGACCTTTTCGTGTTCAGGTTTGCAAGCACATGCTGATGATGGAATCAAAAGAAGAGAAAGAACAAGGGGGTCACTCTCTGTCTAACGTCCATCTTAATCTCATAGGCTTCGTGTGACCTCCTCCTCCGGGCCACACCACGAGAGCAAACACCCTGGGTAGACTTGGCCCGATCGCCGTGGCCATGATCCTTTTGCTGAAGACGCATCACTTCGAGGGGAATTGTCTTGTTTGGTTGGTTTGAAAAGCATGGCACGGACATCTTCAATGAGAGCAGTCAAGGTGTTCATAGATCCGAATGACTGGACGGGATTTCGGGTATGCATACAATGCGATGTTTATAGCACTGTCGACGGGAGTCTGTTTCGTCCCAGCTTGTTGTTGCCCTGGCCGGGTGGATATTAAGGTCGAGTGCTTGGACCCGTGCAGTCACGGTCGAAGTTGCTGCAAAGCGACCCTGCAGATGCAGTCCAAAGTTTAATGACGGCGATCATTCTCGCAAGAGACCCAAGATGGCGGTCGATGGTAGGTGGGGATGGATGCTCGCAATACCAAGGTAACAAATTCTGGGTACTTAGCTGGCACCTTAGTGTAGGGTCATTTTGCGTTTGCATCGTAGGCAAGCATCAAGGACAAAGTTAGCAGAAAGGTCTCGTAATGTGTCAGTGGAAAGCCACGCTGAATTCAGGATTCCAAGAAACAACTTCACCCTTGTTCAAAACAGCAACTCAAGTCCCACGAAAGGGATGCTTCCCCTCGGGGACTCGAGGTACCCACGTACTTCACCAGGTTGCCACCGCAGGGTAACAGCCATGCGTCTGAACCTCTGGAGGTAGGTATCTGGGTGTCTCGGAGGGCAGTTAAGGTGGGCTTGCCCACTCTCTTTCCTAGTGAAGAGAATGCTTGTGCAGAGGTCGCGAAAGGGAAGGTGTCGATATGGCGGCGGGAATACTCGGGTAGAACTTTAGGAACAATTGAGCGATATTTGTGTTCTACCTTCCATGTGTCAACGTTCAACACTGAGGCGGTCCGGCTTCGGCGGTGCAGGTCCAGACCGTCATGTGTTTTTTGGGGTGCCATTTCCCACTCTGCAACTCAAGAGGTATCGCCTGATATGCCACCGCAAAGTTGCTTGGGGAAGGTCAAGATGGATATCAAATCTTCCGTTAAGGCCACAGCGAATGTTGCTCTTGTCTGCCAATGCAGCTCCCAAAGGTCAGGATGTAGATGGTGGCACAGGAGGAGCAGGCAAGCGACCTTCTTGTTCCGGACAAATCGACTCACTTCATAGGCCAGCACTGTCTGGATGGCGGGAAGGCGGGGAGGGGTGACCCGCATTTCACAACGTTCGTCAAGGATTTTAGCTCCCGCAGCCCACCCCTAGTCTCCAACCCCACAACACAGTGTCCGGCTTGTCTCTTCACCGTGAAAGAACACGCCCACAGCATCAACATCATCAAACGCGTTGATGAAGGAGGAATTTTTATAGCATTTCGCAATGGACATGCTCTTCCATGATGAGGGAGAACCTGTCCGCCAGCCTATTCCAGCCTTCTACTTTGCCATATCCCTGATCTTCACGTGGGTTTTCCCTCGCGTAACACAAAATCGTAGATGGCAAAAGTGCGGTGCAGTTACTGGCCACGGTTCGACCCTTGCCAAGAATAACACTGAGGGATCATCTTTCAACTACACCCGATGGAGCAAGAGCATAGAGAAGAGCAGCAGCGGTATGGATACTTTTGTCATCTATCGTCCTTTTGCCTTTTCTTCTGCCCAATCTCAACGTGATGGATACTACAGCGCCAAGCCGATTCCAGAAGTCTGGTCCGGTTCCATGGCGTTTGGCTTCAAGGTCGTCCACCCCCTCTCCCGGCCAATGAAACATGGGACCAGCCGAGAGTTACACGTGGAGCGGGGCAGGACAAGCTCATTAATGAGCCGGCCAAGCTTCCTTCTCTTCTCGGCATGGCGGCAGTCGCAGACTGAAGCAATGGCCAAGCTTCTTACGCAAACCATCCCCCTGACATCAAAAAGCCAATGACATTGACCATCAAGAAGCCCACCCCCCGGCAGCGATAACGGCCTCTCTTGACAGAGATATCGACTCCATGCACACTGACGTTTGATGCCGCGCCAACATCTTATCAGCTCAAGTCACAACATCAACATTCTTCAGTGAGACAGCCGGCTGCACCAATGGTTGCCCAGACGCCAGACGGGTGCCCAGACAGCTGCCCAGACGGGCGGGAAGCAGCAACAGGCTAAAGCCCCCAGGGATGACACTTGCCAGATCGGCGGGGAATTCTTCGCGCCGTCTGCAGCCAGACAGCTTGCGCCATCAAGACCTGACAAGCGAGTTTAATATCATGACTCTCCCCCCTCAGAACCTAGTGGGCTACCGACCTGCCTATTACGGGAATTCTTGTCGCTCCGGCGAATCGACTGACGGCCGACTGGGCGGACTGCTACATTGCCGTGCATAGATGGGTTGATCTGTCCAACGCCTGCGGTTGGTTGCCCGCAGGAGCTTTCTCCAACTTTCAATATGCATCCGGCAGACCGTTTCATCGGCGCCTCTGCTGCTTATCTCTGGGGTGGTCTGCGATCGAGCTGATGGTCGCCTCTTGTGGCAATGGTCGAGGTGGGATGACACACAAGCCCTAAGCAAGTCCCCAGATAACACCGACATGAGTAAAGCACATTCTGTTTTCGGCTTGGTCCCCGCCTCGAACCTCGGTGATGGTACTGACAGTAGAGCATCCTCAGGTAGGTACCGTGTAGCGTGCCGATCAAGCTTGGGGCGGAGTTCCTGGGGGACGTAACACAATGATTAAATACCCAGCTGCCCGACCCCAAGCGGTTCCGTGGGCTTCTGTCTCCCTTGCATTCGACGATTTCCCTTCAAAACTGCCCCGATCGCCTCTGGGGGAAGTGGTCAACAGCATACACCACACCACACTACACCGTCCGCCATGGCTGACGAGGAGAAGAGGGCGCTCGAGACCAGCACGGCCTCGGGCACCATTCGCCCATTCTCTGAAGGCCAACCACCCATCGAAGGTCCCAATGAGCTCAAAACGGAGCTGACGGTTGGGAATTCAGAAAAGGACCATGGATCCGACGATCCCGAGGAGGAGGAGGAGGATTTGTGGAAGCCGCTGAAGATGGAAGCTGATATTCCCTATGAGGAGAATCCGCTTACCATCAGAGCCGTTGTTGTTGGTTGCATTTTGGGCTCTCTCGTCGCTGCTTCCAACTTGTACCTTGGTGAGCGATCTTGTCTGCTCTTCTCCAGACGTGTTGGTTAATCATCATGTTCAGGTCTCAAAACTGGCTTCACCTTCAGCGCCAATATGTTTGGTGCCATTTTCGGTTATGGTATCCTCAAGTTTATGGAAAAGTCTGGTGGGCAGATTCCCATCATCGGCGGTTTGTTCGGTCCGCAGGAAAACTCCATCGTCCAGGCTGTCGCGACGGGTGCGGGTGGTACCGGCGGCATCTTCGTCGCCGCCATCCCCGCCATGTACCGTCTCGGTGTGATGCCCGAGGGCCACTCGCCCATGGATGACATTGGTGCCATCTTCACTATCACCCTGGTTTGCTCCTTTGTGGGACTATTCTACGTAACGCCTCTCCGCAAGTTCTTCATTGTCCAGGTCGCCCGTGAGCTGAAGCTCATGTTCCCCACGCCGACCGCCGTCGCCCTTACCATCCGTTCCATGCACGCCGGCGCTGCCGGTAGTCTTGACGCCATGAAGAAGCTTAAGTGCCTCATGATCTGCTTCGTGGGAGCTCTGATTCACCGTGTCGTCTCGTACTACGCCATCGGCATCCTGTACGACTGGCACTTCTTCACGTGGATTCACATCTGGAGCGGCTACACCAGCTGGGCGCTCAACATTGAATCCTGGGGCTGGTATTTTGAATGGACCCCGGCCTTTATCGGTTCCGGCATCTTGATCGGTCTCAACCCCGCCATTTCCATGTTTGCCGGTGCCGTCATTGCCTGGGGTCTTATTGGTCCCCTGCTCGTGCACTACGGCGAATGCATCGGCATCCAGCTGTCTGAGGATCCCCAGTGGGACTCTTACTACAGTTTTGCCTCCCTCAGGAACCTCGGCACGGTTACGCCCTCTCCTCGATACTGGCTTCTCTGGCCCGGTGTCATGGTCATGGTGTGCTCGTCCATGGCCGAGCTCTTTGTCCAGTACAAGGTCATTTGGAGCGGCGTCAGCACCATCTGGAACCAGGGCTGCGGTGGCATCAACGGAATGTTGGTCAAGCGTGGCAAGTCCAGCAACTTCTTCGCCAAGCACGGCGCACCCAAGGTCAGGAGCGAGAGCATGGTTGAGGACCCTTTCCCACCAGAGCAACAGGTCAAGAACTGGATGTGGCTCGTTGGCCTTCTCGTGACGGTCGTCATCTCCATGATCATCTTCCACTTCCAGTGGGAGATGAACCCCGGTCTTACCCTGTTGGCCATCCTGCTTGCCTTCCTCTTCTCGTTCCTCGCCATCCAGATCGGCGCTGTTACCGACACGACCCCCCTGACGGCCGCCGCCAAGGCCTCGCAGCTCGTCTTTGGTGCTGCCACTTCGGGAGGTGGTTTCAGCATCAAGCATGCCCAGAAGCTCAACTTGGTGGCCGGTGGTATCGCTTCTGGCGGTGCTGATGTGGCTGCCGCCCTTGTCGGCGATTTCAGAACCGGTTTCTTGATCGGCACATCGCCCATCAAGCAGTGGGTTGGACAATGCATTGGCAGTTTCGTCTCGGTGTGGCTCGCACCAGGTCTGTTTGTCCTCTTCACGTCGGCCTACCCCTGCATCTGGAAAGGTGAGGCCGAGGGTGAGAACTGCGCTTTCGACGTCCCCTCCGTGTCCGCCTGGGCTGCCGTGGCCGAGGCTGTCACGGACCCCAACGTCAAGATTCCCTTTAGCAGCGGCATGTTTGCCATTGCCATGGGTATCTTGTCTGTTGCGCAGGTCGTCTTCCGTCATTTTTACCTGGTGGGCGAGCGTGAAAAGTACCGCAAGTGGCTGCCCAACTGGGGTGCCATCGCCCTCTCCTGGGTCATCCCCGCCCCGGTGTTTGCCAACGCTGCGTTACTCGGTGCCATCATCGCCGCGCTATGGAGGAAGTACAACATGCGCACATGGGACATTTACGGCTATGCTGTGGCAGCTGGTGAGTTATTTTTAGTGTTTGGTTTCATAACATGTGACTGACTGTGTTGTTCAAACAGGTTTCATTGCCGGCGAAGGTCTTGGTGGTGTTGTCGGCGCCGTCCTTACGCTGGCCGGCGTCGACGGAGCAGTCAAGGGCACACAGATTGCCTGCCCACTCAACTCTTGCTGATATGTTCGTTGAGCGGGTTGTACATGATTGCTTCTTGTGTTTATGGTTGGATATGATTTAAATGGGTGTAATGATTTGAAAGCAGCGTATACCATTGATTTTCTTCTCAAATAATTGGATTCATGATGTTTATTGTGCAGAGAGTGATGATGCTACAGCTATCTTGAATTTCCCAGCCTACGCCTGCGGAACGGCAGTTGCCCAAGGGTACGATGTGGCCAGGGGTGTGTTGTAGGTGCCCAGGCTGTGAAAGTTTCTGGTGGTGGTGGTGTTGAAAAAGATCTTTTGCACAAAGGGCAGGATCCCGTTACTGCTTCGGTCAGCATTTCCGTCCACACAAATTGATCAGGCATGCGGAAAACGTACAATCCGCTCATATCACAATGTCCTCCGCTCCTGACATTGATTCCAATCTTGTCCCCCGCCCCAAGCCAGTCATACACCACCTTGGCCGCTGGGAAAATGACGGTTGCCGTCCCTTTGCTGTTCACAAACTGGTCGCCCGTTCCCTGGTCGATAATCAACGCCCGCGGAGCGATGGCAGCGGCAATGGTGTGCGCGTCAAAGGGCAGGTTCTCGTGGTGGTTCATAAAACTCCCAAGCTTGGAATTCGACCACCACCCGGCACCCTGCTTGCTGTTCTCGAGGTTCTCCCCCTGCCCGGACAGCGTAAAGTACCGGTACGGTCCCAACCCCTGAACGCCAGAAGACATGGGCATGGTGACGGTGATGCGCTTGTCAAACAGCCCCGCGACCAGGGCGGCTTTCCCCAGACGGGAGCAGCCAGTCACACCGACGCGGTAGGGGTCGATCTCTGGGACGGTGAGCTGGATCGCGTCGAGGGTGCGGTGGAAGCCCCAGGCCCAGGCGGTCAGGACGCCAATGTCGCGGCCGTTGTAGATGCTCCAAAAGACTCCCGTCTTGGAGTTGCTGTCGGGGGCCACGGTGGTGTAGTCGAACTGGGCGACGGCGATGCCGGCTTGGAGGTAGGGCTGGTTTTGCATGCCGCCTATGTTGATCACGACGGGCGCCGGACGGGAGCTGCTCGCTCCGGAGGGCAGCTGGATGGTGGCCCTGAAGGAGCCGCGTTTGTTTTGGGGACCCGTGACGGTGATTTGCAGGGTCGTGCCTGACCGGGTGGCTTCGACCTTTTCCTGGGTTGGGTCGGGGTAGTACCCGAATTGGTATTCTTGGAGGAACTGGAGGATCTCGGGTTGGCGGCACTGGTACCACTCAGCACGGGACCTGATGCGGTTGGGGGCGTTGCCGGTCATGACATCGCGGGCAAAGGTCGAGGAACCGGCGGCGTTGTCGGTGGTGGTGTACTTTAACGGTAAAAAGGGGTCAGGGAGCGAGGACTGGAGTGGGAGTTGTTGCCAGGTCGGGAAGGGAGAAGGCAAGGGTGCGCATTGGACTTGACGGGGGGAGATCTCTTGGTCATTCTCACTAGATGCTGGTGCCGCAGCCGATAAAACGGCTGCTGTCGCCGCAGTGAAGAGAATGGAGTAACGCATGATGACTTGCTCTTGGACAGGTATCTAGCGATTTGCTCTTCAAGAAGCTGCACTCCGGCCTTGTCTGATATAAGACGACCAAAAAAAGCTGGGGTACATCAACCTCGTGGCATTAATCCCCGAACCCGTGCATCCCGTCACCCGGATGCTTGGTCCTTGTGGGGTAGAGCCGTGTTGATGATGGGTTGATCCGTATTAGCCATATTGACGCGGCGTAAAAGGTGCCGGGCAAACAAGGCACTCTGGGAGTTCTGTCATGTAAATCAGACTTGATCGGGAACAAGATTCAAAACAAACAACGTGTGAGGGTTACAGTCTAGATTTATCCATCTTGTGTTTCCACCAACTGCAATCACCTGGCGTTTGTTGTTCAATAAAGAAGAGAAATATTTCCTGAAACCAGGTATTATAGAACCGAACTGGGATGTTGAGAATCAGTTTTCAAACCTGACAGCGCCTTTTCTCCAGAACCTCCTTTCAACCGGCCGTCACTTCATTCCAGGAACAAAAGAAAAGAACATGACAACAGGGCCAGACCCCTAAACCTTCTGGGCCGCCTTTTCATCCTCATACTGAACAGTGAATTCAGTGACCTGGGCAATGCCGTTCTTGCCTGGGTTCACCTTCTCCCCGTTCTGCACCAGGATTCCTCGGTCGCTCTGGTCGTCGTCACCCAGTCGGTGAAGCTCGAGATCGCTGCCGGTGGGGGCGGGCCGGCTGGAGATGGTGATCATTCTGCTGCGGTTGCCACTGGCACCGGTTTCCTTGACGTAGCCGCTGTGGTATTGTCTCGAGGTTTTGGCGTCACGAACGAGAACACGAAGCATGGGGATAGAGGCGGCGATGATCGAAGCGGAAACCTCGGCGTTGCCCCAAATCCAAAGGTCAATGGCGTCGGCTATTTTAAGGTCGGTCAGCAAAACGTCCTTCTCTACAGCAGTCTGGGGGAGCTACCAAAATCTTCAGACAACATGACATTGACCATGCTGGTCTTGATGATGGCCGTGATGCCAGCAAAAATACCCATGCTCATGGCGATACCCACACCGATCTTCTCGCTGTTTCTCATCTGGAGGCCCCAGAGGAACTTCCACGGGAGCATGGCAAGTGTCAAGTCCATAAAGGCCGAATACGAACCCGAAAAGATGTTGTAGTGAACCAAGATGTGCGGCGCCCAGCACGTGCCCTCGACGAACATGTCCCAGACTTTTTGGATAGGCGTGCAAGAGACCCAGGGAAACAAGGCGGACAGGCCCATGGCGATGTTCATGCTGATGATGCAGAACCAGGTGACCTTTTTGATCCAGCCGTCGGTGAGGTGAAGCAAGGTGATGCCGAAGGATGTCTTGGACCACACGGCAGCCGTGACGGAGAGGGTGCCCGAAATGTTCATGGGAAGCAAAAGGTGAATCATGTTCTCCATGGGGAAATCCCAAATGTGTTTGCCGTATCCCATTGTAGTCATGTAGGTCATCAAGGAAGATTCGGCGGTGATGCACAACTTGGCTCACGCGTCAGCACTGGGGACCTAGACAAGAGAATTGGGGGTATCGTGAGACTTACGATAGCTCCAATGAGAAAGTAATCATCCCACCACAAACTCTGCCTCTTGAGCATCCGGCAGTAGAGTCTCAGAGCCAAAAAGGCGCCAGCGACACAAGTAAGGGTCCAGACGCAGGCCACGAGTTTTGGACCGGCATCGTCGTGAGGAAGGGCGGCGAGCTCGGCGGGAGTGAGCGCGACTGGGGTGGCGAACTGGTCCGGTTTGGTGCCGTCCTCTTGCGTAGTGAGGACTACGTCGGCCATCGTTGGTTGTCTGAATGTCGATCCGAAACTCGCCGGAAAGCTAATACAAGGTGAACGAAACAAAGGTAACGAATGTATGGAAGAACACAACCCCAACTGCCAACGGTTGGGCGGCTGGATCGACCTGTGAAGCGAACAAAGATCTGCAGATGCTGAGATCGAGATTATCAGGGCAGTCGAGAGAATTAAGGGACCGGTGGGTGGGAGGCGGTTGGAATTGTTATACAGAATATCAAAGATGGAAAGGATCGGAAGACACCCACTCAACAGCTGTGGATAAACTGAGACCTAATACCATGGAACTATCATGCCCCCGGGCTTCCCTTCCTTATCGACGTTTCTGCCGAGGGGTGGCCCTTGTCGTACCGACCTCCTGGGCTGGCAAGCAAACCCTGAAGGCCAGGGGATTGTGTTGTGTGCAGCCTGGTGGAGAGGGTTGGCTTAGCCAGAAACGGAAAGGGGTAGATCGAGCCCAGAACTATTGTGGATGTTTCGTTTGGGTTTTTGTTTTCGACCAGCATGGTCCCCGAAGCTTCCATATCGACATCAAGGGGCGCCGCCTTCAGGGTCACCGCGTAGCGTAGGGACTTGACCATTGATTCGCTTCTGTTCTGATGGATCCTTGGCCCCTACTTTGCCAATAGCTTGGGATGTTGCTGACACACTCAAGGACAGAGAGGAGAAAACGCGGCCTATAATTTCTTATTCTTCGACATGATGCCATTCTGCGAACAGCATCCTCCACGGGCCAACCAGCGTTTGTGTTTGTTTCCGCTCCTCGCGTGACTTGACGGCGGCAGTTGCACCTCTGTAGATACTGTATGCTTGTTAACATATATGCCTGCAAGAGCCTTGACGAGACTTTTGTGATCTCAGTCACTTAGTTTTGAATGTTACCCTCAGGTCGCACTGCTAACAACAGGCTTCCCCGCGTGCACGTTGCCGGGACCCTAGTGTGTTGTAGTGAATATCTCTAGTTCCACCTTCACAAGCCACCCTTTTTTCTTTTTCTTCTTCAGGTCGTCTGTGTGGTAGACTTTGCTTGTTGCTTTTCTCCTCGCTAGCTCCCAAGCGACTGGTGGTCCACGAGGATCTTTTCGGTGGAGCCTGACTTGTTTGACGAGATCGATCAACAGTGCTCACAGGGCGATGCTGAGGAGTCAAAATCGGACGGTGGAGACGGGAAAAACAGAGAGGCCCAAGCTTGTTCTTCTCTTTGATAAAAAAGCGGCATGAAAACGGCTGGCTCTTCCCGTCCGAGGCGGACCGGCAACGGCCAGCGGGTGGTGCGTCCGAGCGAGCCCCCGTGAATCCCGCGGTTATTCTGACCGAAGAAAAATTGAAGGATTTCAAACCCGGACAACACGTTTCGGCACACGGCAGTGCCCGATCACAGGCACCAGTCAAGCTCCCTCGCCCAGTCCCCGAACCCCGACCCTACCAGCGATTCACCTTCCTGTTGTGGTGATCTGGCAACTTGTTGCCTCTACCAATTTAAACTTTTCGACGACTGGGCCCACGCCTCTGGTGCCTGTGGGGTACGTGCTGGGATGCCCTGCCCTTGAGTATGGCAGCAGCTGGGATCAATTCTTGCGCGGCACTGTGGAGTACCGATCACAAGGCTTGGGATGGCCTCAACTCTTGCTTGGGTCTTGATATCAAGATGCTAGCTGATGACAACACCGCCTTCTCTCAGCACGACGACGATGCCGCAAAGACTGTCCACCAATAGAAACCTAACGCGGCATCGCCAGCCGACAAAAGATGGGCCAAGTGGACTAGCTCTACTGGTCTGTGACGCCGGCGTTGGCTCGGTCCATACGGAGTATATGGATGGATATGCGGTCCTATAGGAAGAGGGCCGGAGTTGCTTAGCGGGCATTTAAATCTTGATGGGGTTGAAAGCTTGGACGCTTTAATACCGCCGTGCTGGAGCCGAAAGATAATATGCATAAATGTCAGGGGTCGCATTGGGCTGACCAAATATGAGTTCAATATACACCAAGAGGATGCCATCCAAAAAGGGCATGTCCAACTGTCTATGCACAGGGCCAGGTAGATATACAATATCAACGCAGGCAACCACCCCTACCCATATTTGGGCTATGCTCGGGCCTTTTCGGTTTGTGTAGTTGCCGCCGGCATCTTGGCTGATGCTTTGCTTGATCCCCAGAACAGACCATCAACATCCAACCCCACCACTTTGAGAACTCCGCAGGCAATGTATACCACCAGCCCAACAACAGCGATGAGATCCAGAATGTGCACCAGCCACCACAGGTGCTGCGTCCCCAGCGGGCAGGTGTCGTAGTCGGCCTTCCACTGCCAGCTCTCCTCGTCGAACCAGATGCTCAACAAGCCTGCGTTTCCGCCAAAGTCTCCCATCATGCTCCTGACGGTGATCTCTCTGACGCCCGGGACACCCTCCGCTTCTTTGCCCACCGTCTTTTCCCTTACCGCTTGCCTCCACCGTTTCACCTGCCACTCCACCTCTCCACCCTCGGCCGTCTGGTTCACATAATGATACGTGTCACATCCAGCATGGTCGTGGCCGTTGAGAATAATGCCTCTTCTCCCCTTGCCGCCGCCCGGGGCACTGGAAGAAGCCGACATACCCAAGATTCCTTCCAGAAAGCCTGTTGACGCGGCAACACTGAGCTGGTTTTGCTCCTTCAGAGTCCCGTCGTGCGAGTGGAATTCGAAAAAGGGCTGGTCGACGCAGACACCGGTTGGTTTGTACAGCGGGATGTGGGTCAAAATCACGGTATAGTGCCCCTCAAACTCGACTGCGGCCGCGGTGTTGATGACATTGTTGATAAAGGTATAAGTATCGTCTTGCAGTTGGGTCGAGAGCGCCGGGGTGTCGAGGTTCATGTCGTTGAGCACCACCAATCTCAGCTCGGGGATCAGCCTGGTGGACTCGGTGTTGGTGTCGGGATCATATAGAGTCTTGCTGTCGAAACCTTCGGGCAGGGGCAGCTCAAACCGCAGCTCGTAGTTGATCTTTCCAAACGCCTTCTCGAAGCGCGCCGTCAGATTCGTGGTGATGTCTCCCGCATAGCCAATGTCGTGGTTGCCCGCCACGTTGATGATGCGCCTGGCCCAGGTTGTGTCATTGTCAAAGCGGGAGAGGTACCCGGACAGATCGTACTCCTCGGCCGGATACGCCTGCAGAGAATTGGGCACCTTTTCTGCGCCGCGAAAGACACGGTTCCAGTATCGGTTCGCGCGCTTGGTGAACTCGGCCTCGTTGAGCCACTGGCTACCGACAAGATCGCCCAATACCGTTACGTGTGTGGGGCGAGTCCACCAGTGGACAGACCGATAGATGTGGGCAAGGTAAAAATCGTTGCCGAACAGGTCGATGATCTTGCGGACCGACTCGAAAAAGTTGAAGGTGTCCTCTAGCAGAATATCGACAACATCGTGGAGGGCTTGCTTGATGCCGAGTCGCGACAGCTTAAAGTTGCGAACGAGAGATTTCGCATGGGGGAAAACGCCGAGGTATTCGATAGGAATCGAGGTAGAACCCTCCAACTGCGGATCGCCGAGGGTCAGAAGACGGAAAGGGGCTTTTTTCGAGGGGAGCGCCGGGGCGGGAGGTTCCTCGATGCTCGAGTTGATCGCTGTCGCTGTCGCTGTCGCCGTCGCATTGGCGAGAAAGGCGGGGACCCAGTGGGATTTGGCCGTTTCGAGGAAAGGCGACCGTGTTTCCGACGACGAAGAGGGCGGCAGCGGAAATGCGCAGGTGCCAAAAACTGGGTACAGGTAGAGATAAATCGTCAGGGCGATGGAGACGGGAATGAGGACGCGCAAGACATGGCGAAGAATCGCCGTCGGCTTTGGAAAGCAGCAGAATCGCGTCATGACATTTTCTTTTTGAAGATTACAAATTACAAGAAAATCAGAAAGGAGCGAAGAGAAGGAAAAAGAATGAGGAAAATAAAAATCCGTTGTTGGCGTCGTCGAGGTTGATCATCAGGTTCGATTGAAACAATGGAAACGTCCCAGAAAAAGTTGGACCCCGAAAGTGGCACTTGTCAGCGAGCGCGTGCCACTGCAACGTCAAAGTCGAGTCGCGGCACGGCATGTCAGCGGCACATCAGACGCGGCGGCGGTTGGTTGGTTGGAGGCGAGGGTTAGGGTCCACTTGAAAATAGGAGGCCCCTTTTCATTTCATTGGACATCAGCAAAGTAGTGAATGACTGTTTTATTCTTCTACCCTCGAGCTAAGAAGTTCTTGCCAGAGTGGCCCAACTCGACAGTACAAGAATATCACAAAAACACAAAACAAATGCAATGCAAAATGACAGAAAACAAGGAAATAATGAGATAACTAAACGAGTGGCCGCCCAGATATCCAAGCTGCTGTTAGCACAGAAAAAGAGCAATGCAAAAAAGACCAAGGCTCAAATGTCCATCACTGATCTAATCCAATCCCAGTCATCCATCCTCATAAATGCTTTTGTTGATTTTGTTGAACATTGTCGGCAAGCCTAGGCCTGGACCTTGTTACCCTGGAGCTGACCTTGGTTCTGGCCGGAGTTGTTGGAATCAAAGCGCTGCTGCTGCTGCTGCCCCTGCTGTCCCTGATTCTGGCCGGAGTTGTTGGAATCAAAGCGCTGCTGCTGCTGGCCCTGCTGTCCCTGATTATGGCCGGAGTTGTTGGAATCAAAGCGCTGCTGCTGCTGCCCCTGCTGTCCCTGCTGCCCTTGGAGGGAGCCTGACATCTTGTCGGCGTCGTTGTTGAAGCAGTCGCGGAGCCTGTTTCTTGGTCAGTTCTCTTGTTCTCACGCCGGGAGAGGCATGAACTCACATGTTGATGTCACCCTGCTGGCCAGCGACGTAGAGGCACTTCTTGAGCTCGTCCTGGATTTGTCCCCATTGCTGTCCCTGATCCGAAGAGCCAAGAACCTTCTCAGCCTTTGCGTCCTGCCCATTGGTCATGCCAGGGTTGGTGTTTTGATGCTCGGCACGGCCAGAAAGACGGCCCTGGTTGTTGTTCTCGCCCTTGTTGAGGAGCTGAGAGGACGAGATACCCTTCTCAAGCTTCTGCTGCATCGGGGTATCCTCCTGATTGTAAGTCTTCATCTGGGCGGGCTGGACAAACTTGGTGGACTCGCTGTCGCCCTCATTGTTGGTGCTGGCGCTGGAGCCCTTGGAGGAAGACTGTCCCTGACCGCGGGGCTGGACCTTCTCGTGCTGGGAAATGACAATCGTGGGGACATCCTGCTCCTTCATGGCTGGGTTCTGGTGTTCACCGCCCTTGATAGCGGACTGGAGCTGCCCGTTGGTCGACTGTTGGCCTTGGTTGCCATTATCCAGATTGATTCTCTGGTTTTGACCCTGTGTGAGGCCCTCGTCCTTGTTGACGTTGTTGCCGAGTGGCTGCTCAAGCTGGCCGTTTCTCAGGCGCTGTCTCTCTTGCTCGAGACTGTTCTGGGGGTAGGCGTTGGACTCGAAACGGCCACCGTTGCCGAGGGCACCAGAGCCCATGGGGCCCTGCTGCTGCTGGCCTTGAACCTCGGAGCGGCGGACTTGGGTCTTGCCCTTGCCCTCTTGCTGGCGCTCAAGGTTCTGCTGCTGCTGGGGACCAAAGAGAAGCTCCCGGATCTTGTCGAGGGTGGTCATGAGCTGCCCATTCTCTTGAGCTTGCTGTTGCTGCTGCTGCTGCTGGCCGTTGTTGTTCTTGTGAAGCCCGGAGTTGACCTCGGAGCGGGGCTGGTATTGCTGCTCCTTGGTGAAGGGGATATTGGAGCCGCCAGACGTAGTCGAAAGCTGGAGGCTCTCGTGATTGAGCTCCTTCTTGCCAAGGTAGTCGCCGGACTTGTCGTAGAGACCGTTGTTGCCGGTGTTGCTGCCGCCCATCTGGTTTCCGGAGTCGGCGCCGTGGCCAGCGGCGAACATTAGGTCGTGGGAGCGAGTAGACAGACCGCCATTGCCGTTCTGGCGGGTCTTGTCAAAGCGGCCTTGCTGACCCTGTTGACCTTGCTGAGCGCCCTGGTCGTTGCCGCTCGAGATGCGGGTGTTTCCACCGTTGTGGGGGCAGTTGCCGTTTCCGCAGCTGGAGGCGGGAAGGGCTGAGCCTGTTGCCGCAATGGCGATGGTGGTGAGAACGGTGCGAGAAATATGCATCTTGGCGACAAGAGAGGCTTCAACAAGGACAACGTTTTGGAGCCGACTGGAACTGAGTAGAGAAAGACTGTATGAATGCAGAGATGTATGCGTTGGATGATGAGATATTCCAAACGCCAAACCGGGGGAGGAAGATGGAAATATATATCCTTTTCGGTCCTCAACATCCCAACCACGCCCGAGTTGAAGTCAACGAGAATTACCCTCTTGTTCTACAGCGTTGAGCAAACCAGCCCGGCCAGAACTCGCCTTGCTGTCTGCGCGAGCCAGAGTGATCGACCACGTCAAGAAAGACACCAAGCCAGCTCATGGCGACTGGGTAGCAAGAAACAGGCAAGCGCCCGGCTCGTCACCCATACAAACCACGTCGTGACCCGGCCGCTATCGACCACCCACCACCTCTGTCACCTCAATCTCGGTGGGGAGAGAGAAAGTCGTGGTCGTCACAGGTTGCAATGGTCCCCCTGGCCTAGGTCATTGCGCTTCTAGACCGGCAGGCCGATGGTTCCTGTTGCCCAGGTCTGTCAGCTCTCGTGAGGACTGTCCAGTGGCTAACTTGAACGTAACACCCGCCTCCTTGCCCACGTTGACCGTACCTTTCTGACAACTCCTTTCCACCAAGGCTTTGACAGGCGAAGGAAAGAGAAAAAAAAAGATATCATCTCGGACCATCACCAAAGTTGAGTATGCCAAACATGTCGTGAAACCGGTCTGTGTTGTTCCACCACCCCAACATCAGCGTGCAACATCAGGCTCCCCATTTGGGCGGTTTGGCACTGCTTGTACTCATCCGAGATCTGCCAGGTCACTGAATGAGGTTGCTCAACCAGTACGAAATGCCTGTCAGGGACCCTTGCATGTCACCATCGCCCCCTCTTCCACCTCACGTAGCAAGCCGTTGTGTCGCCATGGTCGGCCATCAGTCGGAGCCTCTTGTCACATATTCTCCTTGCCGTCCAAGCCAGAGGGCAAAAAGTCTTGTTCCACCTCAAACGCCTTGTCATGCCGATATAGGGAAAGAAAAAAAGTGAAGTGACAAACTATACGCATACATTTTTCCCCTTGATCGCCTGTAATCGTACATACAAATCAACCTGGTCGCTTTTTTCGCCGCCCTGCTGCATTACCATGACCCCTATGTGCCGCTGTCCCAACGTAGCCGTGGCTCACATGCTGCTGCTGCTGCTGCTCCGGCCACCCTGTCCGAGACAGAAAGAGAGAGGTCATTCTCCCAATCTTCTCGAGCATCAGTAAGGAAGCAAAAGAGTGGTTGGACTATTGTTACATGGTGGGGGTGTTCAGGTCTACGCCGTCTTGGGCCCCGAAGTGCTATCTGTTGAGGATGAGGCTGATGTCTCCTCATCCTTGACGAACCAGCTGAACATGGACGACTTCATGCTCTTCATGGCTTCCTTCTGCATCTTCTCCTGGAGCTCTTGCTCTTCCTTCAGCCACTTCTCGCCATTCTTGCGGATCTCCTCCTCCAGCGCCAAGTAGTTACGCATGCCTCTCTCACGCGCGATGTCCTGCAGCATCTTGCCCTTGGCAAACGCCTCGGTGGGGTTCTCCTCACCCTCCGTCACCATCAAGCTCATGTTGCTTGGCTTGAGGCCGAGATGGCTGCTCAGCCAGCCGATGCCGCCGCCCGAGGCCTTAACCTTGTTGGCACCCAGCCTGCGCTGATGCTCGGCGCGGGCGAGGGCCTCACGGCGGGCAAACTCGACTGGAATGTTCTTGCCCTCGAACGACTTGAGGACTTTGCGGACGTCATCGTACTGCATGGTGTGAATAAACTCCAAAAAGGGGACGAGATCGATCAGGTCCTTGTCCTTGGGGTTGCCCTTCCACTTGGGGAGGATGATGGCGTTCTCGGGCTGGGCACGGACGTGCTTGGCTTCGGTGTCGATGATGATCACCTTGGACAGATCACGGTTGAGGTACGACAAATCCTGGAGACACGTGTGTAAGTCTAACGGCGTCCATGTCAGATAGGGGAGGGCTGGCAGTCATACCTTGATGATCTCGCCATCCTTGTACTTTGTGGCTTCACGGAAGAGGGGCCACATAATGAAACGGTAGGGATCCAGTTTGCGCACCAGCGGCTCGCCGGTGCCCCAGGGGACGGTGGTGAAGAGGACGATTTCGTAGTACTGCGAGAGGTAGTGCAAAAAGTAGTCCACGCCCGGCCGCTTTGCCACACGCCATCCATGCTCACGACTCCATTCGCTGTGAATCAGCATATCCTCCAGACTGATGCACAAGGTGTAGGGACGCTCAAAGGACGGGTCAGGGTCGGGGAGCAGCTTCTCAAATGACGGCTCCTGATAGTATGTGACAGTCTCCGTCATGCGTGACACGGCGCGCTTCCACCAGAGCCCCAGACTCCAGCCGTTGCCAACACTGGGGTTTTTGGCGAGCTCCTCCTCGCTCCATTCCCTGCCCAGATACACGGTGCCTCCGACAGCACCCAAGCCAGCAGAGGCGAGTGCGAAATAGGTCCACCACTTCCGCTTGCGCTCCGACGACGAGACATAGGCAGAAGCGGGAAGCTCACCCTTTGGCCTCTTTCTCCCGCCGCTGCCACCCCCATCACCACCGCTCCCAGCACCCGCCGCTTCGGCCTCCGAAGCCGCCTCGTCTCCGATGGTGGACTTGTCTGTAGCACCGGCCCGTTCGTATTCCAAAGTCGAAGGGATGCCCTGTGTCAGGTCTGGAAGCTTGGACAGATCGGGTATCGGTTCTTCGGGCTCCTGTTCCTGGGGTGTGGTTGACTTGGCCTCTGTCTCGGCGGCCGACGACGGTGGTGGCGGTGGTGGTGGTGGTGATGGCGGGGCATCTGGTTGCTTTAGTTGCTGCTGCTGTTCGGCAGCGGCCTTTTGTGACGGTGACTGTTTTGGAGCATTAAACCTCGACTTGTTGTCCTTGGCCATTCCTCGGGCCCATACGGCCGGCAATGTCTGGCGGGGGAGGGCCGACGACGCCGCAAAAGCCGCAGCTCTCGCACCCGCAACCGGGCGCGCAGCAGCTCGTGCCAGCATCATGACTTTTGTTGTCTGGATGTTGCTGCTTCAGTCTCTCGGGGGTCCTCCTCGGTCTCGGCTACGGTCGGCGATATCGTATGAAAGAATGGAAGTGAAAGCAGCTGGATGTGAAGATGGGTTGCAAGTCGTCAAAGTGCTCCAACCTCAATGACAGCTGAACAACTGACCAGTCGAGGCCCATACCTTGGTCCAAAGCTCTGACCAAAAAATCTCAAAACCTTCTTGCTGCACATCTGCCAAGCAGTCGTTGGAGTCAGAAAAAGCCCACACAACCCCTGCCACTGCCGGCCATCTGCCACCTGCCAGGCCAATCGCATGTTCTCAACTCGATCGCCGATAAGCCGATAAGCCCGCAGTGGTGGGTGCAGTCTTTCGTCATGGTGAACTGGCTGTCGGAGAGTCCCGCTCTCACGTGCCCCACCCTTGTGATGCCCCGCATGCCATTGAGCATTGAGCCATGGGATTCGGTTCAATCATCAACTGCCTTTCTGCAACGATGCAGTCGTCGAACCTGTGCCTGAAGTACCTGCCCTCCCCTGTGAGATTGAACCTATCATTCATCCATTTCCCCTCATCTACCTGGTTTGGTTTAAAAGTCGCGGCTGTTTCCTCCTCCTGGTTCTCCGTTCTCCACCCCTGCGATTCCATGATTCGCACCTTCATCCCAGCCAAAGCATCAATTCTTCTGTCACATCTGCCTGCCATGGCCGCCGCGGATGCATTCTAGAGGGTGGTCCACGAGTCGACTTTTTCCAGTGCTCACCATGGGACCACCCTCTGAGTTCTGCATTTGCGCCCGCCCAACAAGCACCCAGACTGTGCCTTTGCGATTAGCTGTTACAAACCAGGATTGACCGTAGGTTTCATCAGTCCGTCCCTCCAGCAAACATTTGCCACTACTAACTCGTAACTCGGCACTACACAGCCTTACTTTCGCCTTTTGCAAGCCAAGACTGAGCATTTACTCAACTTCCAACCTCCAAACCACGCCCATATCCTTCCTCATAGATACCACGGTATAGAGTAGCGCAGCATGGCCCGCCGAACGACGGCAAAGGGCCCTCGTGCCCGCGCCATTGCCTCCTCCTCTCTCGCCTCGTCCTCCGCCCGCCCCACGCCGGTTCCTTCGAGCGACGCGACCCCGGTCAGCTCGACCTACCCATCTACTTATGCCTCCGAGGCAGAACACGACTTGGATGATGACATATTGAAGAAGATGCACGGATTGACCATCTCCGATACGCCCGGCGATTCTATCACCGCGGCCGTGGTCAAGAAGGCCGAGCCAAAGAAGCCGTTCCGGTTCTTGGATCTGCCACCCGAGCTCCGGATCACCATTTATGGTTATTATTTTGCCGATGTCGACCGTGTTCTCGACCTTGATCCGGCAAATTACAAGCGCATCCACAAGAAGCTGGGCCTCATGCGCTCATGCAAGACGATTTACTATGAGGCAACCCACATGTTTTACAGCAGCCGTACTTTCCGGCTGTTCCCTACGCATCCGGGCCGCTACTTCAAGACGAAGAAGCCTCTCCTTGCGCGCCTCAAACCACGTCAGCGTAACTGCTTGACATCCCTAGAGTTGCGGCTCGGCCCCGGCTGGAGCAAACCTCCCCGCGGATGGGTTGTGAACCCAGCGCTCGGGCTTGCTGATTGCGTCAACGTGCGCAAACTGACCGTTTTTGTCGAGTGCGATCCCAGTGATGGCATCTTCAACGGCTTCCGTCGTCACGATGGATATTACGAAGGCTTCAGCACCAGCCTTCTCAGCAGCGTTTTGGATGAGATGCCATTTATCGACTGCTTGACTTTTGACGCCTGGTCAAGCGTCAAGAAATCGGGCGCCATGATGCGTGCTCTGCTGGAACTTGCATATGCACGGGGCTTGTCAGTTCGCTGGGGTCCTGAAAGGGGTTGGGCCGACTTTGAAGACGAGGTGGAGGCTGTCCCCGAAGGCCATGTTGCTAATAATGCTATGTTGAACCAGGCTCCGCTTGGGATTGGGGTTGCGGTTGTGGCTTGAGGGTTTTCTTTTCTTTGGTTTGTGGACAACGGTTGGGTAGCATGGGTATGGGCAACGGTTGGGTACGGTCATCATGATTATGAGCATATATGTTGTATTACGCATCTCATCACTTCACTCATTCCAACGGTGGATATTTTGCTGATTGTTGCCGCTATTGCTCTGTGTTGCAGCAAGTATACCATCGAGGTCGTACTGATGAGTTTATGCTCACCTAACACCCTAGCATATCGAAAACCCACCGGCCTGCAGGTGTGCAAACAAAGGCGTTCGAGTTGTTGCCGTTATTACCGTCGGCGGCGAGTTAAACCCACAAGCCTCGACCGCGATTTGCTCAGGAACGAGCTGTGTTTGGCTGGCCCGCCCGAGAGTAACCGGAACTCCGCGGACTAGTTCACCTTTAAAGACCCCACCCATCATCATCATCATCACCATCATCACCATCATCACCATCATCACCATCATCACCATCATCACCATCACCACCATCACCATCATTGACAACTGCCCTGAGCCAAACGCACCAAACTATCGATACTGTCAAAATGGCCGCCTCATCCATCCGCAACTCACTCAAGAGCCACTACCCCTGGGCCGCCTTCCCATTGATCATCTCAGCCCCCATGCGTGTCATGTCCGGCCCTGCTCTCGCCCTCGCCGTCTCTGAGGCTGGAGGTTTGGGGTTCATCGGCCCGGGTATCAAGCCCGAGTCCATCCTGACTGATCTGACCGAAGCCGCCTCGCTATGTTCACAGCGGGCTTCTGACGCTACACGGCTCAGTGTCCAAGACGAGGGGGTTCTACCTGTTGGGATTGGGTTCCAGCTGTGGAATGGTGATCTCGGTTCGGCGAAGGAGGCGGCGGAAAAGTTTATCCCGGCGGCGATTTGGCTTTTTGCGCCAAAGGATGGGCAAAAGGATGTTGACGACTGGACTGAGGTGTTGAGAGGGGTGACCAAGGGGAGGAGTCAGATTTGGTTGCAGGTTGGGACTGTGGGTGAGGCGGTTGAGGCGGCAGAGTCGAAACGGGGGAGGCCAGATGTGCTGGTTGTCCAGGGACAGGAAGCGGGTGGGCATGGGAGGACGAGTGATGGGGCTAGTTTGGGGACGTTGGTGCCTGAAATCAAAGATACACTGGAGGAAAGGGGTGCAGGTGACATTCCACTGTTTGCGGCAGGAGGGATTGCTGATGGGAGGGGTGTGGCTGCGGCTCTGTGCCTGGGGGCATCCGGGGTGGTCATGGGGACAAGGTTTCTGTGTTCTAACGAGGCGAGAATCAAAAAGGGTTACCAGGACGCTGTGCTTGAGGCTAAAGACGGCGGAAAGAATACAGTTAGGACACATCTGTACAATCACCTGAGGGGAACGTTTGGGTGGCCGGAAGAGAGGTGGGCGCCGAGGACAATCGTCAACAGAAGTTGGGAGGAACACACTCAGGGTGGCAGTTCTTTTGATCAGCTGAAGGAGAAACACGACCAGAGTGTGAAAGAAGACGGCGATAAAGCCTGGGGAAGACAGACTGGCAGGACGGCAACATATGCTGGCAGTGGCGTTGGTTTGGTCAGAAGTGTTGACCCGGCAGGCGAAATTGTCGAGAAGACAAGGGAAGAGGCAAAGAAGATTTTGAGGGGCCTGCAGAGTGGGCTGCAGGTTTAGACAGGGCCATAGGCTGTTTTAACAAGGAGATTCTCGTACCACAAAACCATAAACAGGTGCCTCAGTGCATGCTCTGCAGGAGCTCGACGGCTTTCTAGCGACATTAGCTGGCAACACAGAGGTGATGTACTTGTCCCTCGTGATAGTATTCTGGTGTTTGTTGACTGAAGTGGATACCTCTAATCGCTTCAGGGGTTCAGGGGCATGTAAACAGGCAACAAGGATGAGAAAAATGCCGCCACCACCACCCCTGCTGTAGGTAGTCAATTGTGAAAACCCAAAAGTCCGACTCTGTAACCACAAAGACGTCCATCCACACCATCTAACCCAGCTTCGAAAGATGGATGGGAAGATTTCCCACGACTAACATGTAGCAGTGAAGCAGTCTGATCAGAAGGTGACATTGCCACAAAAGATATCGCTATCGAGATCGTCCCAATCTAGACGACTCAAGGTTATATATGTGATACCTCTGTCTCCTCCTCCTGATGTCATGCAGAGGGCTTCAATCATGAAGCCTGAGACACGGTTCGCTGCGGAAAGGTCATCTGCAGTTAACAGAGACATGCTACCATGTCGTACGACAGTAACATCACAGGAAGAAAAACACTGCACTCGGTGGCGGTTAGGAGAGACGCATTCTCCAGCTTCCAGATGAGGGAGCCTGAGCCGCTGCCCCCCACAATGCTACCGTCATGATCCCCATTCGATGTGATAATGCCATGACTGATCCCCGGCACTACACCCCGAATCCCATCTCATGCTGATCCAGATCTCCACAGATACTCTCTCCAAGCGCTTGGTTCAGTCTCGGCAGTCAGCTGCAGGCAGGAAGAAAATGTGAACGGCAAGTCCTCTGCATGCATGAAGCCGCCCTCCCGGTCAGGTTCGGTGAAAAGATCCAGGTAACAATCCACTCCATCTCTCCAGTTCGGCAGAAAGCTCCGTCCCGCGTGCGAAGACTACTTGATTCGGGGTCTAGATCCCAAGGCTTCCGTCCCATCTCAGGAACTTTCAACCTGACATATGGCCATTGTTGGAAGTCCGACGCAGCTAGGAACAACAGACGAGGAAACGTGGGAGGCGTGTCAAACAACGTGCAGCGTGGCCTGGACTGCTGCCAATTCAGCTTTCATCAAAGAAAGCAACTTGAACCATGAAAATGGTACGTATGAAAAAACAATCCAAGACTGGGGAAAGCCCCAGTCAAGCTTCCCTTCCACCCGCTAATTACCCCCATCCAAGGCCTAGGGCTTGCTTGTTTGTCTAGGTCATCAGCCCTCTCAGCCGTTTCTATCTTTTAGTTGCCCCCTTCTTTGCTCCCAGTCCCAAAGGAGGGTTGGTGACATCTTGGCAGTGAGAACGTGGGTTTGCCAAGATGAAGTCGGTGCACCCCAAAGCAAGGGCCATCGACCTTAATCCAACCGCGCCGTACGAGGTCCGACGTGGTGAGTAATTGGGGAGGCAAGCGGCACATCCCGTTGATCGTGGCCAAATGTCTAGCGAGGATGGCACCAGGGTCTTGTGGGGTGACGAGAGAATGTTGTGAGCAAGATCTTGCTGCTGCTTGCGCTAGTTTGTGCTGCCATCCATTGCATCGCATGTCGATGTTACTTTTACGGTCGAGGGCCTGCTCAGGTGACGGATGACCATAGTAGGAGAAGACCGAGGAGCGGACAATCATCCGAGAGGTTCTGATAGGGTCCCTCCCATTGCCCCCTGGCAGATCCCACACGTTGGTGCTGCTGCATTTTTCATACGTACCATTATTGAACGACGAGCTGACAGTTCGTGGGTGAGGCGAGACCGATCTCATTCAAACAGACCCGAGAGATCGGTAGTCCCGAAAAAACAGTCTAGGTCTGCACTCCAAGGTAAATGAAACCAACACTACACTAGCAAATTCAGGGTCCAGCTGGGGTGGGATGTTGAATACCTAACCTTGACTATGCACCTCAACTCGAACTAGGACAGATGTGGACTCTCTTTGTTCTACCAATTCGCATGTCAGACTGATTGAAAATGGGCACACAGGAGAAAAGAAGACATTCTTATCAAGCCAATGTGTGAGCTGGCAGCGATCCTACGGCCAATATCTGGAATTTCTGACGGAAAGCGTGTCGGTCGTCTGTAGTAAGGTAGTCAGCCATGTGTAGTTGCAGCCAAGCAGTCTTGGCTAAATCACGACAGGCCAAGACCACCAAGAACACCAAGAACCCAAGACCTGGATTGGCTGGCTCCGCGCTCCGAACCCGGTCGAGCATCAAGCCTCAACAGCCACGACGACTTGGCGGCCATCGAGAACCAATGTCAAACCCCAAAGTTTGTCTTTTTTGGCAGCTGTGGCGGGCAACCCCCACTGAACCGAATAAGAGGCTGTCATGACGCCATTCCTGGGATAGAAGGGCTGGGCGCGAGATAGCGGTGGACTCGGGCTCTCAGCAACGTCAGTCAAAAAAACACAATGGTGGAATCTGGTGATAACGGTCAGCATCTTGTCGGAAAATTCGTAGCAAACAATGCAGGCCGGCCAAGGGCTGCCCGCTACCGTCGGTTTGGTCGGGGAAGAAGCGGGATAGCCAAGACCCGAAGGCCCTCTGGAGTCTTTATGGTCGACCGCCTATCACGTTCGCCTCCCCGCGCAGTCGCCCACAATGGCGTATTGCGTGCTCACCGCGGGGCATTTCACCATCAGCGCCATCCACACCAGTGATGCCCACCAGCTCCCCGGCCCAGTCCAGAGTGCAGAACCGCAGATGCAGCCACGGTAGACAGAGGGAAATCCTGCGCGGCTGCTCCGCTCTCGTTGCCCTTGTCGTTCTGGGCTTTTCCGCCTGCCTGCGGGATGCCCTCGGGCACATGGGGAGGGGGTTGGAGAGCAGCGAAGAAAACCTTGAGCAAAAGAGAGGCTGATTTACTTGGCGACATTGGTCGAGCTGGTTATAAGGCCAGGTCCCATCGGCACTCCTTTGCCTCTCGATCCAGATAGAACCAGTGGTTGTGTGTCTTTTGTGAGTGGGTATCCCGTCTGCCGATACTCCCAACTCATCACCCACAACCCCAAGTTCTACATCACTCACAACACCCGCCGGCAGGGCCCATACACAAAGCCCGCTATCCATCATGGGTGTCGATGAGAAGGCCACCGTTGACCCGGGCTCGTTCCCACCTCCCACCGAGGACGAGAGCGGGTTGGTTCTCAGCGTCGACTGGACCAAGGAGGAGGAGGCACGAGCGAAGAGAAAGTAAGTTTTGGCACTACTGCATGCTCCCCTGCGCCCCACCTGCCGGACGACACCTAGATAGCCGGCCACTAACACCGTCCCACCTAAGGCTCGATCTGATCATTATGCCCCTGCTCACCCTGGGCTTCTTCTGCCTGCAACTCGATCGTGGAAACATCTCCAACGCCATCACCGACAGCTTCTTCGAGGATGTCGGCATCACCCAGAATGAGTTCAACGTCGGTCAGCAGATGCTGTCTCTCGGCATCGTGCTCTTCGAAATCCCATCCAACATGATTCTCTACCGCGTCGGCCCCGGCAAGTGGCTCACCCTGCAACTCTTCCTCTTCGGCACCGTCTCGACCTTCCAAGCTTTCCAGAACAGCTATGGCTCCTTCATTGCCACCCGTCTGCTGCTTGGTATCACCGAGTCTGGTTTCATTCCCGGCGGTCTCTGGACGCTCTCGACCTGGTACACGCGCGCTGAGACGGCCAAGCGCGTCATGTTCTTCTACTTTGGTAACCAGTTCGGCCAGGCTTCTTCCAAGCTGTTGGCCTATGGTATTCTTCACATGGGAGGTGTTGGCGGAAAGGCTGGATGGTTTTGGCTGTTTGTGCTCATGGGTGGCTTCACCATTCTCTGCGGCTTCGTTCTTGGTTTCTGCCTCCCCGATTCGTTCCGCAACCCCTGCCCGGCCTTCCTGCCAGGCATGAGCTTCTTTACCAAGAGGGAGCTTCACATTCTTCAGACCCGTGTCCTTCTCGATGAGCCGGCCAAGGGCAAGAAGAAAAAGTCCATCAAGATTGATGCCTTCAAGAGAGCCTTCTCCAACTGGCGCCTCTGGTCTCACGTCATCATCACCCTTTGCAACAACGGTCCTCAACGCGCTTTTGACACCTACTCTCCCACAATCATCTCTGGTTTCGGTTACAAGAAGCTTCAGGCCAACGCCATGGCTTCCGTCGGTCTCTTTCTGCAGATTCCCACCTCGTGGGCTTTCTCCTGGGTATCCGATCACTAGTATGTTTCCCTCACACTGAATTCTTTGGAATTTTTACTAACATTTATCAACAGTGATGTCCGTGGCGAGACCGTCATTGCTGGCATGTCCTGCCATCTGTTCGGCTACGTCTTGAACCGCATCTTCACCGACCACCCCAGACTCCAGGGAGCCCGTTACTTTGGCGTCGTCTGGACCCAGACTTTTGGCACCTTCAGCCACCCTCTCAACATTGCCTGGATGTCGCTCACCTGCGAAGATTCCGAAGTCCGTGCTCTGGCCATGGCTATGGTCATCATGGGCGCCAACACTGCCGGTATTTATGGTGCGCAAATCTTCCGCTCCGAGGACTCCCCCTTTTACCGCCGCGGCTTCACCGTGGCCTGCTGCGTCCTCGCCGTCGGCCTCCTCCTTGCCGTCGTTCGTTTTGTCGACGACAAGATCCACAAGAGGAAGCACAACACTGTCCAGCTCGCCCACGGTGGCGGCGAGACGAGCGATGACGGCTCCAACGGCGAAAAGGGCATCTCTGCTCTGGAGCGTGCCGCCGGTGTCACCGTGCCAGTGGATGATGATGTTAAGAGGGCACTGAAGAACTAAAAAGTGGTTTGCTGCATAATGATGTTATATACCCAGGTGGAAAGATATTGGAGTTGATTTGTTTAGTTTGTTTTTTTGGTATAGTCCCGTCTGTTTGATAGACTTGGAATACCAATGGGCATGAGGGATATTGGATAATTAAAAAAAAAATTGGACACTACAAGTCCCAAGTCTACGTTCTTTGTATCTGTTTGCTTTGGAGTGTCGACTTTTTATTCAAAATTAAACTTCGTGACAAAGTTGGGTACACATATGTTGCTTTTCTGGATAGTAGTTTGATAACGGCCCCGATATTAAGCTACCTCAAATACTTCAGCTAGTCCTCCATCACACCTCGACCCGATGAGTGAAGTTCAAATCGGTTTCTTTGTCCACCCAACACGAACAGTCTTTATCAACTTGAATTTCAAATGAATGCGCCGCCAGGGGTAGTTTTTAACTCAGTCGTCCGGTTTAACAGTTTGACCAAAAACGGCTTTTTTGCTACTTGCTACATCAGTAGTTCATATTAAGAATACAAGGTATTATACATTTTGCGCTATCAGGTATAACAAGCTATCCATCCACGACGATTTCCCCCCTCTTTTCATCGTCCATCCAACAAAAAGCCATCAAGGCTGCTCGCTCCCCGCTGCGTAAAATCATGGTTTGCTCCCCAAAAAGTCGTCAGACATTATCGCAAATAGGAAAACAAGAAAACACAATATGTAGTACAGACTGGTGCCAGCGTCCTCCTAGTCATAAAAGCAAAACAGACATCATCACCCCTTGTGGAAAAACCTCCACAAACTCGAACTGGAACTCTTCTTGGACTTGAGCGTCCCGTCCGTGTCAGAAGTGTTGTTGGACGACGAGGTCCCCGACGCCGACGACGACTCCGAGTTCCTCCGCTCCCGGACATATTTGGGCCACGTGTTTGTCAGGACCAGCTCCTTAATGCTCTTCTCGGCCGCGTCAAACACCGACGCGTTGAACAGCTCGGGGATGTCACCCTGATAGAAATCCTGGAATGTGTTCATCATGCTGTTGGTAGAGACCGACAAGGCGATCCCCTCTTCCTCTCCCTTGCCGTCGGAACTGGGGACGATCGCGATACCAGGAACGGCAGGCATCTTGTCCGTCTCGACGTGGACAGAGACCATGATGCCTGACTCGGATCCCCTCGATTCTGGCATCCGCCAGTCGTGCACGCCGGCAGACATGAAGGGGGTAACAGGATCGACGTTGGCGCGGCTGTCGCCGAGCAGGTCGCGGATGGCACGGTCAAACAGACCACCCAGCTGCCGGGATTGCTCAAAGGCCAGGTTGAGGGGAAATTCGGCGTCCTGAGGCGAGACGAACTCGTAGTAAATCTTGAGAGCCTTGGTGTATGCCTGTCGGACCACGTCGTCTGGGGCCTCAAAACGGTTGCTGGTGAAAGCAGGGTGCAGCGAGGCCTTCCACTCCGAGACAGCAGTCAAGAAAGCAATGTTTTCGCCAGAAAAGTCGCGGCGAGCAGAGAACTGCCGGAGAGGCTCAGGGTTTTTGGAGAGAACATGAACCAGGGCATCCATGGTCAAGATGCGGTCATCAGGAATCGAGTTGATGGCCAAGTCACCGCCACCGCTCTCCATCACGGACGATTGTTTCCACGGGTCGCCAAAGTTGAGAGATGACTCGCGACCGACCTTGGTTGACGTGGGGGACAGAGGGGTGCCGGGAACAGTAGAGTCGGCGGTGGACACGCTCTTGTCGGAGCCGAACTTGCCCTTGGTCTCCCACTTCTTGATGATGCTCCAGGTCTCCTTGGCCAAAGCCTCATCCTTGTGAACCTGATAGCAGGGAACAAACACAGTAAAGATTTCCATAATGAAGATGGAAACAGCAATCCTGCAACTCTTGTCAGTAACAAGTCGCCGATGGTCAAGGGCTTGAGGCATACCATTGGGGTGGAATAAAGTACATGTTGACGGGCGCCATCTCGGGAACATAGAGGGCAACAAGCCACATGGGCGCTGCGTGAAGTCTGTGGCCATGTTAGTGGTAACCCTGGGAAGTGCTCCGTATCAAGAATTCCATACCCTGCAAGACAGCAGGCGATGGTCTGCAGTTGCCAGCCGTGGGTGTCACGGATCTTGCGTGATCGCCAGAGAATAATAGGGGCAAACACCCAAGCCCACAGAAACTGCCAAAATAGAGACGGCCACCACTCCCAACCACGACCCTGCTTCATGGCAATCTCGCCCGGTGTAGACCCGTACACCTCGGTGCCGGGAATGCCAAAATCGGAGTGGAACTTGCGGGAGATGAGGAAGATGATCATGACGACCAAGAACTAGCACATGGTTAGCCTCACGTCCCCAACTCGGGAATGAAGGAAAGGTAAAATATTTACCTGGCACGACACGCCCACTGTGACCAAGGTTGCCATTTTCGTCTGGTATTCCATAGCCTTGATCTTTTGCCATCTCGATAGCGTCTTGGGCTGCTGCTTCTTCTCGTCAAAGCGGCTGCTCATCTGGCTGGGTGGTCGGGCGAATCTGCTCTGGGCTTTGGCAACATGGAGGAACTGGCTGTTGCCGGCTTGGAAGAGAGCGATGCCAAAGGGATACCAGATGCTCATGATCCAAAACTGGGCCATCTCGGGGGCAAGAGGTCCAATGGCATACCCGATCTGAACCGTGATCCAGTAGAGATGAAGCAGAATGAGGCCGGCAAATGTGAGGGGGAGACCACGGATACGAACGGTTGGTGATTTGCGCTTGGTGTAGAGATATCCCATCCCGCAGGCTAAAAGGGCGGTCCAGACGGCGCCGAAGACGATCCACCAGATGCCGACGGCATTGAGGCGGACCTCTGGCTTGGTGTCTGGCGTGGTGCCAAATTCGGAGCCCAGCATGGTTGGTTTTGCGGATTCTCTGGGGAGAAGCATGGTGACGGGAAGGCCCTCGAGGGCGGCGAAAAGAACGTGATGGGGCCTTTTGAAGCAGAAGCAGATATGACGAGTTTGAGGTGCTCGGTTGGTCCCCGTTGGATTAGCGCTCTGAGAGAAAAATTCACCTGAGACCTCTCGACTGAGACGGGGATGGACTGAGAGAAGCGGCGGTCCCTTCTATATCACTCTTACAAAGAGGAGCATGTCCGCGACAATCTCGGCGATCGAAAACGTGACTGTGGTATCGAGCATCTCACAGATAATGGCAAGGTTGCATGTCGATCCCTTTTGCGCCATGTTACGGTTCCTGCCCGGCGCCCTTGGGCTGCATGTTTCTTGGGATGGTGCGCATGGGCCGTGACGAGGGCAAGGGGAGTCGCATGAGGAGGTCCCTCGTGGCCAATGATGGTTCCTATCTCCTGCACCACGACTTCCGAGCAGACTGCGTGCGTCCCGAAGGTGGTGAGGGAGGCCACAGAGACAGGTTTCCGGGCCGAAAGTCTGGGGGCGGGGATGTTTTGACGTAGATCACCAGGTGCTTCTCCCCTGCGTCGTGCCTTTGTGAAATGCAAGACGAGCTGCCATGAGGTTTTTGGGCTGCTAGGCCGTGTCAGCTTCAGATTGTTGCACTTTCTGACATGATAGTAACACCGATTCCATACTGGCCATGACAGTTCATCCAACCGGCCCCCTCATCCAAAGCTAACACGGGATCATGCCTGCTCACGAGACAGCCTGCCGTTACAACGGCTTTGACAAGTCTCACGGAATCTGGATTTGAGTGCTGGTATCAACGAAGAGCGAATAAGCTTCTTTCCTTGCCTGCCGCGCTAGAGCTCGGCCAGATGCAGCCTGCGTCGATCTCCATATCGTGATTGCCGGGTCCGGCATCCAATGGATTTGCGCGGGATGTCACAGCATCGAGCATCTGTCAAGTTGTCAGTGAAACTGCAGGTATCATCATCCGCCCGTCGGGAGGCGGGCTGCCCTACATTTTGACTGAGGATCCAATTCAGGTTTCGTGCTTCAATAATTATGCATGCAAAGTGATTCTTTTTCTCGGCCGGAAAATGCTCTTATGGGTTGGAAAGAAAACAAAACACCAAACTGCGGCAACTTCCTTTCCCCCACCTGATTACCTACCATGCACCCACATGAGGCCCTGTCCAATGATCGTCGGCCAGGGGGCTTCGGCGAACTCGGGCAGTTCCCTTTTTCTTTTTCTTTTTGGCGACCTCTTCCGCATGGATAACAGCAATCCAAAAAAAAAACATTCCGATCATCTTCCTGATCCGACTTTCAGCTCTCGGCTGGCGATTCTCTGGGATCATTATTACAATGACGTCTGGATGACTTGGGATCGAGATGCTCCTCTTCCCCTCTCGATTGTCGCTTCCCTGGCCTTTTCTTTCTTTTCTTTCTGGGGAAGCAGCTTTGCCCCTCGGATCCAGCCCGGCGTGACGTACAGGTCTCGGAAGCGAGGCATGGTGTTTGTGCATATTGTGATAATTGACAGGTCAATTTCATATCAGAAACTCGAGAGTTCACCGTGCAAGGTGAAAAGCAATGCCCCTACCAAAACCGGGCCTATTGCTCGGTCAATTGGCTGCCGACTCGTGAGATGGATGCAGGGGAGAAGAAACCTGCATCAACAAAACAATGGGAGGTGCCGGTGCCGCGTTTCCAAGAGAGTCAAACACGATGCGAATTCTCAATATTTCCTGCATTTGTTATCACCAAAAACAACCGACGTCCCTTCATGATGATGCAAGCACAGCACGAACCGTTGGCCATCGCTCTCGTTAACTGTTGACTCTGATGGCCCGAGGCGCCGAGGTTCAGGGGTTCATCTGCATCTTAGTCACTGTCCGAAGCGGTTCGGACAAGATCTTCACATTGGTAATTGTAGGCAATTTCCCCCGTCCAGAAAGCTGTCAGAAAAATGACCACCACGTGCGCTTATTCTTCCCCGATGACTCGACTGGATAATCGAAGAACCGAACGTTGTGTTCTCGGCAGATTTTCTTAGGTATTCATCTGCAACCAGACACATGTGGCACTCGACCGAAACACGCGTGGGAGCTCGCGTGAGTGCTGGTTTCCAAAAGATTATATTAAATCAGGCTAGGGGGACAGATATCGGCACATATGCGAGCCCACGTGAGTGAGGTAACTTCTTGATACTTGTTCGAGGCTTACATGACAAACAGAAGGCTGGTATCTAAAGAATCGATCAGCATCAAGTCGTCTGCAGGATTACCAAGCGTCACAAAACTTACCCAGAGGGTGACTGCACGAGAGCTGGGGCTTTTGCGAGTAGTCCCGCTCAAGGATATCGCGAATGTTGTTCAAAAGTTCGACATAGCTCTGCTGGGGGTTGGCCTTGAGAGCAGAGATGAAGGCATGGGACATGGCACCCGTGGCTTGAGAGTTGATGGTGGCATCGGCCGAGGTCTGATCGTCCTTGCTGCCGCTCCACATGATAACATCGGCGGGTGAGGTCTTGGTGCGCTTGGTGTGCTCATAGGCGTCGTTGCCCTTGAAGGCACTCTTTGCGAGACCGAATATGCTGGTGGCCACGGACGCCATGTCGCCACGGGCATACGCACCCACCGCCGACAGCAAGCCCGCGCCGGCTTCCTTGGCCAGGTTGGGCTCCTTGAGAAGACCCTTGGTGTTGTAGACATAGGGAAGATCAAGTACAGAGCCAGAGTGGCACGAGTCGAAAATGGCCGTCAGCCGGACACCTTCGACCAGGGGCTTCACAACGTGGAAGTGGATCTCGTCGTCCACAATATGGCCGTTCTCCTTGAAGTCGACAGGGTAAATAACCTCATCGTGTCCATCCTCCTCGTCGCCATCATGGTCCTCGGTTTGACCGCCGTGGCCTAGTGTCACACCATGTCAGCACCTGAATGTCATTGTCAAGCAAGCGAGACGCAACCCACCAGAGAAGTGCAGGAAGAGCGCATCGTTGGGCTGGGCATTCGCCACGAGCCAGCCCATGGCGTTGATGATGTTTTGCTTGGTCGGTTGCATCACGGGGTTGGTCTGGTCGTCGGTCAAGATGACCATATCCTCGCGCTTGTACCCATGGTTCTCGATCAAGTATTGAGAAAGGTTCTTGGTGTCGTTGATGCAGCCGCGCAATTCGCCTTCCTGGCCGAAATAGTTGATACCGATCAAGAGCGCACGCCTCTTTCCTGTGCAGTTGGAGTACTGGAAGGTATAGCCGGCGGGGGCTCCGTGGCCGAACTCTTGGTGGCCCGAAGGAGGCGGCGGGCCGGCCCGCGTCGACTGCCCACGGTGTCCGCCATATCCACCACCGGCAGTTGGGTAGCCGTAGGAATCGAGATGCGGCGGGGGAGGATGCTGAGGAGGTTGGTAGTATTGTTGCTGCTGAGGCGGCTGGTATCCGCCGTGCTGCTGCTGGTAGCCTCCTTGCTGATATCCTCCCTGCTGGTACCCGCCTTGCTGATATCCGCCGTGCTGAGGAGGAGGCTGGCCGTAGCCTTGCTGGTGGTGTTGAGGAGGCGGCTGGCCGTAACCTTGTTGAGGAGGGGGATACTGTCCATAACCCTGAGGAGCGGGACTTTGCTGATATCCGCCGCCGCCGCCTCCGCTGGGACCGTAACCTTGGCCGGGATAACCTCCGTACGACATGTTTTGTTCTTGGAGATACTTCAACGAGGGGAACGAACGGGAAAGGGACAGAGACAGTTAGGGCAGTTTCAAAGAGAGATATCGGGGAGAAAAGCAAGAGAGAAACTGTTTTGGGAGTTTGCTTCTTGAATAATGGCAGTGGGTCAGCTCAGCTCAGGTGTGGCAGTAACGGGTCAGCGCAGTTGCGGGTTGCCTCACTGCCCGGCGCAATGACGAGGGGCATTCCTTCCATCAGGCACGGCTACTCGGATGCGATGGCGGGGCACTTATCAAAGAGCTTCTGTCCAGCATAGGTGGACCCCACCCCCATGGGCCGCGCAATGGAGCCCGATCGAGTGCCCCTAGCGAATCGGCACGCGCCTAGCCTTACAAGGCGCCGCGCCCATTGGGCTATCGCTACATGTGCATGATGTGGTCTCGTCTTCATCGTCAAACTCGCGGAAACAAACGTCCATTGCTCCCCTTGGCTGCATGATGACCGACCCTCAGCTTTGTGCTTTGGTCGCAAACTGGCCTTTTGTATAGGAGCATGGAGAGCGATACCTTGATGCCACAAAGAGTGGGGATGGGGGAATGAGGGGTCCGCATGCCAACACCCATTGAGGGGCATATCGGAGGCAGCCCGGGGGGTTCATCAAACCCGTCACGTTCCGGCCATTGTAGCCTGCCTCCCCTGTCGTAGTGAGAAAGATAGAAGTCGCCGCTGTCGTTTCTGACCCCCGTCTTGTTTTTTCTTCTCATTCTTGGGACTTTAGAGGTCACCAGACTAGTAGTCCATCAGCCCAACCCGTATAGCCCATCATGTCCTTCTTCAAGAAGCTCGCAAAGGATCTCGAACAGGATTTCAAAAGTCTTGGACTGGGGTCCGACAAGAAGGAGGAGAAGCCTCCCACTCCCAGCGGCGGTCAGTTCTGAGCCAAGTAATATGAGATGCCCAGCTGCTGACAATCTACGTCAGGAAACTATCCTCCCCCTCAAAATCAGGGATATGGCAGTCCCTCCCCCAACCCCCATTATCCACCTCCCCAGCACCAGCAGCATCAAAGCTACTCGAGCCCTCCTCCTCCTCAGCACGAACAGCAGAACCGTGACTTTGCCCCTCCCCAGAATGTAGGCCCACGCCCGCCGCCGCCCTACCAACCCCCTACGGACAAGCCGCCCATCCCCTCCGGCTGGGTTCCTCGCTGGGATGACCGTTACCAGCGCTGGTACTGTATGGAGTTCCTCGCCCCGCTATTGTGCCTTGTTTACAGTGACTAACAGCGGAAGCAGATGCCGAGGAGGCTACGGGCCGTACCCAATGGGAGGCGCCGGCTTATGACGCTGCAGGTCATGGCTCTGACGGCACTCGTGCCCATGGTTCGGGAGGCTATGGTGGACACCAGGCATATGCGTCCCCCGCTGGGTATGGCGGTGGTGGTTATGCGTCCCCCGCTGGGTATGGCGGCGGTGGTGGTTATGCGTCCCCCGCTGGGTATGGCGGCGGTGGCTACCAGCCTCAAGGATATGGTGTCCCCCCGTATGCCCAAGGCGAACACAAGGAGAAGAAGGGCAGCAACGCGATGGCCATCGCCGGTGGTGTCGCTGCCGGAGCCATTGGTGGTGCTTTGCTGGCTAATGCCCTCAGTCAGTATCCCCTTCCACGTAACAATCAAGGCGTCCGACTGACTTTGTTCTAGATGACTCCGACTCTGACTCTGATCATGGCGGCAACTCGGGTGGCTATGCTCCTGCTGCTGCTGCCGCCGCCGCTCCTGCTGCTGGCCCCACGTATGTGACCAACAATTACTACTATGGCGACGAGAGTCCAGCTCCCCCCCCGGCTGCTTATGATGAGCCCGCTGGATACGGCGATGTCCCACCTGGTCACATCCCTACCCATAACGCATACGGCGAGGAGATTGACAGCAGTGATCGCGAGTCGCTCAAGGAAGCGCGTGAAGCTTATGAGGAGGCTCTGGAAGATGCCGCTTCGAGCAGTGCCAGCAGTAGTGACCTGGAAGAGCTCGAGGAAGCGAGACAAGAGTACCAGGAGGAATATGAGGAGGCCTACTATGACGAGGACTAGATATCTGGTCGTCTAGTGTTTAGCGTCTGAGACTGCAAGCGTTGCGTAAACAGCATAAATCGAAGCGTTTGGTCATGACACTGCATCTAGGACCCATGTTGACTATGGTGCTGTGATGATGCGTGCCGCTTGTAGTACATGTACCCGGCCAGTGGTAGCAATAGACCATAAAGGCAAAAGGGCTAGAGCACCAACACACACATAGCATGCTATGAGCACAGAATCTACTTTGGCGACTTGGAAAAGATACGGGAGTAGGTATTCCATGTCTACCCATTTTCAGCAATGAGACGTCATAACATAAGCAGGCTATTTCACCATACTTGTACGTCCGGTTAAATCGCTAGGAGAATCAAGCCTGTGTCGGTTTCAGATATTGGATAATGAGACCCTGGTAAAATACTAGGTAAATAGTATTGACCAATGTCAGCAACCGGTGTGGCTCACCTTATCAAGACTCTTACATCGGCATTTTCGGAGCGAGACTGCCAGGCCGTGTTTGGTAGGTTGCAATCTGGATATCACACGGTTGCAGACATATATACACATCTCAGTCATCGACCCTGGCTTCTGGACCAAACATTATCTTTCCCCTAGTCGTACTTTTCAGCCGGAAGTTTTTGGCATTCAGTGAGGTGAAATCAGGGCGGTCGCACACCACACAACGGAGCAATGGGAGTCCACGTCCACGAACATTGCCTCAAAATGGCCCGGCGGGAAGACGGGACACCGTGGTGGTCAGCTTTTCCAGAGCCCAGTTCATCACCGGTCAAGATAACCTGGTCTGAGGTCGCCCGGCTTCTTCAAGACCGAGACCAATCTCAACCCCGTGAGTTCCTGTTGGTCGACACCCGGCGAACAGACTGCATCGGAGGAACCATCCAGGGGTCCCTGAACATTCCGGCTCACAGTTTCTACTTGATGAGAGTGATGCTCTATGATTTGTGCAAACAGGCGGGTATCAAGAGGATAGTCTTCTATTGTGGTGAGTGTTGCCCTCTTTTTCACTGCATCCGCCTATCCGAGGCTAACCGCCGTGGCCAGGCTCCTCCAACGGCCGAGGACCAAGATGCGCCGCTTGGATGCAGGACTATATCAATTCTGTTTCTGACGGGTCTGGTTCCGACTACGAATCTGACTCGGGGTGCTCGGCGGAGATGACCACGCAGGTGATGGTGGGTGGAATCCGAGGATGGGTCAAGGCGTATGGCGGAGAGATGATGGAGGGGTACGACGAAAAGACCTGGGAGCACCCGAAGCCTGATGAGGAGACCTATTGAGGAAGGACGCGTCGGTGATGGGGTATCTCGTTTTTTTCTCCTTTCCATTCGCCCTAAACCGTCCTTGCTTCCGATTCTCTTCTTTCTCAAATGATATAACGCCAGACCCCTCTGCCCAAAATACAATAGCCTATTCCCACAACTGTCCGATACCAAAAGTGATGCGATAACGAAATGATTACTGCCCGACGTCGCCGTGACTTTATTCGTGCAAAGGATCGAATCTGAGGGTGCTTAGCCGCGGTGTCCTCCCCTGTCGTCGCCGCCAATTCTCTCGAGCGCTTCAAGCATGACAACTGAGTTTCCGCGAATGACCTGTCAACCCGAATGAGAAATTAGGCAACCCAACATAGATACGCCAAAAGTTCAGGGGGCCGGAGACATACCACCATGCCGAGCTTGACCTTCTCACCGCCATCCTTCTCCTCGACCGCATCGTCCATTACAATGTTTAAAAAGACCTATTTCGACGTCGTCAGAACGGTAAATCGTAACGTGGGAAAACGGGGACCATACATCGTATCCGCGCAGGACGCCAATGACCTTGCGGCTGCCGTTGAGCTGGACGAAGAGACGCTTGTCAAGATACTTGTGTAGAACATGTTAGCGTACAGCCCTGAAAGAAACCATAGGGCATAAGAGCCATACCTTCTTGAGTTCTGGTTGCGCGGGAGCCATCTTGACGTTTTGATGTGGTGTTGTGTTTTGCGCAACAAGCTGTTCTGCGATTGGCGATTGATGGGGTTGCTGCTGCTGCACGTCTTCAAAGTGGCTCCAGCTCTGTGGCTCAGGGCGCGTGGTGGTTCACGTCTCCAGCCAGAAATCTTGCCCAAAAGTAATGTCACGTGTAGGGCGATAAGATAAGATTTCATGGTCCAGGATCTGAACAACAGCATCCTGGCACAAAATGGCTTGCTCATATAAACTATTCAAAGATAGAGAGGCATGAACAGTAACAGTAGCTATCGAGTGATGTCGAACTTCTCATCTGTCAAGCTTTATGCAAGAGAAACAAATGTCAATTTGGATTCCAAAGTATCCCCAATATTCTGACTTCGGGTGTAAGTGTTAGCACTCCACACTTGTGATTGGTCAGACACCTCGCGCCAAGGTGGACCCGCCCACTGCCGTTGACATCTTGATCGCGGGTCGCAGCCAAAACCATCTTCGGTCATCATCAAACAACCAAAACTCGGCAACATGAGCACCTTTGCCTCCAAGCGCAAAGCGCGCGTTATCCAGACCTTGGACGACGATGTAGATGACTTGAGCCCATCAAAATCCAACGGGACGGACGAGCAGAAAGCATCTAGTAAGTACATGCCTGTCTATCGCGACATTCCCTCTGCCAAGCAGCTGAAAGCCTCTTTTGCTGATACCAAAAGAAGAGCAAGCAAGCTGATGCGCTGCCGCCAGAACCAACTGCCCCCGCGCGCATCAAGTTCCGATCGAAACCAGCCAAATCGTCGGCCCTACGAAAAAGCGTCCATGTCGCCGACGAGGACAGCGGTACCGCTCGCGCGCTGTCAACGGCGACAACCACTGGAGATGACGAGGACGCCGACTCTGGCGCGGCAGTGGTGGTTCAGCCGGCCCTGGGTCGGGCTGGGTCAACAAAACAAAAGAAACGACCAACGGCAGCGTCACGGCTCTCTTTTGGGGGCGCCGAAGAGGCCGGGGTCGAGGAACCATCAACAGACGAGAAGCCATTCACGCCCAAAAAGACACTGGGTCAGCGCGCGCTGGAAAACAATGCCCTCCGAAGATCCGCCTCACTCCAAAATCTCGCGGGTACTCTGCCCATGAGGTTTGGCGGCGGCGACGAAGACCGGCCAAAATACAGCAAGGAGTATCTTGAAGAGCTGCAATCCTCCACGCCGGCAACACCTGCAAACGTCCAGATTGTCGGCGATGTCGATGCCATGGACCTTGACCCATCTGAGCTTGACGGTGCCCTCGTCGTTCAAGCCGCTTCATCCACCGACCTGGTCTCGCAAGGCCCAGCAGCAGCGGCACACGTGCTGAGCGCAGCCGAAATCCGCGAGCGCAAAGACCGACGAGCCCGGTTAGCCCGTGAAGGCGTCGCGGCCGATTTCGTCTCCCTCGACTCCGGTTCCGACTCGGAATTTCCCCAGCAATCCTCCTCCCGGGTGGTCATCCCCTCCCAAAAGAAAAAGAAGTCTGACACGCGATTAATAAGAGAAGACGAAGATCTCGGCGAAGGCTACGATGACTATGTTCAGGACGACCCTTTGGCTTTGGGCAAAAAGGCAGAGCGAGATGCTGCAAGACGGCACCGAGCAGAAATTGCAGAGCTGATCAACGCGGCCGAATCAGACGCCGAGTCGGACGACAGCGAGGCAGAGAGGCGAGCTGCCTACGAAGCCGCGCAGCGGAGAGCAGGAATGGACGGCTTGCACAAACCAGAGGAGGATGAGGAAAACATAGCTGGCGATGCGGTGCCGAGGATGAAACCGCTGCCCAAGCTGAACGAGGTTCTCAAGAGGATGAACGAGATTGTCCAGGGCTTGGAGCATGAGTTCAAGCAGAAGCAGGTCGTCGTTCAGAGTTTGGAAAAGGAAAGGGAGGAGATTGAGAAGCGTGAGAAGGAGGTACAAGAAATCCTGAACCAGGCGGGGGCAAAATACCAGGCTGTTGTTGCTGGGGCTGCAAACGGCGGCGGTGGTGTATCCCCTGTTGTGCCAGGCGATGTCGCCAAATTGGTGCAGGAGAGCATCAGCGGCAGCGCAGTGGGACAGTCCCCGTTACGTCCTCTCCCTCCAGGCCTGGCAGGAGACATGCCCATGGAACGAGGTCTCGAGAGCTTCGGGACACCCACCCGGAAACCACAGGATGATGATGAGATGATGGACTAGTACTACAGATACGCTTCCACTTCTGCATATTGAGAAACCAATAATGAAAGACACCGTCGTTGCTTTCTTCCAAAACAAAAACAATACAATAAACAAGTCCTAGGTACATACCAATGCCAACGCCATGTAAACTGCTTCTAAAAAGAAAAAGACCAGTATGATACACTTGAGCCCTCATCGCAGCCAACACTACCAATCCCAACAATACAGTCTCCGCCCTCGTGTCATGTACCCCGTAAAAACCGTGAATAACCGCGCCCAATTGCGCGTATGCAGCAAAAACCCAGTTCCAACACCAGTAAAACATACATCTTCCAACACCCTCCTCAACAACCCCCTAAGCATAAATCTCCCCTTCTTGCATCCATTATTTGGACGCCCCCCTGCTCACACCAGCACCAATGACACCCGGCAGCTGTTCCTGACCGACGCTAAACAGCAGGCCAATGACAAAAGTAACGGCACCAACAATGGTAACGGTGAAACCAGTGATCAACCAGAATGGCACGCTGACGTCCTTCTTCTGGCACATGTTGCCGCCCCAGTGGACAGTCTTCTTGCCCGAGGTGCCAGGTTCGTCGCCGCGGCGGACGACGGTGGCCATGCACTTGCAGGCAAAGCATGCCCTGGCATCAGACGAGGTGGCGTTGCCGGTGCCAAACTTATTGACACATGTCCCGTGGCCAGAGCAGTCATTGGTGGCCTCCTTACAGGCGTCCAAAGAAAGGAAGCAGGCAGGGATGGCCTTCTTCTGGATGTTGACCTTTGCGGAACGGGTCGGGGTGGAAGGAGCCGGCCAAACAACGGTGCTGTCGGTGATGACCCTTTCTCCAGAGTCACGACGGCGGTTGTTGGTGGGGTTGCCGGCAAGGGTGGACCACGAGTTGATCTTGGAGGAACGGGTAGAATCGGGGAGAACTAGGAGGGTCACCTCGAGATCGGAAGCGGCCACCAGCTTGTTGATCTGAGGAAGGGAGGCGAGAAGGGCCGAGTAGGTGGAGGAAGCCTGTGGCCATTGATTAGTACATGTCCTAGCACAACGACCGCATTGATGAGACCCTACTTTTTGTAGGTCATAGTTGACCACCGAGGAAATACCACTCCAGCATTCCTCATTGGCAGGGTTGAGGGCGTGGGCCAGGTCGCAAGGCTGGGAAGGAGCGGATCCCAACTGCCGGAAAAGCGTCATGAGATTCTTGTTGGCGGCAGCCGAGGGGGCGTCTGAGACGCGGAACGCAGCAGGATGGCCTGCCTGTGAAAGGGCGTCCTTGAGATCATGGCTCTGCTGGTATGTAACGCCTTCGAGAATGACAACTAGTTGTGGGACATTGGTCTTGTCGGACTGTGAGAAGAGGGGCTCCGGGCCGGTGCCGAATCTCGCGATGTGGCTGACAGCGGTCTCGGTGTCGGTTGAGCTAGGGATGTCGCGCAGGTCACTGCCGTATGGTTGTCTCGATGCCTGGAACAGAGTTAGCATGGTCCAGCGAGAGAAGTAATGATGGGTATCAACCACGCACTCTCTGAAGCAATATGTGACGCGCGACCTCCTTGGGGATGCTTGGTGTTTCGCTCGAGCTCTGTTGGTTGGCCGTCAAAATGTAGACATCGGCAGTCTGCTTGCTCGCGGCCGCCGCAAGCCCAGACAGAGCCGCTGCTGTGAGGCCAGCGAGGAGCCTCATGGTAGTGAAACGGGTTGGATAGCGAGTTGGTGTCTTGATGGCAGCGAGTTGAATGCGTGTAGAGTGTTGGATGCTGTCGTTGTTTCTTGCTTGATTGACGTTGGAGCTGTTGTCGACCCCTGCCAGTTACGAATGGCTGGCGCAGCAGTTGGGAGGCGTATGGTCCGTGCGGCAGACGGGCCCCACTTTATGATATGCTGGGACCATGATGCGCGCTGCGAACTGCCACTGAGCCTGCCGCCAGACCTCTTCAAGTCTTTAACGTAGTACTCCGTACCCAGCCAGGTCTCGACGACATCGACGACACAGGAGCCGAAACCGGCCGAAATTCAGCATTCACTAGCAGTCTACTCCCAAACTACCTCAGCTTTTAGATTTTACCAGTATTCAGCGGCCTCACGGTTTCAAGTCGCATTTACGGGCTGATTGCGTCGCGCAATCCTCAACTCGCCAAGTCGGCAGAACACCAAAGAACAAGCGCAGCGCAACACTCCGAACGTCGCCGACCGACCGGCTGGCTACCTGGTAGTCTTGCTTGCGGCCTTTCGACTCTATCGTGCCTTTTCAGGCCGCCAGTGGGGCGTGCCACCATCCGCGGCATCATGTCGCGCCTCTTCAGGCCGTCTTCAGTGCTCCGGTTCCCCAAGGTCTTGACCAAAGTACCAACCGGCCAAGTGATCAAAATTGAAAGAGTACGGCTCAGGCACAGGAGGCGGCTCCGGCTTGTTACCTTTGCCATCAAGACAGTCCTTATCTACCAATTCTTTGAGATATGCGTGGCGGGCCCGCTTGTGAAGGTGCTGGAAAACCAGGAGTTGATGGAAAGCATGCCGGAAGAAGAAGAGGCTGTCGACATATTCATTCCGTTTCCCTTGACAACGGAGCGACACGAACCGCAGCCATACTCTGGGAAAGATCCGGAATGGAGGGAGTTTGTGCGGCTATCCAAAGACAAGGAGAGGTTGGATCAAATCAGGAGTAAGTGGCAAATCACGTTGCATCATTTACCGGCCCTCGTTTCCTGACTATTGTTTGCTTAGGGGACACTGTTCAAATGGTCTGTGATGCCGCTGAAAAGAACCCCGCCTTAACATGGAAGGTTGGGAAAGATATGAAAGTGAGGAGGTACTGGATGGATATTGATTTCCCATACAGGGCACCGCCTGTGTACACGCGCAAAGGGTATGGTACCTTGTCTCGAACCGCCAAGAGTTGACCACTGACTCTCAGCAGCCTGTTGATTACGGACGAAGTGATCGCCATTGCGGAAACAGAGGTTGAGTCGGCGACAGTGAAACTTCTGGAGCGCGTCCTATGGCCAAAGCCCATGGCGCTGTCGACCTGGGCGCTTGGAAAGGCACTCGTTGGCCGTCAGTTCTCTTCGGTTGCGCAATTCTTTGGGTTTGAAGGCGACAGTTCAACCCACCCTCCAGACCGTCCTGTCAGCGCAGGACCTTTGCCGCTCCCAACAAATCACAGCTCTGACGTTCAAAAGGCTTTGGAGCGTATCCGGGCACAAGCAACAAAACGGCCGGAAGACGTCAACGATCCTAGGTCGATCTCACCAACCCCCAACACACCACCTGGCCCATCCAGGGATAAGTCTATCAGCATTCCCAATAGACCGCCGGCCGAACACAATGGCAACCCAGAAAAGTTTGTCGGTCAAGAAAAGGTCCAGTCTCTGGTTGGCCTGAAGCCTTGGGAGGAGTTTATGAAGACGTACACCAAGGTGTGGAAGCCGATTCGACCTGATCCACCTCGCGGTTGCTTCGCCGTCTCAGGTCTTGTCGAGATCGAGACGTCGAGGGGGTACCTGGTGATTGACGTCTTGTCGTGGTACAATCCAAAGACGAGATCCCATGATCGCAAGTCCATGTGGATGTCGGTGAGAAGGATGCAGTATAAACAACAGGCGCCGATGCGTCCCTGATCAAGTCATGAATGCGGTTTGGTTGTTTGGCTTTCGGGGCGGCAGTGTAGGAAACACATATCAGAGTTGCATGGGAAGGGCGTTTATTGATTTTGCATTCTGAGAGAAGCGGTTGATAACGTCAGTGTGACTTTTGTTGGAAAGGGTGACAAACTGCATCTCTTTTTTCTCCAACATCATGATGCGTTGATCAGCGCGTATGAGATTGTCTGTAGATGAAGCATTTTGGTGGCATGGGCGGAAGGACTTACAAAATGGGAAGCGGAAATAGATACCAGAGGCGTTGATTTACATACAAGGAAATCGTTTCGTTTGACTGGAAGCCGTCGGGAGTGCCTGTGAGACTCCGGCTGGCCGTTCGGCGAGAGGGTGGGGCCGGCTTGGCACGAATATATTGACTTGCAAGACAAGCGGTGCTGGCTTGCTAGTTCAAGGACAACTATTTTCTGGCCCTTTAGCGGCCCACCTATGTTGGCAGAGAGGCAGAATCAAATTCAAAAATCACTTACGGATCGATGACTGAATTAGGCTTTAACAGTGTCTCAAGAGGCTTCCAACATGCAGACACCTGCAATGATGCATGAACATGACCTGATCGACAATGCTATGCCGGCGGTAGGCGCACACAGGTGGCATCATATTCTGATGATAGCCTCAAGGGTTTCTGGTTTATAAAACAGGCTATAACATTCAAGCCGATCTCGAGCCCATCCAGTTGGCATCATCATCGTTGGACGATGAGAATACAAAAGGGTTGGACACTGACTTCCTAGCTGGCTTCCAGATTACTCTATTACCCCATTGATGTATTTCAGGCACATGGAGTTCGGCCAAATTGGCGGGGGGAAGGGGGGACAGAATAAGCTTTGACTGGGGCCAGGCACATCTGCTTTGGCGTGGTCAGGCACCTGAGGCACTAGGTGCAGGCTGCAGGTGTTACTCCAGCCCGAGCGGCTCATCCGTCCGTTCGTGCTGTTTTATTTCACCCATACCGTACTAATTTCTTGTACTATGTATCAGAGAAGGCTGCTTCGCGGTTCAGGCCAGGTACGGCGTCAGTCAGAATCTGCTGAATCATCAGCGAGTCCACGATGCCCTCTCTTTCACTTTGGCTTGCGTACGCAAGAAACTGATTCACCAATCATACAACTCTGGTGCAATACGTGCCATGACAACCAACCTCCAGCATGCACAGTCACCGGGCAGACCGGTTCATCGCTCAAGACGACTTGACGCATTCCAGCTATGAATCAACATCCACCCAGCTTCCCGGGGCTGGTGAACGGGGGCCAACTCGGTCAAGTCCGAGTGCACGTCTGTTAATCCATGCTTAGCTGCGCAGCAGGCCCTTCCGCTTCATTCTTGGCATCTGATGTACCCCTCGGTAGGTAGCCTCTAGACTGCCTGTGGCCCATCCCTCAAGGGTGACATTTTGGATCCAAGCTTGGTCGTTAGCGTCCATGTCGAATGATACGGCTGGTTTGAAGGATCCTCATGGAGCGAGTGCTTTCGGCCGTGAACTGTCGCACAGGAAACCTCTACGTTGACAGACAAAAAGCACGGTTGTTGAGCCAGCCACCGTCTTCTCGTGCTCCCGCTTCATCTAGAAGCGTGTCCTATCCGTCAAGTTGAGCACTTCGACTGGGTACTGGATATCAAGCGAGGCAGAGACACTTCTATTCGATTCAACCTACCAGCTCTCGAAAACTACTGGTTTACTGTTCTCTACTTACCGAGTGCTGCACTTCATTACAGCATCAACAGGAGCAGGGGATCCCGAGAGGTATCTAGGATATGGAAGCTCCGCCCAGTCCCAAAAGACCCCCGAGTGCCATTCCTTCCGATTCTGATAGCCGAAAAGAGCTTGGGAGAGCGGTAACTGCCGACACGTCGAAAGCCACCAGGTTACAAACCGAACAAGTCCCTACTTTACGAGCCTCGAACGAGTCCACGCGAAAAATTAAGAAAAATACAAGAGTCACCATTCCGCCTGCCTATGGAGCCTCGCATAACTCACCAATTGGCAACACTCAAGAAAAGAAGAGCGTGGATTATTCAGCCGGTCAAGCCGTCGAAATTGCTCTGTCAGAGGCAGGTTGCGACGAGCCGGTCTCAGAGAAGACGGATTCACAGCAGGAGTTATACCACGCATTTACGAGGCGGGAGAAGCGGCTTATGGTATGGATAGTATCATTTGCCGGGCTGTTCTCTCCACTTTCAAGCAATATTTACTTCCCTGCGCTGGGTGCCATATCTTCAGTGGGTTCTCTCCTTGAATATTCTTGTTCCATTTCTGATCATGAAGTATAGCACGTGCAAACCGAAATCGCCATGATATCGCTCACTGTGACTGTGTACATGGCAGTTCAGGGGGTGGCGCCTTCTTTTTGGGGACCTTTGAGCGACACGCGTGGACGCAGAGTCACCTTTATCTGCACTTTTGGCGTGTACCTCATCGCAAACCTCGGGTTGGCATTCAGCGACGACTTTGCCTCATTGATGGCTTTTCGAGCAATCCAAGCTGCTGGCAGTGCCGCGACCATCTCCGTTGGTGTGTTTTGCCAAGACCCAGCCCCTTTTTACCCCTGAATTCCACGCTAACAACCAGAAACAGGTGCTGGAGTGATTGGCGATATCACAACAGCAAAGGAACGCGGCGGATATATGGGTAGTTTTGGAGGAAGTGAGTCTTGCATCGTGGCTTTCTATCCTTGTCATTTCTGACTTTGATCCTTGTGCATAGTTCGAATGCTCGGCCAGTCAATTGGGCCAGTGATTGGCGGCATTATCACCGAGTTCTTTGGATTTCACGCCATCTTTTGGTTTCTCGTCGTCCTTGGTTTCATAAGTCTCGTGGTTATTGTGCTCTTCCTCCCGGAAACCCTTCGTCACATTGCTGGAAATGGCACTATCCCACTGCGCGGCATCCATCGTCCAGTTGTCACTCGCCATATCAGCAAACACTGGAAGCGTCCAGATGCAGTATCCAGTGAGGAGGGCAACATCACGACTTTGACGCCCAAGTTTACTCTGGGCTCGATATTATCGCCACTGCGGTTTCTTTTTGAAAAGGACGTGTTTGTCACGCTATTGTTTGGGGCTTTTGTGTACACGATTTGGAGTGTGGTGACTTCGTCGACAACCGCCCTGTTTCAGCCTCGATATCGACTCTCCAATTTGAAAGTGGGCCTCATATTCTTACCGAACGGCGCGGCTTGTGTCAGCGGATCATACTTTGCTGGCAAGATTCTTGATCGCGATTATCGGCACGTCGAGTCAGCGTACCGTGTTTCCAACGGGATCCCGCTCGAGACTCCTCTCAACAGAAAGCATTTGTCGGACCTTCCACTTTCCCGTGCTCGACTTCGGTCCTCCTGGTATCTCATCGTCTTGTTCGTGTTTGCCGTTGCGGGGTATGGCTTCTCGCTTTCTTCCCCCTTGCTGGCCTCGAGACCGGGTATAGCCCTACCATTGGTTTTGCAGTTCGTCATTGCAATCACAGCGACGGCCATCTTTACCCAAAACAGTGCACTGATGGTGGACTTGTATCCCGGGGCCAGCGCCACCGCCACCGCTGTCAACAATCTCGTTCGGTGCTCGTTGGGCGCTGTGGGAGTGGCAGGGGTGCAGTTTATCATTGACAAGATTGGGGTCGAGGCCGCGTTTCTGATCTTTGCTGTCGTAACAATTGCTCTCACGCCTTTGATGTGTCTACAGTGGAAATATGGCGAGGTATGGAGAGCTGAGAGGATAGCGAGGCTTGCCCGGAGGGAGCAGAGACAAGTGACCGGGGCGCAGGTGTGAGGGATGACTGTGCTTTTGTGCCTCGAGGGTTGTGGGAAGCGTGGGTTGGGACAAAAGTTTTAGGCTGTCACGTTTTCGGGGTTTGCACGTTCTTTTCTCTTTCTTCCTTCTTCCGGAAGGCCGTGTGGTTTATGATAAGTACAGTTTTTGCCGGCTGCTACATGTAGAGATGGGATAGAATAAGACTTCGTAAGACGAACTGGCCACACGAACATGACACATATATTATTCCAAATTTGACGCCACAATCGTGCATATAGTCTGTTCAAGATACCCGATCACTGAGGTCTTGAATACTCACAGAGATCGTAGTGATTTATGCATAGTGTTGTTGGCTATTGAGGAAATGTAAATGCCTGCAAAGATCATCAAGAGCATTATGGATTTCCTGGAAATAGGTAGGTACCTACCTGGGGCAGAGTTGTCAAGCACCGTTATACGATAACTGCAAGATCTATACATGATCGTAATCCCGTGTTCTGCATTGAAAAGCATCACGTGCATCTCGAAATAACCACATACATATTGAATCGAATTTGGACCTGATTGAGTAACACAATGCCCTTCTGATCCAGCATTTGGTCCGAACATCCTGTAGAGAGCGTACCATGCCGGCAATTGCAAAGAGCTCAGACACACCGTAGGCCGATACTGTCTAACCACAGAACCCGACACAGCCTTCTGCCCCGTACACATCACCACGTCCGCCAGAAAACCAGCATTCGACGCAACAGGCATGTTAGGAGTTGATTTGTGGAACCTCAATAGAAAGGTCATCAAACCCTCTTTGATTGCATTCCGCCTTCAAGCATTGTGATGACAAAGAGTGTTTAGGTCCGTCTGTAGTTGGACTCGACTCCCGCATCCAGCGAGCCAACAAAGCGACGGTCCATTCTTTGATAATCACCTCACCTACCACCAACAATGAAGCACCGAGTCTGCAGACCAAAACGGAAACCTTGTGTTTTTTTGCTAGTGACAACACCCGGTGATGGTGAATAGGTTTACACGAGTGCATATTGGAGCATAGTGTCCTCACTCTGAACCAGTACAAGTGAAGGCAGTGGAAACACTGTCAGAATGGGAGAATTGGAGGAATTCACCCGGTTCCTTCAAAATATAAAGTCAACTCACCCAGTAGCTACCTCTGAAACAATGGGGGAGCAACCAGATATGAGGAGTGGTGTCAGGGACGCTCTTCTGTCCCGCTCTTTTGGCCACTTCTGCTCGAGAACAATAAACTCTGTTCCTCTTTCTCTTTATCTCAAGTGAAGACAAGAAGATGCCGAGTCCTATAACATTGGTTGGGACCGTTTTGAGGTCATGGATCGCAAGGGGTCTATCTCGACACCTTTCCTCGACCGCTGCCACCGTTCCAGCAGCAGAAGATGGTCCAGTGTGGCCTCAAGGAATAAGACAACATAACATTGACTAAAGCCAACCACCAAGATGTCCACTCCTCGACGACCAACTGCGAGGACACGGGACACACCTGTGACCAACCCTCCTGTGCCTCCCCCCCCTGAGCCTGTCCAGGATGAGCCGTACGTCCCATCAAGGCTTAGGTCGAACAAGGTACTGAGGGGGCTTTTCAACGCCTTCATCCTGGCCCTCTGTGGCTATGGTGTTCACCAGTTTGCGACCTGGTACTCGGAATACGACTACTGGCTATACTGGTTCATCGTACTGGCAACCTGGCGCTACGCCCGTTTCATTCTCAACTGCATTGGTTGGGTTCTGTATAAGCCAGCCCCCGTTCCCAAAAACCCCACGTACACCCCCAACCGACATGTCACGGTCATCCTGCCCACCATCGACCCTACAGGCGTTGACTTTCAGGAATGCATCAGCACCTGCGCCCAAAACGAGCCTGCTCAGATCATTGTCATCACGGCCGGTGACGAGCTGCTTGTCAAGACAGAGAAGGCAGTCGAGAAGTACATCAAGCTTTATCCCAAGACCAATTTCATCGTGGACCGTGCCCTGATTGCCAGCAAGAGAGCTCAAGTTGCTGTGGCGGTGCCGCTGGTCTCAACCGCCATCACCGTCATGCTCGACGACCACGTCTTCTGGAAGAAGGATTTCCTCAAGGCGCTCCTAGCGCCGTTTGAGGATCCAGAGATTGGCTTGGTGGGAACAAACAAGAAAGTCCGCTGGTTGCCGAACCTGTCGGTTTGGCGGCGTTTCTGGAACATGCTGGGGGCGACCTATCTTTACCGCCACAACTTCGAGGTCAGATCGGCCAACTACTGGGACGGGGGCGCCTTTGTCATTTCTGCGCGTACCTGTGCTCTGCGCACCCGTATCGTCCAGGACCCCGAGTACCTGGCCGGCTACGTCGACGAGCGATTCTTCTTTGGGCTCTGTGGGCCTCTCAACCCGGACGATGACAACTACAACACCAGATTTGCCGTGCGTAAGGGCTGGCGCATCAAGTTCCAGTACACCGACGACGCCGAAATTGAGACAACTGTTGGCGTGGCCGATCCCGTCCACAAGAAGTTCCTGGGGCAGTGCACGCGCTGGGCCCGCACCACCTGGAGGTCAAACCCTTGCTCTCTCTTCACTGATGGCAGCGTTTGGGCATTTCAGCCCTACTGCGTCTATGCCGTCTACCTCACCTCCTTCACAAACTTTGCTTTGTTTACCGATGCCGCCCTCGTTGCCCTCTACAACTGGAGCAAGCAAGCCACCAGTCAAGGCATATGGGCCTTGGGGATTTGGATACTTTTTGTCAAGTTTGTCAAGGTCTTTGAGTACTACAAGCGTCACCCCAATGACTGGTGGACTTTCCCATTCTATGTCGCTTTTGCCTACTACCACAGCCTCATCAAACTCTGGGCGCTGTTGACGTTTTGGGACCACGCCTGGACAGGGCGCAACCTCGGAGCCATCAAAACCCAGGCCAACCCAGCCGGGACAGAAGCGGGAGCCACAGCTGGACCGGCGGCAGTGGCCGCGCGACTGCAGCGTAGCATGTCCGTCAGTAGTATGACTAGCAGTCTTGCGCAAGAGAAGGAAGGTCTGCGCAGCGGCACCGCTTGGATATCAAACCTGGGAAGTACGGCCCGGCTTCACAAGAGCCAAACGATCTTTGGTGGGAGCCAGGTCGGTCTGCTTGACAATCTCAAGATTGTAGGCAGTCACATGGAGAAGTCCCGTGATGCCCAAGTCAGGATTCTTGGTCAACAAGATATTGTCTTCAATGAGGTGCAAAGACTGATTGCGGAGGCCGACTCCATCGAGAAGCAATATGAAACGATGAACGACAACGAGACGAGAAATCAGGAAGCCTTGATCCGTCTTCGCGGCCAGATGCTCCGATTGGAGCAGAGGCACGGAGAGCTCATCCGTATCGCCGGCCTGACCGCCACGTCGCCCGCACTCACTCCAACAGCTGCCAAGGCCTTCAAGGTGGCAAGTCGGCACCACACAGGGGGTGGCAGAGCCTCATCACCTACAGAAGATCCTGAAAGCATCGAGAGACCATCCTTTTTTACTGGGGTGAGGGGAGTGCACTTCAGTAGGTCTACTGTCGGCGGGACCAGTGACGACGGCTTTGGTCCTGGCAGGACAGGTGCTGACGGCTCCAGGAGTAACGAGTCCACCCCACATCCGATCGTTCCCGACAATTTCAGGGACAGCTTCCCACCGGATACTAAGAAGAGTACTGGGGACACCGACTCACTTATCGCGAATTTGAACATTCCCACTATTGGTACACAACACTTTGTGCCTCCCTCTGAGAAAAAGGGAGGACAGCCCGCCGCCGCCAAGGGCTTTTCCCCCCCAACTCATGCCGAAAAGCCGATCGAAGAATTCTCCCCCGTCCCACAGCCAAGAAACTCACCTTCAGGTTTCACCCCGAAGTCAGACCTCGAAAACACCACCCCCGGAGAAGATCCCGCCGCCACGGATAGCAAGAAGAGCTCAGGTTCGGACTCGACCCGCTCGCCGGCACAGACGCCGTCCCGCCCGCCAGGCGGTAGAAGAGTTTCCAAAGAGCAGAACAAAAGTGTCAGTACCCCCCAAAACAAGAAGAAGCCGCTCCCCCTAACAAGCCCAGAACACCTGAGAGCAACCCGTTGTTGAAAGAGGAGCTCGAGCAGCAGAACCATGAGGATTCTATGAGAAGGTTTTATGAGATGCTTGGCGAGAGCTAGGGGAGATATGGTTGGGCTGGGAATCGAAAGGATAGGGAATCGGATGGGTTGGGAATCGGACGGGGTGGGAATTGGATGGGTTGGGAATCGGATGCGTATATGGATATAGGAATGGGACAAGGAAAGGAATGGCAAAATAAAAGAAAATGGAAAAGGAAAGATGGCAAAGCCTCACGGCGGCAAAGAAGGGAAAGGGGGTCACTTCTTGGGATTCAGGGTTTTACACGGTTAAACTTGGCGTTGGGGGTGGGTTTGGCACGAGCTCAATATTCTTTGGGCTCTATCAGCATAGTTGCAGCCTTTTCAGTAGCATTTCAATTGAAAGGGCTAGCGCAAGACGTGCTCACTGGATGCATTTACAGCGATGTCACGAGCAGCCAATAACAAAGACTGAAAAGGAGTTGGTTGCTATGAAATGCCATTCTCCACATTCGCGACGGGATCCACAAAAGGGGTCGATAGGGGTGTAAACAATACCCTTTCCCTTCGAGTAGCGGACACGTCCACAAAACAAAACATTTCATAAAAAATTATCATTGAGAAAGATGTTGACCTTAACAAGGCGTGAAAAAGCCAGGCAACAGGCAGACCAACAAAATCACCCTCCAAGCGGCAACACCCAAGTCTTATTTACCTCGTGCTTTTGTATGGCCCCCAAAGTCAGACAAGCCTGATCTGCGAAATTTGTCCTTTTGGCTGTCTGCATGCACGACAGAGAAAGATCCATTATAGGAAGGAGGACACACTTATGCTGGGTTTGAAAGGGGCGTATACGGGTTGGTCATCTGGGCTTGGGGGCGGCAATGTACATTTACAGGGCTGGAAACAGAACCAAAGAAGCTCCTTAGGTACTCTGGGCGTCCTAGATTGTAGGTGGTTTGCTCGGATGGTTTGGGGCCAATTGCATCGACGCTCAGCCCTCAGACAGGCAACAGGAGCTGAAAACGAACCAATCAGTCGCTTGCGTCGGTGAGCCATCACTACCCTACACGCCGTAACCAATGTAGTATAGGTACCACAGGCACTGCCGATAATGCGCCAACACGGCGCCTCCCGGATCACCACAACGCCGATCACCAGGCTGGCAGGCTTCAAAAAACACACGCCGCAGTAATTCTGTTGCACTGTGCCGCGAATATCCAAGTAATCCACCACCCTACCGTACCTACCGTATCTCAGCAATGCGGGATGATGTTGGGAGAGGTTGGCATTGAACAGTGCCATGGGCGCTGCGAAAGAGCGGGCCGAATTGCTTGATCACCTCTATTAAAACACCCATGGCCGGAACTGGATGCCATATCCTTCCTGACTTCTGTGCTGGTCTTGTTGACGTTTGGATCCTCCTCACGCTCTCACAATGGAGCCCTCCGCCATCCATGGCCGGGATGTGGTGGGAAATATGGTGGCCCCTTCCATCCCCTACAGCACCCTGATGGTAAGTGTTACCCAAAATAAGCTCCCCAACGCCATGAACGACTCCTCAACCGCCTCTAGGGATTCATCTGGTCCGGCACATGCCTGTCGCTCGTCACCATCCTTCTTCGTCTTGCTTTCCGCATCAAACTCCTCCGTCGCCTCCGACTGGACGACTACCTCGTCATCGCCTCCTTCGTTTTCTACCTAGGCTCGACAATTCTCTGGGCCGTCCTAGCACGCACTCTCTATGTCGTCGCCCAGGGTTGGAACACGACCCCTACCGACCCAGCCGCCATCGTCGAGCTCTTCAACAACGCCGGTACCCTTCTCCATGCCATCCTCGCAACCTACTGGCTCACCTGGACCTCGCTATGGCTGGTCAAGATTGCCTTTATGGTATTCTTCTACCCTCTGGGCAGACACGCCCCTCTCCAGCGCTACCTCTGGTGGACGGTACTTGTCTGCATCGTGGCGGCCTACTGCGTGACGGTCGGGCTGACGACAGATGACTGTCTAACAGCCAGTGGTCTCGACATTGCACAAAAGTGCATCGGCGAAGCAAAGTTTAACCGGCAGTACTTTACCTCTCGCGTCCACTTGGCAACGGATATCTCGACAGACCTCCTCAGTCAGTTCCATGTCCCGCCGTTTTGCCAGACAGTCAACTGACATGTCCGATATCTAGTCGTCATCGTATCGGGCAATATCGTCTGGCGGGTCTCTATTCCATGGAAAAAGAAGCTGTTGCTGATGGGCATCTGCTGCTTGACCATCGCCATGGTTGTCGTGGCCATCGTCCGCGCCGAGGCAGGCTATTCTGGAACCTCTCCCGACGTATCATGGATGATTCTGTGCAACTCCCTCGAGATGACATTGGGTACGTTATGCTGAACTCCTCCGGTCCCTGAAGAGTAAATCATGCTGATGAAGAGCAGCCATCTTGGTCGCCTGCGCCGCGTCTTTCCGCAGTCTTTACTCCCACACCAAGCACACCAAGCAGCAAGACACCCTGAAGCTTCGACATCGAGACAACTGGTCCCGAGATAGAGGCCTCAAGTCGAACGCCAACGCGACCGATATCATGGTCACAACAGAAGTCAGGCTTTGGGAGCACCAAACCCTCGACGATTTGACCCACAGCGAGGAAGCATTGTGGCCCCGGCCGCAACACCATGGACCGGAACATGTCCACATGGATGGTACAGCGCATCCAAACCCCCCACAAGAGTTCAGTGGACCGACAATCACTTATCCCGCTCTTGCTGCACAACCTGGGTATAGTGTAGCTGCGTATAGTGTTCAGAAGTGATGATATTAGACGGCGTGAATGTTATGTATGACAGATCTCACCGGACATGGCAGTGAAGGAAGAGAAGTCGGGCCTAAGCCATGAATGGAAAGACTCCTCGCAGACCTTCTCTGCAATTTGTGTTTCGGGATATTGACACGTTCACGTAAAGATTGCCCACTCCTCATCGACATCCCGCGAAAGAAGGCCACTGGCGGATGACCCAAATGCCAAGTCAGGCTTTCGGAGGAGTTGATATCACACGCGGACGGCCACGGTGAAATTCTGTGCTCCATCTCTCGTTTCTCGATGGTGTGGTGGCGTCTTCTTAATGCGTGAATCGGTGACTCGGCCACTGCAAGAACCTGGTCCATGAAGCCAGGAATAACGACAGACGCTGGTGAACTCCGGTGCCGGCCGACGCCAGCTGCGTGTTCGGACCCGGAGAGCCGGGATGGCCCGTGCCCAAGACCCCACGAACCTCCAAAACCACAAATTTTTTTTCGCGTCTCCAGAATCTCTACATCAAACAAACCACCGAGTTATTTGCTGTCGTATGAACGCACGCAATGCTGCTCGTGTCACACTCCGCGCTGCTGTCTTGCCGATTAAAACAATGAGCAGAGACAATATTTTGCAGCAATGGAAGTATCTCACAGGTAGGATATTTTTTCTCACATTCTTTTGCCCACGCAGCAACCGTTCCCAGCCGCTCAAGATCTCTCCGGATTTCTTACCAGTGAGATCTCCCTCTTGGGGAGGCCTTCGCTTCTCAGTACGTCTTGTACTCGGGTCTTTGAAGGGGCTGTGCCATGTTGGACGGGTCACTGGCGGCAGGCTCTCGGGTCTGTCGCGGGTGATGATCTCTGCTGCAAGAATAGAACCCTCATGGGCCATCATAGTCCGCGTCTCTGCCGTTTATCGGACTTTTACAGAGAGGAGGCTCCAAGCGACCCGACATTTTTGACTTGATCATATCTCATCTGAATGGCTGAGTGTGAGTCTCTTCCAGCGCTTTTCGACTCTGTAGGCGTGGTCCATCGGTGTTGTGATTTGTGCCGTTGCGGGGTGCTTTGCTGGTGGAACGAGATTAGCCAGCACCATTTGGCCAACTACGTCATCGTCAACTGGCGATGCCATGCACTGAGCAACCACTCTCTTCTCACCACTGAGTACTCGTAAAAAAGACAACTGTGGCTACTAGGCTGTCTGTTGCTCCGTATCTCGCAAATTGTTCATCCCATCAGCATCCACCCACAATGGGATCCCAAGGCAAGCCGTCGTCCAAATTTGAGAGTCTTCCCTTGTCAACAAGCGGGCCGCTAGAATGCGCGCTCAAGGGCACCGTCCTACTCACCCATCCATACTTCAACAAGGGCTCAGCCTTCACCCACGAAGAGCGTCGAGACTTTGAACTTGCTGGGCTCCTGCCCCCAAGCATCCAAACGCTGGAGCAGCAGGTCCAGCGGGCGTATGAACAGTACAGCGCGCATCCTGATGATCTTTCCAAGAACACATTTTTGACCTCGATGAAGGAACAAAATGAGGTGCTCTACTTTAGGGTGAGATATACCAGCAGTCGCAAAAGACATGCAGATAACTGAGACATGCATGCAGCTGCTCCACGATCACCTGCCCGAGATGTTCAGCGTAGTATACACGCCCACAGAAGGTGACGCCATCCAGAACTACTCGCGTATTTTTCGGCGTCCAGACGGAGTGTTTCTCAACATCAACGATGCCGACCGTGTTCACCATGATATTTCGCTTTGGGGCACCCCAGATGACATTGACTACATTGTCGTCACGGACGGGGAGGAGATTCTGGGAATTGGGGATCAGGGTTGCGGTGGCATTCTGATCTCAATCGCAAAGCTTGCACTCACGACACTCTGTGCTGGTGTCCATCCTAACCGTGTCCTACCCGTGGTCCTGGATTGCGGGACGAACAACCAGGATCTGCTGGATGATCCATTGTATCTTGGACTCCGGCACAAGCGAGTGACGGGCAAGCGTTATGACGACTTTGTTGATACATTTGTCAAGTCGGCGCGGGAGCTGTATCCGAAGGCTTACATCCATTTTGAAGATTTTGGGTTTGACAATGGTGAGTTTGCCTTGTCATATTGATGGCATTGGTCTGACGGGCGACAGCACGGAGACTACTCGAAAAGTACCGCCCGGAGATTCCTTGCTTCAACGATGACGTCCAAGGTACCGGCTGTGTAACACTTGCCGCCATCTTTTCCGGTCTGCATGTCACAAAGCAGAACCTAGAAGATCTTCGCATGGTGGTATTCGGCGCTGGAACGGCGGGCGTTGGCATCGCTGATCAGGTCCGTGACGCCATCGCTACAGAACGAGGCATCAGTAAGGAAGACGCGGCAAAGCAGATCTGGTTCGTTGACCCTGAATACCCGTTTTATGCTTGCGATGGAGGAGGTGCTGACACTACCAGGCTGATTGACAAACAAGGGCTACTGACTACCGGAGTGGAATCACTGTCAAAGACTCAGAAGCCCTTTGCAAGGTCTGAAGATGAGTGGAGTGGAAAGGACAGAGATCTGTTGGCCGTGGTCAGAGAAGTCAAGCCAAACGCGCTGATCGGAACATCCACAGTCCCCAAAGCGTTTACGGAGGAGATCGTGCGCGAGATGGCCTCACATGTCGAGCGCCCCATCATCCTTCCGTTGTCGAATCCGACGCGCCTACACGAAGCTATCCCTGCTAATTTGCTAAAATGGACAGACGGAAAAGCTCTGGTAGCAACTGGAAGCCCGTTCAAACCTATTAAAGGACCATGGGGTCAAGACGGACAAGAGGTCGAGATCGAGGTTGCCGAGTGCAACAACAGTGTCGTGTTTCCAGGCATTGGTCTCGGGTCTGTCCTGTGTCGCGCTCGGCTTGTTACAGACAAAATGCTGGTTGCAGCGGTGGGAGGGGTGGCAGAGCTGAGCCCGGCTCTGAAGGACGATACTGCGCCATTGTTGCCCGGTGTTGAGGTCGTGCGGGATGTCAGTGCAAGAGTGGCCCGCAAGGTGATTCAGGCAGCTCTGGAGGAGGGTGTTGCAACAGAACAGGGTATTCCAGAGAATGAGGACGATCTTGACAAGTGGATCAATGAGCAAATGTGGAAGCCCGTGTATCGACCGCTCAAATTTGTGGAAAAGGAGGGAGCTACAAGAGAGGCAAAGGGTGAGATGAGGGTTGTTGGAAGTCTGGCAACACGCGACTGATGGCTGCATTGAGCGGTCGCTTGTCTCCGGAAATGTGGGACTACTGTAAGAGTCACGATTAAGCCCCTAGAAGAGAGAATCACCTAGATATAAAGAAGCTTGATCATAGGCAGCTTGCCCTTCACTTGGTGAATAAGAGCCAATTCACTGGCATCTCGACTGCGTGGAATCAATGTTGAGCGTGATTGCTGCAAAGGCAGCTGCGGGGCATTGCAGATGGCCCCACTTTACCTGCCAAGCAGAGCAGACGAGTGCCAGGGTTAGGGGTCCTATCGGTTTATCCACCCAAAAAAACACGTGACGGGCTCACAAATCGGTAGGGTTTTCGGTCCACACCAAAAATTATCGCGAAAGGCCTGTCTAATTCCAGTCCCGCCTTGTGTCCTCGAAATCTCGACTCCCCAACGACAAGTCGCATTTCCGCAACCAGACCTTCGCAATGGCCAAACTATCGTGAGTACTGTCCTCGCCATCGCCATTTGTGTAATTTTCGCCCACGAGTCACTCGAATCGCATGCCTCGCCGCCAAAGTTGGATCTGGAACTCGCTGGGAAGAGGGGAAGTTTGTGGGGGGAAGCTGGCAAGCAGCTTGCGAAAAAGAGCTGGGGAATGATGTGCAGGACAACAACTTTGGCGATCGGCGGCTGCGATTCGAGATGATGGCTTCAAGCAAGAGCAAAATCACTTCGTTCAAAGATCTTGGCTGACAGAGTGCAACCAGCCGCGGTGCCCCTGGTGGCAAGCTTAAGATGACCCTCGGTCTTCCCGTGTATGTTCGATCTCCTGAACCGACGACTTCGACCGACGTTTCTCCAACGCGATCGCGAATGCCGAACGGAACGAAAGAAGGAATATGGGCGCTGACAGGGAAATAGTGGTGCCATCATGAACTGCGCCGACAACTCTGGTGCTCGCAACCTTTACATCATCTCCGTCAAGGGTATCGGTGCCCGTCTCAACAGACTGCCCGCTGGTGGTGTTGGTGACATGGTCATGGCCACCGTCAAGAAGGGAAAGCCCGAGCTCCGCAAGAAAGTTCACCCCGCCGTCATCGTCCGCCAGGCCAAGCCCTGGAAGCGCTTCGATGGTGTCTTCCTCTATTTCGAGGACAACGCTGGTGTCGTACGTATCCCCGATCCATGACACAGGGCTGAGTGGAGGACTTGAAAGGAGAGAGGCTAACAGTGCCACAGATCGTCAACCCCAAGGGTGAGATGAAGGGCTCTGCCATCACCGGCCCCGTCGGTAAGGAGGCTGCCGAGCTCTGGCCCCGTATTGCCAGCAACTCCGGTGTTGTCATGTAAAGGGTTTATTTGGGCGAAGTTGATTTTGGGCATTGCGGAATTTCGACGAACACAAGATTCTGGAACCTGGGAACTTGCGGATCCCCCTTCCCCCCGAAGACGGCGGAGGACAGGAATCCGTGACACAAAAGGCCATAAAAGGCTTGGGCTGGATCGGGAAGGCTTTGCATTTCTGGTGAGGCGTGCTAGGGAGTCATACCACAACTGCATGATACAGGTCAATTCAGAATCAGTTCTCGATTCCATTTGCGGGACGGCGCATCTTTTCGGGGATACTCGGGTTCTTTATACATTTTTTTTTCTACTGATATGCTGCAGTTGATGCTGTGTTACATGCTTTTTCATCGTTTCATTGTGCTTGTCATTTCAACACCGACCCATCTCGATATATTTACATTCGTCCGTCCATCGATCACGTCCTCAACCACTGGAGCAAGGCGGCATGGAACCGATCAGGTGCCTGGATCTGTGGCGCGTGTCCCAGGTCTTCAAATTCGACCAGCGTGCAATTGGGCATCCTGTTGGCTGTTTCCTTTCCAATAAGCTCATACCTTCCCAGCTTCTCCTTCACATCCGGAGGCGACCACTGTTTCCCGATGGCCGTTGTGTCCTTGGTCCCAACCATCAACAGTGTCTTTGATCGGACACGAGGGAACTCGTAAAAGACCGGCTGGGTCAGCACCATGTCCACCACCCTCGCCTGACCCTCGACAAAGTTTTGGGCTTCGGTGCCAGCGTAGATCTGAGCCAACATCATCGCCCACACATTGTACTCGGGCGCCCAAGCCCCGAGGTAGTAGTTGCTCTGCTCGTACCCCTTTATTGACATGTAGTTTGACGTCTGTTCCGTCTTGAGAGTAACAGAAAGATCAGGGTATGGTACCCCGAGTTCGAGGTACGGCTCTAGCCCGATGGGATTGACGAGAACAAGGCTGGAGACCAGGTCTGGGTAGAGAAGGGAGAAGCGGGTGGCTAGCATGCCGCCCAGGGAGTGGCCTACCACTGTTATGCCATTGTTGCTGGGGTCTGTCAGGTCCAGGACTGACAAGAGGGAGTAGGTGTTGAGGGCTAGTTGGTGGAGGGAGTACTGGTAGAGGGTGCCGGGCTTGGAGGACTTGCAGAAGCCGATTTGGTCGGGGATGATGATGCGGTACCCGGCCTTTTGGAGGGTCGCGGCGGTGGTGGACCAGGTGATGGAGCAAAAGTTTTTGCCGTGGAGCAAGAGGGCGATTTTGGGCTTGGGGTTGGGCTTTTTGCGGGTGTAACGGACGCGTTGTGGCTTCGTGGTTGTGGTAGGGGCGACGATGGGGGGAAGGTCGATGAAGGCCATCTCTAGGGGCAGACCCTGAGAGCCGAAATGGAAGAGTTGGAAGGGGTGGGGGTACGTGAAGTTGGAACCATTGAGGTCGGTTGGGAAGGGGCCATTGTCGATGGTCGTGTTTTTGGTCGCCGTCTTGCTTTGGCTCGCGATGGCTGCTACGGCTGATGCTGCCCAGATGAGGGCGAGGAACAACATCTTCACTTTCGGAGTTGCGCGAGACAACTGCACAGTGGAAGATCCCAAGTTGGAGACCACTGTTTCCCCAAGGTGAATTTGTTGCGGCGACCTTCCAGGGTGGTATTTTGTTGGTAGTCGTGATCAGCCTGGCACACCAGATCATCGCTGGAGTCAGCCAAAAGGCTGTCGTGTAGCATCTTTTAAGATGCTCGAGCCCAAGACACTGGAATATTTGCCCCTGACTCCCACTTCACGAAAATCGGTGGGCATCAAAAGAATCTCATGTTGACATGCTTTTTCTTTTACGCTCATGACAACGACAGAGAAACAAGTTAAGGGGATCAGGGATGAATACAGTCATGACGGTGGGATATCAGTGGTTTATTTCTCGTCCCAGAAGCAATATCGGAACCCGGCCAAGCGGATGGCTGTGATATTGAGGTGGTGCGATAACTCGCCCTTGCATCAAAGATCAACGCTGCATGGCGGTCACCCGATTCGGAGTTTCCTAGACCGTAGGTGAGACATGTACGGCTGAACTTTCCTCCCTTCAACACCCAGCACAGACCTGTGGTATCTACGCAGATTTGAAGTAACATCCATGGATCTTGCTTTTTAATCGCTCTTTTGGTGTTGGATAAATATGTCCAGCATGGAAAGGCTGCCTGCCAAGCCCGAGAAAGAAACAACAAACCCTCCTAAACGGCAGGTCTAGGTCCATTCACGCTCCAGCTTCGCTTATCTGTTTCGGCATCCGGGGGCGCCATGATCGGCGTTGTCTGCTTGCCTCGAGGGACCTGCCAAAATCCTTTAGCGCCACAGAAGCCTCTGGCCACTGGGAAGATCTCGGTGTGAGCACGGCAGGCTCCAGATTTCCAGAGGGTGAACTGAACAAGACGGGAAATTCCATGCCCATCCCAAGGCGGCACCCGTGTCTTGGTGTCCAGGTTCCTCCCTTCCAAGAATGTAGGTATCTGGGCTCTGTTGGGCAAAGACGGGCGATGTCTTGGTAGGACACCACCATGATCACGGGTGGTTCTCTGTTAATATAATTAGGTCACATCCAGACCACTGTTGGGTGTCAGTTCGTGTGTTCTGGTTTGTTTCCTGAAGACGGTTCTGAGGTCACCATGGCCTCCGGGAACTTGCCTGGTGAAAACAGGGCATACCAAATCGAGGCCCCTTGCATCGTCTTCTTCGTCCTAGCGCCAATCTTTGTCGGCGTTCGCCTTTGGGCGCGCATCAAGCTGAGAGGATGGTCTGGACTAGGCCTGGATGACTGGACTATTGTTGTTTCAACGGTACGCTAGACGCCACCCCTGATTTCAACTAGCAAGCTAACTGTTAGAGATATTTGCAACTGTCGTATCGGCATTGATGGTAGCATCATGTGCCCACGGCTTTGGTCAGCACATTGCCAACCTTACCAAGCCCAACAGGCTGATGACACTAAAAGTATGGGTCTTTTCTGTTCTTGTATGACCTCGTTAACCAACTTAGCTAACCTCCTTCAGCTGTTCTACGTCGCTCAAGCATTTTACAAGCTCACCATCAACCTCACCAAAGCCTCAATTCTCCTCCTCTACCTCCGTATCTTCCCCAAACAATGGTTTCGCAAAACATGCCTTGTTCTTCTAGCCGTCATTCTTCTCTACATGGTCGGAACAACTGCCTCTTCGATAGGGCAATGCAACCCGATTCCGAGAGCTTGGGATAAGTCCATCGCCGGCACCTGCATCAGCATCACGGCAAATTGGTACGCCAACGCCGCGTTCTCGATCACGACCGACCTGGTCATCCTCGGGCTGCCCATGCATTCGATCTACACCTCTCATCTGCCGACAAGCCAAAAGCTGGCATTGATGGGTGTTTTCGCGCTTGGTCTATTCACGACAATAACCTCGATTCTACGGATGACAACGCTCAATTTTTCGTCAACCAGCCCAGACATCACCTGTACGTATCTCTAATTTGTATCTGACCGAAACCATGAGCTGACTATTGTCACAAAGTCGACATCGACTCCTCCATCTGGACCATGATCGAGCAAAACCTCGCCATCATCTGCGCCTGTCTTCCCGTCTGCCGGCTTCCCCTGTCATACATACTCCCCTCGTACTTTTCCACCTCCACCTCGCCATCATCTTCGTCTTCGATGCCCGCCATCAAGATGAAGCCGAGGATACACATCGGTGGCTCGTCAAGCTCGACTCAGGAGTTCAACGGGCATATCTCGGATGCCGAGGGAGGTTATGAAAGGAGGAGATATGGACAATACGGGATTGACAAGGGGGTGATCGAGACGTCTGTTGGGGTCGTTATGCCGCCTGCTACACCTGTTACTGCTGGCAGGCCGGATACGTCGGGGAGTAGGAGAACCAAGGCTGAGGAGTGGGTGCAGCAGCAGAGACGGGAACATGAAAACTTGGGTAGACCAAGCTTTCATGGCTCGGTTGTTTCTGCTGGGAGGAGTTGCCACAGTTCGGGCGAGGAGGGGGATAGACAGAGCGAAGGGGCGATTCGGATGGTGAGGAACTATGGTGTTTGGTCTGATGGGAGGGAGGTAGAGCCGCATGCACAGGTAAGATGACCATCGAACTCAGGGTTTGAGGAGTCTGAGGGGTGGGGTTGACGCGGTATATGTTCCTAATGATATCTACATACCTATCCATATTCATAATGACAAGCCAATCGTCTCCATGATCCAGGCGAGAATGGCATGGCTAAAAATTCAATTTTATCATGGGAAAGCCAGAGACAGGTACAAACCCGTGGCAAACGCTGTTCCTATCACCAACGGAAAGAAGCAAATTGTGGCCGTAAATGTTCATAGATTGACAACGCTATATATGCAAACAAAAGAAATATGCCAGCAGTATGCTCAGTCCACGATGCCAACCTTTTTATCCGTTCCCAATGCCCGCTACCCCGACCATGCGCCGAATCCTGTGCTGTTGGACCCTGTGAAAACCCCCCCCAAAAAGAAAGCAAGAAATCGCTACACCCGTCCGCCTATTCCGCTTGATCACTCGTCTGTGCGGCTTGCCAAAGCAAACTGCTCATGCTAAGCTCCAGCACACCCTTGTTCTTCCTGACCATCTTGGCATTGACAGTCCGCATGTAATCCCTCTCCCATTTCTCCACAAACGTCACGGTCTCAAAGGCCTTGATCTCTGCTGTCGGCTTCAACATGAAGCCCTTCCCTTCCTGACCCTCTGCCTCCCCGTACTTCTCTGGATTTGTCACGTCAACCAGGACGCTCCTCCTCCCGCCAGTGGCGATGACCTCGACACGCCCAGGGTCTACCCAGATGTCTTTGGCAGTCTTGACCATGTCTTGCCCATCCTCGGCTACCTCGCCGGGCTGTGGAATGGCCTGAGGTTGAACCTGATCCACCCAGGCCCTTTTCGTTCCGCCGTCCACAATGACCCTGAGAACGAATCCGCACTTGAGATGCTTGTTCCAGAATGTCACCACCGCCAGCTGATAAAGCACCCTCGACTCCAGAGCGCCGACCCGCAACGTCCCAAACTCCTTGTTGTATTGCGCATGGCCCTTGCTCTGGACATCGATAACTTCATACCCTGGCGCGACGAGGTCGGGATACTTGAGCACCAAAATCTCCTCTATCGCCTTTGCCGCCTGTGGCCGATTTGCCGCTGTGTTGGGGATGTAAATATCACGCCGGTCAGCCTTTTCCAAGTCCGACACCGAGACCATGGTTGGCATTCTCGAGCGAGTCCGCACCATCACATTGGACGTCGCCGTCTGCGAGAGCAAGACCGCCAGTCGCCTTGAAGGGTCGTCCTCGGAGTGGCAGTTGAGCACGCCGAAATAGAGTTGCTGAGTCTGTGTTGCCGAGTTGCTTGCGCTGACGAGGTTGAATTTGACGTGCAGTCCCTTGTTGGTCATGGCGTAGTCGGAGACAGGTTCTGTTGAAGGTGGCGATACAACAACCTTTTCCATCCCCTTAAAGTCGGCAGGTGATCTCGCCAGCACCGGCATGGTGCCCGAGAGGGCCTCGAAATCCAATTCATCCAACTCGGGTGTCGTCCCCGTTCGTTTTGAAGACTTGTCCTCTTTTCCTAGGGCGCCCCAGGCAAATATTGACTGATCGTCCGTCCGGCGGATGATCTCTTCCTGTAGCCTCAGAAAGGCCTTGTCATATCCCTCGCCATAGATTATTGGCAGGTTGACCCCAAACAATCCAAGCAGACAATACGCCACATCCTCCGCTCTGGTCGTTTCTCTGCCCGCAGCCCACGCCATTCGCTGCGCAATGCTAGAGTTGTGAACCAGCTTCGGCTCCAACAAGACCACCTCCTCAATTCCTGTAATCTTCTCCACCGTCTTGACCAAACTAGACTTGGTCCCGAGCAATCGCCAGCCGTGGGCGTAAAATACAAGCTTTTTTGGCGCAACAAGCTCTTGAAGCGTCCAGCCCCGCGTGAACCATCTCGAGGCAGAAAAGTCATCCTTCCATGTTCGGTACCCAGAGGTGTAGCTGTCAAAGTGAACGTCGTCAAGATAGGCGTAGCAGACAGCCGCTTTTTGGTACCAGCCAAACATGGAGTTGATCGCCTCGGAAAGCTCGCTGCTGCTTCTCCTGTCGATGCAGACAGTGTCGAGCCAGATGTACGAGTGGCCGTCTTTGGAGGCCTGGGTGCATGCATAGCTGAGTTTGGCGTATCCCGCCTTTTGTTCGACTGGGTGGACCTGCGGTTGTGGTGGTTTCATTGGAGGAGAAGGAGGCGGCAATGCTAACGACGGTGACGATGATGGCGTCATGGTTGTGGAAGATGAGAAGGATCTGTGACTTTGGAGGTCGTCGTCGATTTCGGGCGATGGTGGTAGGGGCGAAAAGTAAGCAGACTGGCGCTGGAACCGGCTTGCATCACGATGCCCACGGAGAGCCGTGAGCATGTTGGCCAGCATCATGAGCTTCATGACTTCGGTCTTTTCCAGCGGCAGCTCTGGTCGGGCGGCGGTGATGTAGCCATGGCTTGAGCCGAGTAGAGATGGTAACGAAGATGGTGGCGGTGTAGCTGGTCTGGGTTTTCGAAATGCGGAAAGGGACTCCAAATCCTGAAAGGTCACCTCCTCGGGACCCCAAGTGTGTGAAAATATGGCATAGGGAGGAATGCTGGGCTCAAAGAACTCCTCCACCTCGCGGGTGGTGACATTGAGCAGTCTCATTTTGGGTTTTGGGCGGTGTTCTTCCTGAGAGTTCATGTCAGACAAGAGCAGACGGAAAGTTGCAGGTCGACATTTGTTTCGACTTTTGTGAGTCTTATCATGATGGGCTCGAAGGGCCAAGAGACACTTGCAGTTAACCGGTGGGCCAATGAGACGTTGCAACGACGCTATGGGGAAAAGACCAATGGGAGCAACGCCCAAGTGTGCCATTGGGTCCGTCAGGCTCCAAATGTCCGATGTACTCGTGTGGAGACATCGTGGACCCTCGTGGAGCGACTCGACCTCCACGAAAATGACGCCGTTGTCCAATTCGGATCTGGTTTGGGCACCAGCTGCTTGCATCACGTCTGCAAGTTGGCACCACCGAATGCCGGAGGATCATTGTTCCAAGACGAAGCTGTCCCCTGATGATGCCTGATATTGGACAATGGCCCAGGCCCATTTCCTGTTGGAACTGGGAGACGAGGCGACCTCATGGGCATTTTCCGACTTGATTGACAATGGACGTTTTGTGTTTCAACTTTGCTGCAGGTCATTGATGAGGGCCTCACGTGCTAGTCGTAGCGAACCAACGACTGCAGTAGCCCCTCCCTCCCCCACCCAACGACTGGTGAAGCATGCATCTTTTTCTTTCCCCGCACTTCAAGACCAGAACCAAGGCCATTCCCTGTCGGTATCAGCATACACAATGAGTCGATGGCATCTAGAGACTTGCATGTCACCTGATGTGGTGGTGACTGGTGGAACACACATCTACTGCATGATATGCAACCAAGCACCAGACATTGACAAGCTTGTTGCCGACCCTGGTCATCAGAATCCCACAGCACCTTTGATTCCGCCAGATGAGCCGTACGGCGCATACAACCTTTCATGGCCGCCGGGCATACCCTATAGAAGGACTGGGCAGCATATCACAAGGGAAGAACCAGTGGACCAAAATGAAGCAGAGAACAGCAACTCCTCAGACGGCTTGTTCAGTAACATCCAACTTAGGGCCGCGTATGAGAAGGCATTGGGTCCGGATGAGTTCCGACTCATTTGCCTTCCAAGCACAGACGATGTGAATACACCTATTCACTTGACGCTCGAGACGTATGGCGATGAGCGCTATCCGGAATACGAGACTGTGTCGTATACATGGGGCGGAGAAGATGAAGACGGAACCCTTTGCAAGCCAGTCTTTGTTGGGCCTTACTGGGAGGTGTTGCTGCAGACCAAAAATTGCTGGGAAATGCTGAGATTCCTCCGACCTCGGCGAGGCTATCGCTTGGTCTGGGTTGACGCCATCTGTATCAATCAGCTGGACTCGCTGGAGAGAGCAACACAGGTGGCGAAGATGAGATCGATTTACAAAAACAGTCGACGAACGGTTGTTTATTTGGGCCCTGAGATCACTCCTATCACCACACATGCCCACCCAGTCCGACTCTCAGCAAGAGAGGCAGTCACCTTGTCGCGAGGAGGGGAGACTGAGCTCATCGGTACGGGCGGCAAAGTAAACTTGGGGCAGTTGCTTCAGTGTCGGTACTTTAGTCGCATCTGGGTAATTCAAGAACTTCTCCTGTCACGCCAAGTATCGATTCCAGTTCGCGATATGGAGATAGATTTTGACTCACTGAGCATCAATGCTATCACCGGGCAGGCTGGCGAGGGCAGACGCCCAAGACAGCTCTGGGACAGTACGCCTGCGCCGTGGTTCCAATACTTATCCCAGGGAGGCTACTTACGTCATGGTCTCCTGGACTGGACACTGCTGACATCTTCGTCGACTGCTTCAGACATGCGTGACGAGCTGTTTAGCCTCCTGGGTCTAGTTCCTAACAACAATTTAACGCCAGATTACGGAATTTCCCGGTTGCACGCGCAGATAGGAGTTGCCGCACACTCGCTGTTCCGACTTGGTTCCTTCGAAAACTTCTACATAGCTCCCACTCAGCAGAGAGAACGACCCGACAATTATCCATCTTGGGTGCCCTACCGAGCTCGAACAGGGGGAGCAGCACGAGTGTCATGGACATCCCAGGAACCAAAACGTGTTCTCCAGGAATTCTACGAGGCCCTGAAGCGCCACTTTGATAAGTCTTATTCAGGCCGTCATGCAATCTATCAGCCGGAAGAAGATAATGAATCAACCCTTTGGACGGCCGAAGCTACCATCGATGTAGACACAGCAGCCTTGACCCTTAAAGCGACGCATTTGGCGACATGTACAGATGTGCCTGTTGAGGTTCCTTTTACCAAGAAGAACCATTTCAGGTCACGTACTGAGAGGGAACCCGGATGGAAGGCCTTTGTGGTGCGGTCTAACGAGATGGAGATGTATCTTCTCTCAAACCGGAGCAGTGCCCTTGATAAAGTAGTTGAACCATTCGACCACATCTACTGGCTGCACGGGGGTTATACAAAAGAAGAAACGCCAGGGTTCTTGATCCTGCGTCCCATAAAAGGCCAAGAGGGGAAACGGTTTCGGTTAGTCGGCTTTTGTAGCCAGGTGTTGTTTGTCGAGGTCTTCGTTGCCGGACGTAAGACGGTCCCAAACAGGCAACCAAACAGGGCACGCAGTATCGCTATTCATTATCTTTCTTCCTCTAATCTTCAGAGAGGATTGAAGCGAGCTGTGGATGATGCTGTCGCCAAGTTTGGATGTTTAGAGGAATTGTTTCCAGGCGTAGTCACACCACAGGGTCAGCTGTGGAGTTTCTTGGCCTTGATGAAGCTGGCCTCCTGGCCATCGCAGCCGTTCACTTTCTTTTCGGAATACCTGAGCCACCTTGACTCAAGATACGATGGCGTGGTTACCAAGGAAATGAGGAGACTCGAGGACGACCAGCACGAAGTCGAGATCCTTACCATCACCGTGCCATCCGCCGACATATCCAAGTTTGTGTTATCATGGGGATACTTGCGCCCTCCTTTCGTCAAGTTTCAGCAGCTACAATCACGGGAGGACCAAGATGTACCATGGGACGAAAGCAGAGTTGTTGTAGTGGAAACTCTCCAAGAAGATGATGTGCTGCGGCTCCGGGCTGAAATGAGCGCCAAGGACCTGGCTGACCTGAGGCGAAGCGGGAAGCGTGACAGTTCGGGCCCCGGTGAGCAGCAAATCAGCAATGTAATTTCACCGGAGGCTCAGACTGTCTGGAAATACTTTCAAGAGCTGGAAAAGGCGCGCTGGGCGACAGGAGGAATGGGCATCCAGGAGATGGTCAGACTTGTTCAATCTGGCCAAGACACAAGTTCAATGGCTTGTCCTGAATGGCCGGCTGATATCGTGGATGCGTTTCAGGTCCAGGGCAACACTTTACAAATCACGATTGTGTAGGGTAAAGTATGCCAACTGGACTGAATCAGGCCTCGAAAATAGCTAATAAGCCTTAAAAGATAGTTAATAGGCTTGGACGAATAGTCAAAAGGCCTGTTTTTATTCTAAAAAGACATAGCCGTGACTGTGTAAGCCACCAACAAGGCACAAGGCGTAGCACCTCATTGGTCGGGCTTATAAGAGGCTGCAAGCGCCCGCACATGGCAATCGGACCCACAACAGGCTAGCACGGACAATATCCCTGACCATCACATGTCAAGCGTGCAAGCTCCCTGAGGTTCATCCAGAGAAGCAAGCTCAGTGTCGTGGTAATTCTGTTGTCTTGGCAGAGGAAGAACCCAGAATACCTATTCTCATTCAAACTTGAGCAACCGTCCCTTCTTAAAATCATGACACTGCCCCTGTACAATCAAGTGACTAAATGAGACCAGCTCTGGCAGCCTCCCCTCCACCCTCGGCCATCACGCTCTCTACCTTTTGCTTCCCCTTCATCATGCCAGCTCCCTCTCCTACACCCATGCGACGAGCGACATAGCGTTGTGCCACAACGCCTACCGACAAACTCAGCGCCTCTTCAAGCCACTCGGCAACCCATTCCCTCGGGTCAACCCCGCCGCTCTCGATAATGTCCCTGATATCATCCGGCACTCGTCCAAACTGCTCCTCAAACTCATCCTCGTCGCTCCCACCCGCTGAAGGCGCAACGTCTAGCCACTTGATCCATTTTGCCGGGACCCCTTGGCTAACAGCCGAATACCGAATGTCGTGGACGGGATCGAAAATGTAAATGGCAAACACGACTTGGTCATCATTCTGTTCCTCCTCCTGGGCCATGCTGTCCTGCTTGGCCTTTTCTTCTCCCGCCGTGCCCGCAAACAGACCCTTGTCTCCCTTGACAGAAACAGCCTGGACACTGAGGAAGATATCCGACGAGCGCACAGGGTTGGATTCAGAGACGGGCTCCAAGGCTCTCTGGCGAGCTGCCTCAATCCCACCACGGGAGCTGAAGTAGTCGGTGGCGTATCCCTCCGCGTTGGCCCTGCACAGCTTGGAGCCTTCCACCAGTCCACCAACAATCCCCAAGTCTCTCCCAGGAGCATCCGTGACTCTCCACCATGGACCGTCGCGCCAGCCGGCAGTAGAGTGTTGCGCATTGGATGCGGCACCAGATTCTTGCCCACGCTGAATGACAAGCAGGTCTCCTCCTTCTACCTGAGCCATAACCCGGTTGAAGACTGCGTAGATGAGGGGGTCAAGTGACGGATAGCCGACTAGGTCGTGAGTAATGTGGATCAGGAGACGCTCGTGGGAGGAAATCGGCGGCGCAAGGGTGTGGAGGATTGTGGTGAGGGAGGGAAGGGCACGGTGACGGAGCTCATCGCCTGAACAGAAGCACACTGTTAGTCTAGATCATAATCCCATTCCGTAAATATGGCACCACATACCTAGGCCGCGCAGAGCACCGACATTTCCACGAACTTGATCGGCCCATTTGCGAGCCTCCTCATTCTGCTGAATCTCCTTGACAGCGGCTTCTGCTGTCTTCATCGCTGCCGTCGCGGTAGACAGCAAGCCACCCCACCAGCCACCACCGCCGCTCGATGCGGTGGCTGTCGCTTGAGGTTGCTCGAGCTTCTTCTCCACCTCGTCGGAGCTGGTGGCGCTGGGGGTGGCATGGTAGGAACCGGTACTCTCGGCTGACTTGCGAGCAGTGTCGGCGCGAGGAGGAGGGGTGTTGGTAGATGTACGCTTCAGCGCCGGCGAAGCTTTCTGTACATTTTCGCGGATGCGAGGCGTGTGAGGTCGCGGTGCCTTCTCCTCGCCGAGTTGGGTTTCGAGCTCGGCCAGGGGGTCAAAGTCATCGGTCGCGGGTTCTGGCTTGCCCTTTGCAGGCAGCTTTGTCTTGGGGGCTTTAGTGGTGGCCGAATCAGCGCCGATATCCTTGAACAAGTCATCAATATCGTCGTCGGCAGCCTTTGCTTTGTGGGTGGTCATTTTGGCGGTGATGAGGTTGGTGTTCCGACTGTTTGCGACGCCGTGACGGACTGACGGTTTGAGCCGCGAGCTGCAAGTGGAGAAGTGCGAGCAGACCCGTCGTTATAGGGGGCGGGCTGCCCAACCTGAAAGAAGGTTGGATGGGATTGAATGCGGGGGTGTTATCTCAATAATCGGTTGGAAGTATGTAGTGCTATGATTAGTCGTTCTAAGCAATCGTATCCGTATGGGCTGCAATACTCGACCAGAAAGATGACAGTCGGGTCTCACGATGGCAGATACGCAAACACAACGATGCACAAGCCAACCACCACAGCTTCTTCAGTGGAAATGCAAAGTGGTGTTGTTGCGTCACGGGCCAAAATGGCAGAGGTCAGGGGAGCCCAGGCATCAAATCAACGGCTAGCTCCACCGAGTGTTATGCAACAGCTGATTGGTTGAGCCGCAGTGCTGCAGTCCAAACAGGTTCTCAGCCGGCGGGTGATTGCCAGCTGTGGGAGTGGGGCTAGCCGGGCGGCGCGGAGTGCCAGGGGCCTGGGCTTATTCGGGAACCTCCAGAAAATTGACGTGAGAAGAAATCTACATGCAAGGAGGAGCGTAACAAGACCAGCATCTGACGGCAGCTTGTGCCGATATCTCTCATCCGACATTTGTCCAGGGCTGTTCATGAGAAGAGAGTCACAAGCCTTGTTTCTGACGACATTCCTTGTCCTCTTGTTTTGTTCTGCTGCCTCTCACTTGGGGCAATTTGCGGGCGTGCAAGAGAGGGTTATTTACAAGCGACCAACCGGATCTGACCTTGACCCTGACACGTTGGATGCCCGCCTAGTGCCATCACTTTTTTCGCCTCACTCACACAACATTACTCTCACCACACCCTCTACACCGGCTTACACCGTCAGTCTCACCAGGGAAGCTCACCGTCTCAAGTCTACTTAACCAAGCTGTCCCGGTACGTGGATTGAATTACACGTTCCTCCTATAATGGACCGTGGTCGTGGAGGTGGTCGTGGGCGCGCGACCAAGAAGCAGCGTGCCGGTCTACCACCATCTCACCATCCATATCCGGAATCACTTCATACGCCAGGCCCTTCATTTGTCTCTCCGGATGTTTCTCTCTTACCAAAAGTCCCCCAGTCAGCTCCCCAACGCGGGAACAAATCCAGGCCGGTAAATCAAACACCACATCGCGCCTCCTCACCCATGAGCATGCCAACTACAGCAACCACGTCAGCACACCACAGCTTTCGGGCATTCGCTCCAAAAACCGACAAGCCTGGTAGAAGCAACACTTTCCACTCGAGCTTCACCTTTGAGTCGCCAACCAATCATGGAATGGCACCCGAGGCTCCCATGGGCCGGAAGAGAGCCAAAACCTTTGAGACGGCCACTACGGCCAGCTTTGAGGGTGAAGACGAGGCACATTCAAAAGGTGGACACTCTCTTAGAAAGAGGACTCGTATTGACTACGCTCAAGTTCTCGACGATGAGATTGGCCTTGCTGCGGCGAGAAACGGTGCCGAGTTGCCCCCGAAAATGACGGCAGCTGCTCCCACTGTTGCCCGGCCACGCAAGAGAAAAGGCGCCCATTCACAAGATGATACGGACGATGAGGCCGATGATGTCTCGTCGACTACGAAGCGTCGACGAGCTGACAAGTCTCCTGCTGCCCCTCGCGCCGCATCGCGTCGCCGGAATACCGGCAGGAAACTGCCCACCGGAATGAGCGCCTACATCGATCAGCCATCAGACAACGATGCCGTGCAGGACACGATTCTTGTTGGGGTTTCAATGGATGCGGATGAGGAATCGGAACAATCATCATATCGAGAATCGGATTCAGCACCTTCATCTCCAGAAGGAACTAACCCAGCAAGGCGACAAGACCAGCAGCCAGAGACGTCGAAGCAGAGAGACCCTGTAGCTGCGATCAATCAGCCGGCGATGATTGTACCAGAGAATGGAACGGGATTGAATTTACCTGCCGCTGAGGTGAATGGCCAAGTGAATTCAAACGGCATTGAGTCGGCGATGGATCTCTCGTTGGACCATGTGCCCGAGACTGCTCCAAATTCTGCCCAACCACGAGGCCCCGTTCAACTTGAACAGAGTCGTCAAGAGCAACACCATGAGGAGCAACACCACAACGCCCCTTCTTTGATTGAATTAAACGGGACCCATTTGGAACAACAACAACAACAACAACATCAGACAGAAAAGCTTGACCCAGTTTCCGGCTTTCCAACTCCCGCCACAAAATCTCTTCAGCCTGCCACTGAAAACTCGGTAGCTTTGTCCCAGCTTTCCGAGTCTATTGCGCCAACGTCAACCGACAATACAGCTTTAAGACAAAGTTTTACCGCCGCAGAATCGCCAGTTCCCGAACCGATCCCCCAGGAGCTGGTGCCAGTTCAGAAACCAAAGCCCCAGGGATCACCAGCTGTGGAAAGTGCGCCTGGTCAATTTGACGGCGCTGTCCAGCTAGAGTCAGGATCACCTCGCGAAGTCGATCCGCCGGAAGCGCAGTCACTGTCGACGGCAACAGTTGCCAGTCGGCCAGTCTTGCGCGCGCCCAAGCCCGTGGGACCTGCGCGCCTGCCAAGGTTGGAGCGCATCTACGAGGCCGAGACTCCTTTTGCCTCAGCGCTCAATCTCGAGCCATATGAGGACGAGGACGTCATCTTGCCCGGCCCATATACCGAATGGGTGTACGCTGAAGAAGCACCACCCACGCCAACACCAATGCCGACTCCGACACCGACTCCCATGCCCATGGATAACATCATGTCAGAGGTTACTTGGGATGTGACCAGGCCGCTCAGGAGAAAGGACTTTGACAAGTTGCACCGGATAGAATCAAAGCGGCGCGAGGAACAAGGCCTCCCTCCAATCACTTTCCGAGATTTCAACAATGAATGTGCGCGGCTTCACCAAGCTGCCATCAAGGCCCAGTGTCGAGCTCAAGTCACGTCTACTCCCCAGCGTCAAACGGCGCCGGGAGTTATAGTTAGCCCTTCCAGGAAGACACTACCAGATAGCGAAACTTTGGAGCCACAGTTGCCAACTGCTGCGCCGTCGCCAGCTGCGGAAGATGATGGTCAACTCGATGCTCAGTTCGATGGGATGGATGACCAGCAAGAAGCAGATGACGACCAAGAGCCAGATGAAAATGAAGCCCCGATACCAAATCGGCAGAGCAAGCGCGCAATGGATCCAATCGAGGTTACTAAGGACTATCCTCGTCAGTACCTTTTCCCTAAACTCCGGGACCCTGCCGAGTTTGCTGCCCTGCTAGAGAACCCCGAGGAGCTGGATACGGAAACTCTGGTCAATTCGACTGCCGCCGCCGTCGAGGCCCTTCACTCTTATCAGCAGGAGTACCAAGAACTTAAAAGGATAATCGACGATGAGGAGAACTCCAAGAGACGACAAGCTAACGACAAGACCATTGCCAACTGGGAAAATCGCCAAAAGGATGACGAGCCGCTGCCGTGGCGTCGTCACTACGATGAGCCGATCAAGGGGCCTCCTCCCTTTGAGCTCCGAGGTGCACGGGCTCCTAAACCCTATGTCGACGACCCCGTTCTCGAATATCAGCGTGAGCAAGATCGCATCATGGCCCAGGCGTATGGCTTCAAGCACAATAACCATGTGTCCTTGATTGGCCGTCAGAATCCCGAGGAGCAGCGGTGGGAGGCGCCGGAAACAAGGCTCCGAGAGCGCAAGAGAACCGAGAAGGCTGCCGAATTGGCGGAAGACAATGTTGTTGAAGGGAAACGAACAAGAAGACCTCGTCAGATTGCCGACCAGAGCAAGGAAGCCAGCCGCGCAGGCACCCCAGCTCTCCCCGCCCCTCCCACAAGGCGCCCACGCAAAACAGCGACGACAGCTGTCACCAACGGAGATGTCATTGAATCAACCGACCCGGCGCCCATCCCAGAGTCTGTGACAGAGTCTCCACGCAAGCAACGCGCTGCAGCAGCCGCAGCCCGTGCCAGACAAATCGCAGACGAGGAGTCAGCCTCTTCGGTTCCTCCCCAGGATAGCAGTCAGGGCGACGAAGACTATAATGGCACACAGCCTGCCAAAGTTCGCAAGCGCGAAGCTGTGGACGCGCCTTCGTCTGCACGCACATCAGAACCCGTCAAACCCGGAGCCAAGAACAAGCGGTTTAGCAAGGCTCCAACTTCAGCGCCCATGCCGTCGGCTCCCGAGACTATTATGCCTTCCTTCTACGGCCACCCATCTGCAGCCTCGGCCCAGCCCGAGTCCAGACCATCGACCGCATCCTCTGAACGATCCGATCGCACTGCTGAGACGACCGAGTCGACGTATTCTCTACGTGACAAGCGCAAGCGCAACTTTGTGCTTGAGAATGATCCCGAGCTCGAGGCTCGCCCGCAGAGACGCAAGGTTCCTCAAAAGTCACTGAATAACAATCCCGAACCGAACGTAAAGCCGACGGCTACCAAGAAACCACGCCAGCCTCGTCAAACTCCCCTTTCGCGTCCTCCACCGGAACCAACACCGGCTCCTCCCGTCGAGCAAGCGCCTCCCCAGTTTCCGATTGCGCCTCAGCAAGTTGCGCCCCCGCCCCCCCCAAGCGGAGGTTTGAAGGCACCCACCTTGATCTACAGCAGCCCTGCGGTGCCGCAACCAGTTCCTGTGCTGGCTCCGGCGAAGCCATCTGGACAGCCACCGGGGCCGTTCTTGCATACCTTCAATTCGGCTCCTGCTTTCCAACACGGAATCCCCCCTCCACCTGCCGCTCCGCCGGCCATCAAGAAACCGATCACGAGGATCAAGCTCACCAACACGACTGGTCTTGTCAAGGGCAGGCCAATCGGCAAGGGCTCCCGTGGTGGCGGCAAGCCGGGCGGCTCCACGTTGAATGCAGAAGGCAAACTGCCAACCTTGACCGAGCTCCAGGCTGAGGCGCCAGAGAAGAGCTACTCGGAAATGAGCAAAAGTGAAAAGATGAGCTACTCGATGAGAAGTGA